AAATGGTATTGAAATAGGTATATGGGCTCTTGAAAATAAAGTGGTCCCCTGGGTGGCCCTTTTTTTCAGGGGTGCTTCGGCATCTTCGCTCTTTCATTGTCTTCCTGGCTGTTGCGAGGGAATGATGAAAAAATTGGTTTCTTTTGGCTTTCTTTGGGTTTTTTGGGTTCTTTTTGGGGTTTGGCTTTTTTGGGGGTTTTATTTGGCTCTTTTTTTTGGGTTCTTTTGGCTCTTGTTGGGTTTCGTTGGCTCTTTGGCTCTCTGGTTCGTGTTGGCTCTTTCTTTGGCTCTGGCTCCCTTCTTGATCCCATCATTTTTTTCATCTCCTCCTGGCTGCTGCGAGGGGGCGATGAAAGAAATTTGATTCCCTACCTTCGGCCTTGTGGTCCCTCTCTCTGGTCTGGATCTTTGGCTCTTTGGCTCCCGTTTACAGTTTTATGTCATTTGGTGATGGACGCAAGCCCAACCAGAAGCTCGAGCTGGTTCAAGGTGGGGTAAAAGCTCGAGTTAGTCCGAGCCCTGGAGCTAGCTAGCTAAGCTCAAGCTGTCTCGAGCTCGTAGGTAAGAGGGCTCAACCTATTTGATTGAGTCTGCCCGCCCATAACTACATGGAGACCTTCCCCCCTTGGTTTCCCACGACTGCCTCCCAGGGCCGTTTTTCATCATCTTTTGGCTGCTGCGAGGAGGGGATGAAAATGGCCCCTAGGGTTTGGCTTTTTTTGTGACTACCTTCCTGTAGCTTGTTGGCTCTGCTCCTACTATTGAGATATATTCTGAGTTTGTCTATATATGGTAAAGCAGTGAGCTACAGGTGAGCAAGGCTGAGTAGAAGCTCTAAAGCTTGAGCTGGCTCGTGGCCTACATTACAGGCTTAGTGTTGGGCACGAACCAAACTTTGAGCTCGAACTTCAGGCTCGAACACCCCACGAGCTGCCCAAGCCAGCTCGAACCCAAGATTTAGAAAGCTCTACTACATGTTGTCTAGGCTCGAGTCTTGGAAATTATTAGATTGGTTGTAAATTGAGATGGTGAAATAGGGTAAGATGGGTCCCCAGAATCCCTCTTTAATAATGAAAGCTGTTGTTTCTAGGTATGTTAATGGACACCTGAGCGATCGCGAGCCTAGGACCGAGCCTGGGACTGAGCTCGGATTTTCCCAGCAGATTAAGACCTTTACGAAGCAAAAGGTAAGATTCGGTCTTAATCTGCTGGAACGCGGAACGGTGGGCGTAGCTCTCAGGTTTTGCGCAGTAGGGTGAGGAACGTGCCAAAATGTTCCAGAACATTGCCAAGCAGGCCACAAAGCACATTAGAGTAGCGCAAGCTGAGTAAGTATGAGAAGGGTGGGTTCCCTCCCTTCTGTGAGTGGGAAGGGACGAAGTCCTTCAATCTCACGACCTGACAGACGGAGACAGCACAGCAACAAGCAACACCACAACTCTGCCGGAGACAGGAAGGTGATCAATAGCAAGCAAGCAACAATCGTGGCAAGAAAAATGTTCAGGTTCCTCAGCCGGCAAGCGTTCAAGGTTGTTCCCAGACCCGCATCCCGCCAGATTCATAGCATGCGACTCCCTTACACTGGGCCTCCGAGTTACGATACGATTGCTCGACGCTTATCCTTGGACGTCGTCGATCCGCAGGACTATCTCACCCGCAAGCGCCAGCAAGAGGCTAAGAATCGTCGACATCCACGACATCGGCAGAGATCCAAATGATTATGATTTCTTGATCACGGATATCAAGCACGAAACATTGGAAGCGACAATTGCCGAAGAACTGGGCATTCCTTACCTTCCGAAGGCGACAGAGTCTCAGGCTAAAGAGGTGGTTCAAGTGGGTGATGGTTATATCCATGGATCGAAGTTTAGGGCGATAGTTCCATTCGTTGTTGGTCATAAAGGCGAGGGTCGTTGGGTTTTTTTCATGTTGGACAGCGGTGCCCCGTTGACGTATCTTTCAGCTCAGGTGAGTGCTAGTATGACGCGCCTACTTGTAGAAGGGAGGAAGTCCGGCCCGCTAACTAGTCTAGACGAGCAAACTTTTCGGTATCAGGGAAGGACACCCAGCTCCTGTCACTATCGGCGGGCATCCTAAGGATGTTTATATGTCGCCGTCGAACTCTCACTTTCCCGATGTCAATCTTCTCGGTGGCGACTTTTGTGATACACACGGGGTCTACCTGGGGTATGACTATGTGAATAGCAGAGTGAAATTGTTCTTCGGTGGAGAGTGGGAGACTGTGAGAAAGTCCAAGAATTGAAAGGTGAGTGCCTAAATGACAAATCTTTTGTTTTATTAAAGAATCCTAACTAGTCCAGACAAGTAAACTGCTCGGTATTGGGGATGAGGCTGGAGTCATGATCGGTGGACAGCTGCCGTATTTGTAGGAATGCTAGGGTAGGTATTTAGAAATGCCGTATTCCTACGGCACTTACTTTACTGCCCAAACTCTACGCCGCATTGCTACGGCACTTGCTTTACTGCCCAAATTCTATGTCATATGACTGTGAATACATGCAGTTCGGACTACGTACCAAAAAGTTTACCCGCATCACCTATCCGCAGTGTAAGATAGCATTACTTCGGCATTTATAGAATAGAGCAGTCTTTCAAATGCCGCTTTACGGCCGCATTCTCCTAGAAATGCGGCATTCTTTGAAATGCCGCAGTGCTGCCATAGCACTGCGGTAATAATTCCACCCTGATTCTTGCTACATGTATGTAATTTATTTGTAATATTTATTTTTCATTATTTATTTTCTCCCTTCATGTTGAAATATCATGGTACCTACAGTACGGTATTCAACCAGCTTCGAGCAACCACTTTATATGATATTTGTCATCTAATATTTGTCTCGAACAGTCCTAATTGGATTTCGTTGCTAGCGTCGTTAATAAAGAATTGGGAGCCATACTAACGCCAAGTTTATTAACAAGACCCCAGCCCGACTCAGACCTCTTGTATTACACAGTTCTCACCACGCTAACCACCACCAAATCCACTACCAAAGTCACCAAGAAATTCCTTGCCATCACAAAATCTGTAGAACTCCTGATTCGCTCCAAAACGTGAGTCCCGTGAGGGGCGAGAATAGCGGTGCGCCGCTATTCTCCTCGCCCTGGCTCGTCACGTTCGTCCCTCCTTGACGGCTACGCCCCCTCCTCACTCCGTTCGGGGGGTCCCCCCAATAAATAATAAAATGAATCAATAAAATAAATTCAATTCAATGCATTACAAAGAAATTATTAATGCTGGCTCCGTCAAGAGCTCTAGTATACAAGTAAAAAAAGTCATTTATCGTTCGGTGCGCCCAACCATTCTAAAGGCGGCATACCCTGATGCCAACCCCGGGAAAATGCAAAGTAAAGAAACACCAGTCGTTCTGGTCTCGAACCAGAGCCGAACGAGAAAACGAAACCTCCAGCCAAACACGAAGGCCCTAACCTCCACCGAGCAATCGACAACACTGGCAGCTTATCAAATCAAACTATTAAGCAAGCCGATGTACTTGATGAACCGTCGTTTACAATCGGCGACGTTACCATCAACAGGCAGACCCAGCTGGCCGAGGAGGGTGCTGAGCTCGGGACCTATCACCGTGTTCAGATTAAACGATTTTCCAGCGACATAAGTAGGGTGCTTACCAGTAAGTGCTCCGATATCAGCACCTGTTTCAGGGAAATCTTGAACGGGTTGATTGTCCAAGCCATATAAAACTTCAAGACGGGTGTCGGAACGATTGACGGAAGAATTGAGCAGCCTTGCAAAATTGTTGCGTTCCCTGAATCCCTTCAATATCGCTCACTGGACCCTCAAAAATTAAGTAGACTTACGAGCGGGAGGTCTCTTGATGGATTTGCTGCACCGCTTGTTGTATTTGCACCAGTTGCTGGCCTTGCTGCTGCAGTTGCTGGCCTTGCTGCTGCATCGCTTGTTGCACTTGCTGGAGGGTTTGCTGTATCTGTAACAGTTGTCCCCCGAGTTTCACAGCAGGGAGGTTTGACATCAATGCGGGTTGTTGGGCCGAAGCAGCTGCTGCATCGGAAAGAATCTGGAAGTTTGGTTGAGCCATTTCCATTTCCTGGAAGTACGCTGAATCCGCTGTTGAATATGCGTCTCTTCGTGACTGACTCCTCTTGTTGATAAAGGTCGAGCACTCTCCGGTAGAGTCGTGGTGTTGCTTGTTGCTGGATGCTCTGCTCGCTGCTTCTCGAGAAATAGGGTGGACGGTGTGGAGCAGGTCACGTGTCAACACTAGCAAAAAGGGTTACGAAGCAATTAACTGGCAACGGAAGACAGGACAAGTGTAGCTTAGCACGAGAACTGGGCAGTCCCATCATGTTTCTTGTGCTCTTAGCATAGTCATCCTGTTCATCAGTCATCACGACTCTACCGGAGAGTACTCGACAGTTTCGTCGAGCAAGCAAGCAACAACCATGGTGACAAATAAATATGTTCAGGCTCCTCAGCTGACAAGCATTTAAGAGTATTCTTAGATTTGGTTTTTGTTGTTCTAACGATACCGTATTACGGCATGTCTATAGCATGCAAGCCTTGTACTCTGGGCCTCTGAGTTACGATACTATTGCTTGACGCTTCTCTTCAGACGTCGATCCGCAGGCCTATTTCACCCGCAAGCGTCGGCAAGAGGCTAAAGATCGAGGCGAATACGTTGATATCCATGATATCGATGGTGTGGATCCGAAAGACTTTGATGTCTTGATCCCCGATATTGACCACGGGAAACTGCAACATGAAATTGCGGAAATAGTGGGCATAGCGTACCATTTGGAGGCGAGTAAGGAAGATGCTAATAAGATAATCGAGGAACTACTTAAACCCTGACCCTGAAAACAAAACATAACTCCGGCGTGTACATGTAGATCTGTAGCCCATAGAAAGAACCTCACCTAGACCAAAATGACATAAACGCCAATTGCAACCCCACATCCCCTCCAACGTAAAACAATAACACCAATCCATAAACTCACCCATCATGTCCGCCCCCACCAACAGCCCGCTTCCTGACGACCTCGTTGCTGCTACTGTGCAGCCAGTCACCACCCTTGTTGTCGGCGCTGAAGCTCCCACCATGTCTCTGGAGTAATAGGAATCTCCTACGTGCGCCTCGGCACTCGAATACGCTGAGGAGCCTACCGAGCATATCGAGGAGCATGCTCATGTCAAAGAGCATGTCGAAGACCACGTCGAGGAGCATGTCGAAGAGCCTACCGAGCATGCCGAAGAGCTTGTCCATGCAGAAGAGCATGTTCACATCGAAGCTCCTGTTGAAGAGCATGTTGAAGAGCATGTCGAAGCTCCTGTTGAAGGACATGTCGAGGAGCATCTCGAACCTACCGACCATGTCGAAGAGCCTGTCCATGCAGAAGAGCTTGTCCGTGCAGAAGAGCTTGCCCATTCCGAAGAGCATGCTCATATCGAGGAGCATGTCAAGGAGCCCACCCACGACCAGCCTGAGGAGGCCACTACAATATGCGCATGCGCAACAGGCGCACCGCCAGCGACCGGGGTCTCTACTGCGAGCAGGTAGCGCACGAGCTAAATGAGTGCGTGCCCCTATCGTATACCGAACCAGGCGCTGGGCTAGTGCCTATGATGTACCCCCCCTACAAGATTAGTTGGGAGGGAACAACATGAGTCTGTGTTGGTTTTGCAGCCGGGAGGTGTAGTTAGCTGTAGCTTAGTTGAGGTGGGTTGAAATTGAAGTTTTTTTCGTGTTTTATTTTAAATCTTTTTTTTTTTTTTTTTTTTTTTGTGTGTGTCGTAACTGTAAACATATTCCGGTAGAAAGAAGACCTGATGTAGCTATATACATGATGTAGCTCTTCCGACTGCCACCATAACCATCTGCCACCATGAAAATCGTTAGGTTCATGTTCGGGGCTAGGGTCAGGGTCGAGCTTAGGGTTTAAGAATGTCACTAATGGATGCGCATGTTCACGCCACTCTACTATGTTCAAAGTGTGGTTTTTATTATTACATAAAATTATTTAAGTTCATTTCTTGTATACAATAATTAGACTCAGGTTTGTACACGCAGATTGGTGACACGTCACGTGCTCAAACAGATCAAACACCTTGCCCACAAACCCCACCACATGTTGGACATGATTTTCTGCAGAATTTCATATCCAATACGCCCGTAGATTTTTTTTTGCATACATGTACCTGTTCCCACCAATACCGAGGTCGGGATGTACCGAGTGATTCACCATGATCCACTCGGTCCCTCGGCGCCATTCCTGGGATCCGCAACGGTGGCCGACGCGGTAGATCCTACTACTTCTTGGTTGTCTAAATTAGTGAAGAATTTATGCGCTTAATTGTTTCCGCTCTGCGCCTTGCGGCAGGTAGAATAGACGGGCTATGGGGATGATGCGTACGTGTAGCATTGAGCTCAGCCGGGAGCGGGGTATTGTTTTCCGTGTGGATGGTCGCCGCGTATGAATAGAGGTATGCGGTGTAGGTGCTTACAAGTAACCATTATGTTTAACATCTTGATCAATTAATAATGTCTCATTTGTTAGAGGTAGCCTCAATATGTAGAGAGTTTTAGTTCTTAAACTGCTTCATAGTTAGTCACTCGTTGCTACGACTATAATGGTTGGGAATATCACTCTTTATCAATTTAGATATTATATAAACCAAGTAAATAAGTGAAAGAAACCCCCCATTTCCATCACAATCACTGCCAATTACATGTTCCCGAATCTGCAGCCACCCACAAAGATAACCTCGTTGCCGAGAGTAACGCCCCTGCAGAGCGTCATCTCATGTCACTCGATTCCAAGCAGGCACAGTCTCTCTGCTTCAAGGAAAGCTGTGCTAAGCCGTTTAGAGCTTGAATAGTACATATCAAGCTATTGAAGTTCGTGGTAAGGTGTAACGATCCACTTCTCGGGGGTAGAGCGTAACCAGGACGATACATCATTGTAAATAGATGTAAAGCAGGTACGCACGATGGCCTGCGTTACAGGGGGAGGGTGCGGAGGCGTTTGTTCGTAGAGAGGCTAGAGTTCTCTCTCTCCTTCTCTTCTCTGTCCTTCCCCCTCTCTCCTCTTCTTCTCTCTCCTCTTCCTCTCTCATTTCTTCCTTCTTCCTGTCATCCGAGAGCATACGTTGGCTAATGCACAGAGCCGTTTATTTATAGAGGGGAGGCTTTAACTTCTGCCTTCTTCTCTCCTCTCCTTTCGCCTCTTCTTTCTGCCATCAGTCATCCTCCTCTTCATCTTCAGTTTCTTCGTCATCTTCATCCTCCCCCTCTTTCTTTTACCCCTCTGCCTTCTTCTTCCTCTCCGACATCAGGGGTCTCTGGACCGTGAACAGCAATTCTTCTACCCACAAGAAGACAATAAATTCTGGGGAGGCCTCTGCCAACTGACACAATCATGCAGCATGATTGTAAACATCATTGTTCCCTTGTGGTGTTTTTCCTTGCTTTCTGAGGATATCTCCTCTTCCTCTCTTCTCTCTCCCTCTTCCTCCGGTCCGCCCTCGCACCACTCTCTCCATCTCTCCCTCCCTCTTTCTCTCCCTCCCCTATCTTCTACAAACTGCATTTTTTTTTATCCCTGCTCCCTCTTTCTTTCCTTAAAGATCGAGAAAGAAGTGGAGCATTGCCTCCTCCTCCTCCTCCTCCTCCTCCTGCTGCTCCTCCGCCTCCTTTAAAAGAATGCAAAGATTGAGAAAGGGGTGGGGCATTGCCTTCCTGCCTTTCTTCTTTCTTCATTCGGGGGGGGGGGGGGGGGGGCGAGATAGAGGTGGAGCATTGCCTCCAACTCTCCTTTTCCTCTCGATCTGCCCCTTCGGAAAGGTCGAGATAGAAATGGAGCATTGGCCCCGGCCTTTTCTCCTCCCCCTTTACACCGGGTGCCAATTCCGACTCGTTAGAGTCGATATTCAAGAGGCTGGAAGAAAAGGATGACCCCTGGGCTGTGCATGTAAGATTCTTCTCCTTTTCTCATCTTTTCTCATCTTTTCTTTTTCTCGCTGCTTTGTGGTGGTTCCTTGATTGTTAATAGTGATGGTATGATCAGCAGGTCTACCAAAGCCTATCTAGATGACCTGCCTGCCTGCGCGTGCCTTTTCTCTCTATCCTACATTTCACGCGGCGAGGAAGGGAAATCGAGAACAAGGACTTGGCTGGCTCTCCCGTGCGCGGGGCCGGAGAGCGAACACCAGTAGGGTGGGGTATGTCCATTCTGCCGGTGTAAACATCAACAACAAGGCCGAGTATGGGGTCGGGTGTTCTGGTAGTGGGGATTCGGGGTGAAATCTCAGTATGTTAACATCCTTTTTTCTTTTCATTTCTCTCTTTTTCTTCTTTTTCTCTTCTGGCTGCTTTGTGTTTTTTTTTTTTTTTTGCATGAGAATTCTTTTCTGACAGGTGGATTTTATTAGTAGGGAGAGCGAAAGGGGCAAGAATGATACCCTCCCTCGCTTTCTCAAAGAATCAAACAAGAATGTTTGTTTTGGTTCCCCCTCTGCCCCCAACAAGAAGATCGTCACCAAGATCTCATTCGGGTTTATTATGGGATATCTGATCCTTCGCCATCCGGTGAATGCTTTGAAGATGTGGCTGGGTTCGGGGTGGCTAGCAAAGAATCGTAAGTACCATCTTTTTTCTCACTTACCTCGCATTCTTGCTTCTGGTATTTTTGGATCAGAGTTTCGTTTCTAACAAACATAAAGTGGACCATCCCTCTGGGGCGGAGGATGGGGAAGATACTGTGAACATCCTTCCCTCCGTCTCCCTTTCTCCACCGCCTGAGTATGAGGGGTGGGATAAAGGAGAAAGGGAGGGAAAGAACATGAAGATGGGGTCTTCGGCACCCTATCCGTCATATTCCCACCAAAACGATGGATGATTAGGATAGGGCAGTCTGCCTGCTACTTCACCCATTATCCTATGATTGAATTAGTTCCAGTCGTTGATAGGACTGGAACAATATCGGGTGTGAACAATGAAGAGCGCCTAGCTCGTAAGTGTTTCATTTTATTCCTTTCTTCTACTTATTTAGCAGGGAATGTTTCTAACAAAGATGAATTAGTATGTGGCTTTCTCCTGATGTGCTGTAGTATCTTTTTTTTTTTTTTTTGTTGGTGTGCTGTTGTAAGTCTAACTAGCCGTTTTCTTATTTTTTTTCTTTTATCAGTAATTCCAGCTCTAATCGATCGAGTTGTTATTATATTAGTTTCTAACAGTATTGAGTTATTCAAACAGACAGGAGCTACCTGGAAGGATGAGCAAATGTACATCGTCACCTTTCCCGGCTCCGCTACAAATAATGGAGGGGTATGTGGGTGGGACTTCCAGGGGGGTGTCGCATTCCCATGAAGTCCTTCCCATACCTCCCTCCATTATCTGGAGCGGAACTGGAGAAGGGGAGATATACATATGGATCGTTTCAATGTCCCCCCTCAACCAATCAGCAGCGCAACCTCCACCCATTTGGGCGGATCATGGCTTTGCCAGACGTCCTATCGGCCCGACAATCGCTGAAGCCACATGATCAAATCATGGGAGGCTGAGGATCAAAAAAAGAAGGAAACAGCATATCTGAGGTAAGTAGATATCTTCCTGTTTCTTACCTGAATCTTATTAGCATTATCTGCTTTGGCTTAGTTGTCAATAATCTTCTAACTATTTTCATTAATTTAGATGAGTAGATGAGAGAGATACCCAGCCCCCATATGGGCATACCTTTCCCCTCCGTGATACAGTCAAGGGATGGGTATGTGAGTCTCTTCATCTCTCTCGCTCCATCCTCGTATGGGGAGGATCAAGTCCTTCTCGATTGTTTCACCTGGTGTGGGTTCCTCCTCTTCGCCTCTTCGCCAGCTCTTAGCTGCAACTCCACCAGTTTATCTAAACTGCCAAGTCTCGACGAAGTACCATGCGGCGGGCATGTTCTGTGCCTGTTTCCCCTGTCCAGGAATCGTGGGAAAGACGACACAAAGCTCGGCGATGGCTATGGAGTCCTCTTTCTACTATTGTGTGTTGGGTGGTTTTCTTTTCTTGTTTTTCTTTTTCTTTTTCTTTCCTTTTTGTATCTTTGTATTTCTTTTAATATTGTTTCTTATTACTCTTCTCTTCGTCTCTCTCGGCAGCGAGCCTTATAATTCCCGTTGTTTGAGCTACTGCATCTGCCTGGTGCACCTCCAGCATCGCGTTGACACCATTTCTTTCTTTTTTACACTCCTTTGAGTGCCTCTTGGGTCTTCGATTGTTTTGTAATTAATATTCGGTCATTAAGTTCAGCGAATTTCAACATTCCTGGATCCAGAAAATTACTAATTTTGAATTTTGAGTTCTGAGTTTTGAGTGTTGGGCGTTCTTGAGTACTTTGTGGTTCGATTTGATTAATAAATAGTAATGGGTAATGATTGATTAGTAGGTTTCTTAGTTGGGAGTAGCGTGGCAACCAACCAACCATTTCATCTGCCAAGATAGCCTAGATTGGTGAAACCTTGTTTTGCACTGAGTGCTGTGTTGTGTCGGTTGCTATAATTCTCTGTAGTTTTTCCATGCCCAGGTGGTGCATTTGAATGCCCCGTGGCGGGGGTCGGCCAGGCACTATAAAGCGGTACTAAGAGTGCACGGCCAAGGCTTTGTATTAATGCTATGATCCTATTATGGTATACTACTCTCCAGCAGCGGAAATATGGTACGTCTGTACTTATACCATAGTAAATTAATCAGTAATTTAGGAGGACCTCGCTACCGCCTATCTATCTCTCTATTTGTCACTATTAGCATTACCACATTAGCATCCTCAAACACAAGTACATGTAGATAAGACAAAAAATCCACCGAACTCTTTCAATCCCCCTGCTGTAACGCTTAATCAAGGGGGAAATAAGTACCATGGACTGCTTGGTGATGGTCTACATGTAGAGCCCCGTGGGGGTGTACGGTACGATCTTAGGATGGTCAAAGTGGATGAAGTTTGATGGGCCTGATTGAGGTCGGATGTGTGGAGAAGGGAAGATGTGGTGATATGAATGTGATGCGGGGCGGGATAACTTAGATTGCGGGTTGGTAGTGGTACTGTATTTACACTAGGGCCTTTGTTTTCATAGTCCGGGAATATTGTAACGACAACCCTGTTCAAATCTGGTGCGGCGGAGTACAGGCCACAATGATATTGGAGTCGCAAAGTGCATGCATTCAGAAGCGAAATTTTCGGTAGGTGCCATGAGGTGCTTCAGATTAATTGCTCTGGATCCATATGAAATCACTGAATAATGAGCGACAGCGCATCATAGGCTATGTAGTCGGACCTCAGGCCTGGAGCCTGCATTTCTTTATCCTATGAGCCTCAAAAGCGATACGGAGTCATATGGCCCCCGAACTTTAACCCCAAACACATCACTCATCTCACCCTCTTCCGACAAACCCTCGATCACATCGAAATACGTCCCTAGTCCATCTACCCCACCACCTCTCGACGTATCCCATCCCTTTCTGCATCCTATCGCCGCGGCCTACTCGGCGTTGGGTTCTCGGTGGAGTCAACGAGCCCTCGTATATCTCTGCGGAATTCTCAAGGCTACATTCGCCCGTGCGGGGGTAAGGCGCGGCCAGCGACAGCCATAGTGACTTTTGGGAGGACAGCATGCCTTGAGACCAAGCTTAATACCGGTGGTATTACGTGGGGTGGGGCATTGAGAGGGGATATTAAGTTGAATACGTAAAAGAGAGGGGACCCAGGAGAGACAGTGATATTCCGAGTGAGGTGGGCTTGGATCTGTCTGTCTTTTGAGAGTTTGTTTTTCTACTTCTCCCTATCGAAACAAGGAGACTATCATCGCTTTAGAAAATTGGGATACTAATATGCCGCCGGGACGTAGTTAGTACTATTTAGTCGATTCAGGATAGTTCTACTAATACTGAGAAATCTGAGATTGTAAACCCGAGTAATTGAGATATATAGAAATCCTACATTCTCTTTAGATCTGTCTCAAGATAGTGTGTCCTGATCCTGCACCGGAAATACCCGATCGCGAAGGGACGGAGAAGCATTAATCTCGGTCAATAGAATTCGAAAATAATCCACCTGGCCATATATAAGACACCAACATGTTTCGTCGAGAAGAAATAAAGAAGGCCCTAGGCACATAGCAATAATAGACTAGACAAAGGTGTCCAATCCGCATGACCGCATCAGAATCGAATAATTTGATAGACGGCAACATCTAATCAAACTTAACTCTGACTGACCGAATTTATAGGCCTTGACTGAGTCCAGTGCCAGTAATCATGAAGGATCACTCGGCCCTCTTACCGTAATTCTTTACGCTTTAGAACAAAACCAACAAGTAAAGCTAATGTGGAAAGATTGGTAATACTAGAGAGTAACGCTTGAAGTAGCCCTTGTCTAGATATTATAGATAACACCGGGCGTGGGTATATATGTGTAGACAGTCGGGCGCACAGGCCAACCTCGTACGTACTTGAAAAATCGACCAACTTTCAATTAGTAATTGTAAATATCCCTAGTATCACCTTCTAGCCACCCCAAACAACATGGCGGCATTACTCCCATATGGGAACAGAAGATAAATGAGAGGAAATGCGGACCTTGGATTTATTTCAAATGGTCCTGCCATACTCAAAAGCTTAATGTTAAGAGAGCTTGACCTTGACGAGCGGAGTCCTACGCTGGCGGTTTGGATTATTCACCAGAACTTAATTTTGTGTGTACCAGTCCAAAATCTATGACGTGTCCCCCGATTCAAGCCACAATATTCGAAGAACTCCTAGGCCACCTATATTCTTACCAGCGAGCCAAAATCCCGTAAGAGAAGGAGTACCAGTGTCAAAAAGGATTATGTATAAACACAAGCTTATTTAAGCTAAATGAAGTCCAATTATTTCTCCTACACCTAACTTTCTGCTATCTCAAAACCATTCGTCTTCAAACGAAAATAATATATATTTAGATAAAATCTCTCTCAGGATGATCAATCCCCTCCGTTATCTATACCATCATCTATCCTAACATCTATACTGTCTTCATTGATAGCATCACCTTATAGCCCCCCATCTATCACCAATTCCATACAGCAAACGTAACAGCCCCCTTTTCTCATCTCTCTTTGGTGGAAAATCTTCAATTATACCACTCAACCTAGCATAGCAGTTTCTGGAGATTCTTCCAATATCCGGTACCGCTGGCTCTTCAAATAACCTCCTCTGTAAGAACAGATAAAACTCCATCCCAGCTGCTCCAACCTTTAACTTACTCCATCACTAGCCATCACTCAATCGCATGCAGACAGAGCTACAAAGCGTCACACAGCGGACTACCACCCAGCCAGATCTCACTCGTCTCTCTGGTCCCTCGACATCACAAGGCCCATGCATCTCAGAATGCAGCAGCATCATCACCATAGTCACGTCCTCCAATCCCTCACCATTCTCCTGCTACTACCCCCGCTCCTCTTAGCCATCGAACAGACCCCGGAAAACCGATCATTTGCCCTGCCATCCTGTGTACATCTCTGTGTTTTCGACCACTCCACAGAACTGTTCGTTCCACGTCTCTGCCGATCATCGGCTCTCCTGTCAGCAGCACGTAACTGCACGTTTCTTACCTGCGTGGGTGAGGCCGCTGATAGTAGACAGCTGGTTGACGAGTGGTTCACACATATGTGTGATCACGTCCCAGAGCGAGAGTGTAGGCCAATGGACGTTTATAGACCGGGTGTGCAGGTGTATAATGCCATGCGGGCAAATATCGCTAGCCGTCTGGGGGCAGAAGAGATAGTTGCGGTGGGGCTGTTGACCGTGGTGACGGTGGTGGCTGTCCTGTTGCTGCTGGGCGGGAGCACATATGTGTGGATGGGATGGAGGAATAGGATGGTGAGAGAATTTGAAGAAATGATGCAAAGGAAAGATATGGAGAGGAGAAGGGAGGAGAGGGAGAGGAGGAGGAAGGAATATAGGAGATATTGGGGTGCAGATGGAGACGGAGAAGGGATAGTGGTGCGGGTGGAGATGGGCGTCAGAAATCAAAGAGAAAATGAATAGCTTCAGGCGGTATGTACAGTGGAGGAAGACTCCTAGTTGTAGCTGGGTATAATGTATATTCTTACTAACACTTATGTTATCAACATTCATCATATAGCTATTTGCTTTATTCGCAACACCTATTTGCCCTTTGTAGATATAAAAAAAACTATATTATTAGCACATACTTTAATTAGCCTACGCAATTTATTTTAGTATTACTTACTTTTATCACCGATTTCTTCTGAGTATTTCGGTATTTAAGTGGTTTCTAGGAATTATAGCGCGCGAATTACCTATCCAAGATGGGTGAATTAAATACCCTAGAAACAACTCGTTATCTATTTCTAACCAGCATTATGCTAGCGCTGCACAAAGTTGCAAACCTACTTATATAAACAGTTGGTTTAATTACTATCTAACCTTGGAAGACGAGCAGGGTTACCGCATTTCTCTGCCCGTACCTTATGTAAGACCTTTGTAGGAAGATTGGTGTATATAGCTTTGTTAAATTCCACCATAGCGTGGCATATATGGCTGTACGTGTAAGGTAGGTACGACGCTAGGGATATCTGCATCATAGACCACGTCACAGTGTGACATCAAAACATCTATCACGGTAGAAGGCCTGTGGTAATCAAATCAATTGACTATGGAAGCTTTGCTCTGATCTAATGGATATATACCGGTACACCTTGTGTGTAAATTAATTTTGTTGAAAACATGCTAGCGCCGGTTTTGCGCCTCTGCGAGTGAGAAAAGTCAATCTTATAAAGTCATGCATGACTACATCATAAGGTGTTAATGAAATATATGCGAACAAACATGATGACGAGGATTTTCTATATCGCTCCAAACGATTATAATGTTGCGCCTATCAAGTTGTAAGTTCCAAATGTTCTATTTGGAATTGATACATATTGTATATACTAGAAAGTGCCAAGGACTGCACAAAGTAAAAACCACTTTATCCCGCTATCAGAATGGTAGCGTTAGCAGTCAAATCCATTGACTCTCCAGCCAAATTCGTTGTTACTCCAGAAGCGCACGTGCGGCTATACCCACAGTAGGTACAACCTTGATGCCTGAGACAGTTTCATTGTTATATATGTATAAGCTTTTGATTGTGACGGCCACAGCTTACTCTGCAGCAAAGTTAACAGCTGTACTCGGGGCAGGTAAAAAGTACCGGACAATGCAGGTTTTTGGTTCACCAATGGGCGCGCGTGCTAGGCGTGAACTACTGCAAAAAAAGCCCAGAGACAAAACTTGCATTGTCCGGTACTTTTTACCTGCCCCGAGTAAAGCCTCTCCGCCTACTCTAGTGTACGAGTCTAGCTAGCTGGACATGGTATTAATGTGCTCTACAGCGATATCCCGCTATCCCTTGGACGCGTGAGACATTTGGAGAATCTCTCTCATGCATTAGCGGGAATTGGCAGTCATGTGATCTAGAATTTGGCTGAGAAAACGTCCGGGTAAGCAGTTTGCTGCATTTATCGGTCTTCGTAATACTCAGAGATGCCAAAAACTTCGCAAGTTGCTGCTTTATTATAGTAAATCGTTTCCTAGGTAGGGCACGCTAATGCATGAGAGAGATTCTCCAAATGTCTCACGCGTCCAAAAAAACCTTGCTGTAAGAAACACCCATAGGGTATACGCTAACAGCTCTACACCAAAATCTTACTTGCTGTAAGAAGTGTTTTGCTATAAGAAACGAAAATTGCCTGCACCTTGGCGTTTCTTAGAGCGAGGTGTAGCAGTACGCCAGAAATCAGCCCAAAGCGAGCATGGGTTAAAGCTTTCAAAAACTGACATGTCACCTTTAAGACTATGCGCGATTCTATGACGACTCCACCTTGAAAAATTTTCTTCAAGACAAAGCAGCCAAGCTTTATTTTATCTCGCTGACCCAGTTTGAGAGCAACCCGAATGATAATCCATGATTGACAGGTAACATTCAATAAGGGACCTGGTATATGTATATTACAACCCCAATCCCCGAGTCTCCAAAGACGCCTTCATAAGGCAGTAAGAACCTAGGCTTTGAAAGCTTAGGTTTCGCTTCAGGGTTAAGAAGAGGTATGTAGAGTAGGTACCTACGTAGTTCGTTCAGCCTTGTGCGCCCTGCGCTGACGCACTTGCACGTAGCCTTGAGCATAGTAGAAAAAGAACATCGCGCGACTTTCTAATTCGCTGATATATCGGCCCGATGAATGCTCAAAAGCCCATTAATGACGACAATGTAATTAAGGGCCTGTTCGGCTGGTTTAACGTGGTTCTTGCCATGATATCATGATCATGATAGGTATTCTCGGCTACGTGGTATTTTATGCCCCCAAGGAAACTGACATTGAGCTTTGTGGCCGACTGAACACCATAGCACCCAGTACTAATGCCGTGGAAGGCTGACCGCTCTATCGTGGGGGTGCATGTACCTACTCTAGAGTAGAGTACTACTCCGCATATTCGCCAAGGTTATGCACGTGACTTACCGAAAGACAACCAAAGAATTGTGTAAGTATATATAAAGTATTGTCCTATACAGACTAGTGTGTATGTAGGTGGATGAAGTTGGAGTACATGAGGCCCAGCAATCAAGACATGCTGAATATGTATCGTGTTGGTATCTTGGCGAAGTTGTGCTAGTACTAGAATATTCAACATGAATCAATACCCGGCCAATTGGCTGGTTGGTCGCTCACCCGCATGTTAGGGACGGGACATTGAAATCGACATCGGGGATACATGTACTTATAATTATCGCTCAATTATTTTGCAACAGCTTCTACCTACATGAATGTACCAAGGCAAGGCTTAAAGTCTCTCAGATATTTGGGGGAGGGGCTGTAACTCTCTGATACTTCCCCATACATCTACCATCAGACTTTCTCCAGACACCTCAAGAACCCTCTTCAATATGGCCGAAATCGTGGGGCCGGCTGCCGCTATCGTCGGACTTATTAATATCATCGGAAAAGCAGCCTTTATGGGCCATGGCTACCGCGAAAAGGTCAAAGGAGCTTCAAAGCAGATTAAGAAACTTGCAGACGAGCTCGATTCTCTGAAGATAGTCCTTATTTCTCTACAAGACTATATTGGTCAAGATCCAGATTCGTCGCAAACACTCCGGGGGCTTGAGCCCTCGCTCATAAGCTGTAAAGAGGATGTACAGTTACTTATTACAAAGCTGGAAAAGCCCCAGTCCGGATGGAGGTGGTTCTTCAGGCGACTTAAATGGCCTTTGGATGAAGCAGATACTCAGCAAACAATTGAAGTGCTTGACAGGCTCAAGAATACTTTTAGTCTCGCACTCAACGCCGATCATATGTATTCCTACTTTACCAAGAGTTTATGCGGGTTATATTTTTCTAACTGTATGTGTAGCTCCATGACACGACGAATTGAGCTAAACACAAAAGGGATGAATAACTCCAGGAGAAGTAAGTACATAAATTTCACCCAAGTTAATTTGACGGGATATTAAATCTGTGCCAACTCCAGTGGAACAACGTCGGGTTGTGTTGGGGTGGATATACGCCAGACATTTTTATAAGAAGCATCGCCAGATCATAGATCGCCGGCATCCTGGTACAGGTATGTGGATATTGAGAGATACAGGATTTATGAAATGGTTCTCGGATACAGATTTCCAAATACTTTGGGGCCACGGTATTCGTAAGTATAATATTCTTCCTCACAGTAAACCATTACTAACCCAATAATTACTGGGATAGCCGGAGTGGGAAAGACATTTCTGAGGTATGAAATCACTCGATTCATAAACTTTACAATTTGGAGGGTCCTGAAAATTTCTATTTAGCTCTGTCGTAATTGAACACATTGAAGGACATCCACAACTGAAAGCTAGTCGTTATGGGCTGGCCTATATTTACTTTGACTTTAAAGAGCAAGATCAACAAACACCCATACTTGTTCTCGCAAGTCTAGTGAAGCAACTCGCCAGTCAAATTCATTCTCTCCCGGTGGAAATTGAACACCTATACAATACACTAGAGCCAACAGGCAGGACTCCAAGCTTCGACGACTTTTACAGGATTCTCCTTGTGGCCAAAAATGCTTTTTCTAGAGTGTATCTCATTTTTGATGCCATAGATGAGTGTGCCGAAGAAAATCAAAGAAAGGAGATACTTCAGTTATGTCATAAAATGGCACAAGACGGAATGAAGCTATTTGTGACTAGTCGACCGCACGCATCAAACATCCAGGAATCGTTCAAGTACGTGGCCAAGATCAAGCTCAAAGCCGAGAAGGAAGACATCGAAAGTTATGTCAAACAAAAAATCAATGAGAATCTAAGGTCAAGACTCTTCGTCTCGAGGGTAAAAAATAAAGTTATATCCGATCTAGTTGAATGCTCTCAAAGAATGTAAGTGTCATTACATAACACAAACAGCAGTAAATTATTCTGACCGAACTCGATAGATTCCTCCTTGCCCGATTTAATGTCGAATACATTTGTCAACAGACTAGCACAGAAAACATCCTAGACGCGGTAGACTTGTTGAGACGTTCATGGTCTAAAAGTAGGCCTTTGAACGCTGCCTACGAGAGATTTATGAAAAGGATTCAACGATTAGAAGAACAGATCCGTACAGATATAGCACTTAAAGTTCTCACGTTGATTGTTAGGGCTAGGCGGCCGTTGACAATTATTGAGCTTCAAAACGAAGTTTTTGCGGATCACAGACTCAGGAAGATAGGAGTACTAGATGAAAGAACACTCCTTGACGTCTGTGCCAACCTGGTTTTCGTTGATGATACTAGGAGAAAGCACGTTCGTTTAATACACTATTCAGCGCAAGAATATCTTCTCGAATATCCTCTCCTCAATATCGCATCCTCGAATGTCAGCTCCCCAAACACTACCCCATATAACACAGGCCTCCCCGATATTACTCCTTCGAGAATTACCCCCCAACCACAAGGATATAGGATCTTCAGGCCTGGTGTTCAAGAATACTATAGTAATTCGGAATATGGCGCATCCGATGACTCGGACCGTGAAACAGAAACAACTCATGACTCGGGCATCGAAATACCCGACTCCCCGAGGTTTTCCTACTCCCATGTCAGAGTCAACGCTGATCGTGTGCGTGAAGATGACGAAACCACCGTAACCACCGACGTCATATACAAACAGATGAAAGAATGCGAAGAGGTCATAAACCGCGCGGATGAAGATCTCAGGAAGCATAGAGTGCGCCTTTACCAGAAAATGATAAAGAAACTTAAAAATGCCGAGCTACCAAACGGTGCAGATTCCACCGATGCTCACAGCCGCCGAAAGCTGGCTCGGCGGGAGAAAACTCGAGAATCAAAGGAGGGAGAACGTCAAGGGCGAGAGCGAGAAGCAAAAGAGAAAGAACGAGAGCGAGAGCAAAAAGTAAGAGAGAAAGAGCGTCAAGCGCGAGAGCGAGAAGCAAAGGAAAAAGAACGTCAAGAGCGAGAGCAAAAAGAAAAAGAAAAAGAACGTCAAGAGCGAGATCGAAAAATAAGGGAGAGAGAACAACAAGAGCGAGACCGACTAGCAAGGCAAAACGAACGTCAAGCACGAGAGCGAGAAGCAAAGGAAAGGGAACGTCAAGAGCGAGACCGAAAAGCAAGAGAGATGGAACAACAAATGCAAGATCGAGCAGCACAAATGCGAGAACGAGAAGCAATGGAGAGAGAACGCCAAGAGCGAGAGCGAAAAGTAAGAGAGAGAGAACGCCAAGAGCGAGAGCAAGAAGCAAGAGAGAACATACGTCTAGTTAGGGAGCTAGAAGCAAAGGAGAGAGAACGTCAAGAGCGAGAGCAGGAAGAAAGAGAGAACGTGCGTCTGGTTAGAGAGCTATTAGACAGGGAAAGAAAACGTCAAGAGCAAGAGCAGGAAGAAAGAGAGAATGTACATCTGGTTAGAGAACTAGAAGAAAGGGAGAGAGCGCGTCAAGAGCGAGAGCAAGAAAGAGAGAACGGACGTCGAGTTGTAGAGCAAGAAAAAAGGGCGCAGGATAAGGCTAAAACGACTAGAAGGATTCAGAAGAAGCGTGGTTTGAGGGATTAAGTATTATGAAGGACCGATTTTTATGAGCAGAATAGGTATATAAAATGGGAGGCGTTCTATTTCAAGCGTGCTGGGAAGGGGGGGGGGGGGTTGCAAGTATATGAGAACGAGTTCTTTACGATACCTACCTTCCTTTCCTAATTTCAGGGCTCCATGTGGGGAATACTAGAGCATATGGCGATGAAAAGATCCACGATGGAATTGTTTCTCCCCTCTGATATACCTTCTCTCATACTTTGTGTTTAACCAAGTACTCATCGATCTAGGGGATCCGGCTATGGCTTAGGTATATTTTATGGGTGTATTGAAGTTTCAGTCGTTTCCATAGCTACTTAGGTTCTTTTGTTTATTACTCTCTTTAATATTTCCTTATATACATTTCACTACTTTGTTCCATATTTCACTACTTTGTTCCATATTTCACTACTTTGTTCCTTATAAATACATACATACCTGTACCTTAGTCCTACGAAATATATGTGTATGTGCCTACTTTCTCAGGTTATATAAATTTCAGCCTGGCGATGCTGTTTTATGAATCATATCACTATCAAGAAAAAAGGATCGCAACATACATAATCAATATATAACACTCACTACTCGGCGAAAGCAAGCTCCCCGAATACAGTATCTTTTAATCACGGGACTAACTCAAAACTCCACATGTTTTTTCTCATTATTTGAGCTGCTGCATTTATTTACATCCATACGTTTCTCCTCGAGATCCTCCGATGCTTGTTCATTGCCTTTCTTATTTTTGTAGGTGTAGCCGGAGAGCGACACCAGCATCATACTATTCCAACCTCCAACCCGCCCGCCTATTGAATAGGGTTTGTGCATATGCAACTTGGCCTATACCCACATCGATATATACCACTATGACAGTGTAGCTAGCCGTCAATATAGGAAAAAACAGAAGAGAGTAAGGAGGTAATAACTCACTGCAAACCGCGATCAAGCAGCAATCACTACGACCCCTTCAAACCCAGCTCGGCCTGAGATGCTCTGCGTAGAGGGAATCTACAACGTGAGGTAAAACTGTTGCAGAGGTGTGGGAAGAGCCCTATTGGACGAGTCAGCCACCTAAGTACTGTTTTAGATCCCCGTTGCTACAATAAAGCTAGCTTACGCTGAATAACTTTCAAATTTTATTTCTCTTCTAAGAAGCAATTGCACCGACCATTTCATCCCCAAAATCTCTATCCTTTTAGGCTTGCTCCAAGCGTATCATACCAGTACTCTTCCAGTGATGTGCATGTGTGCTCGACCCGCGCCATCCCCAGGGCTAAAGCCAACCCAATTCTCAAAGGGATAGAATAGCTGCTTATTCTAAACTATACGAGATTATCAGTACAAGCATTCTTCTTAGCGGGAAAAGAGGGTGTGTTTGGGCTCATACATATGTTCCGAGTTGCACCCCCAGCACCATCCCACTAATTGATGTGAGGAGCAGTCGATGCTTTTCCCCACTGCTCCACATGCCCCCCAATAGATCGAAATTTTCTTGCTGATTTCAAGTCCGAAAGAGAACCATTGGGCCTCAGGTAGAATACATCCTACCATGATTACCGCTTGTCCGGTGAAGCGTAAGGTCCAGACACAGCAATCGAAGAGAGTTGTGTCTATGGCTTGCGGATCTGTCTATTCACTTGCTGGATGATTAGCTCTTGTACTATCTCGATTCGGATGAATTGTACTAACGGGGTCGTGTACCCATCTTCCCGGACCACTTCCCACGCCCTCCAAAGCAGTGGGCGAGTCCCCAGTATGATGGACCGGCTATCTCAGTCCAAATCGAGCTCGAAGTTGAGCTGGTTTAAAAGATGAAGCTGTGGGAGGAGTGGTGCTCTCTGCCACGTCTTGATGAGTGCAGCAGTATATCCGCTGGAATCTATGACTGATTAAGCTTTCTATATATCAGTATTCATCTTATTACGCTGATCATGAGGAGGCCCGAAATACTATACTTTTTCCGTAGTTTCCAGAGCTGCTTCAACTATCTCCCCGGGGGGGGGGGGGGGGGCGGAGAAAGAATTGGTGTTCACGGTCCAGATATCGGAGCCTAGCTCTAGAATGTGCGATGAGAACCTCATTTGGGAACGACGTGAGGCGGTTCCGAGTTTGGAATAAGGTTGAGAGTCTGATATCGCCTCTTATCTCGCTTGCCTTGAACTAAAATACTGGGTTAGCAAGAGGATACAAAACGAAACAATGTTAGATGGTATATTTACTTACAGAAAGATAGTCCGACATGAAGGAGTTCCAGAATGTATGGGATATATTGGGATAATAGATGGGGGGTAATAATAACGGGGAGAACCGATAAGTCGTCATTGTATAATTTGTGTTGTGCGATAAAGGTATGTTAATCGCTAGGTGAGATGTTGGGAGAAAATGGTGTTTATCTCGATCTCGCGTAGTAGTATTCTGATAGGTCGGCAGTGTTGCGCTCCACTCATAGATTGCTTGAAGGATAGATGCCCACAGCCCAGATATCGGTGGGTAGAGTCTGTTAAACTATGTACTCGCATATCAGGTATGTATTTGCGCAACCAGCAAAACACACACAGAATCCAGAGAGCTTTCCCATCTCCCCTGAAATTATGTGTCTTCTATCTAGACACCTGAAAGACTCTATAGGCCACTTTTAGGCCATATCTACAAAGAACAAGCCTGAAGGTGAAATGTGTCTAAAAGGGTCCTTTTATGGCACCTTTACCAGTATCTCAATTGGGCCAAGGATTTGAAGCATGGACCTCCTTTATCAAAATTATACTATACTTGGTCGTTGATATTTTGGTTTAGGTGTGGGACTTTTTATGAGTTGTTGAAAACCTCGATTTTTGGTGTGTTTTGCTGGTTGGGCAAATACATAATTGGCGTGCGAGTACATGTAGTTCAAGAAACAAGAAGAAGTAAGACGATGATAGGTTTGAATCGATCTATTGAATCTTGAGAGGATTAAGTTTTTTATTTATAGTAGGAGGGAATTGTACAACAACAAGTGTACGTACAACACGTGTTCTGCTGTCTAAAAGACAGACACAAAAGACACATTCAGTATGAACAGGGTTTTACCAAAGTAAAGAAACAACGAAGAGTCTATGTCCGAGACCTTCGGTTTGAAGAAATGATGTTCAGGGTATGCAGTAAAGAGGCGATATGCACATATTTCTAGAGCTGCCCCCTGCTTGACGAAGTGCCAGGATCACCAGCCGGAGAGAAGACTACATGCAAGTTTTTCAAGGTTTACCATACAAGCTTCAACGCCGGCCGTGGCAACCCTGTCCCGTTCTGTCAATCGGTAATTTAAACTTTTGCCTGTCAACGGAACCCCGCGCATGGTATAGACGTACTGATAGTGCAGCGGGCTTATATGGTGTGATCGCACGCACATATGACAGAAGATACATGTATCTACCAAGGTGCTCTACTACATGTAATGTAGATACTACTATGCGCCTCTATGTAACAGTATCACGCTGCCTAATTAAAATCGAATTACGATATAGAGTACAGTCAACATTTACGCTTGACAGGTATTCTAATATGCACCTACGTGTAGAAGACCCATATTAATGCCTAAAAATACGCTATATACAATCACCCATTTACGTGCAGCGGTGCAGAAAGAAAGTGCCTTATAAAAATTACCCTCACCGCTCCGCTGTACTTTAAAAGAACACACCACCACCTCGTTTAACGAGCGTCTACGCGCCTAAACCGGCAAAAAACGCATCCTGAAGGCACGTACGGCAAAGCTCATCGTCAACATTATATTAAAAATTCACGACAAATAGCCGGGCGGGGGCGGGGCTCACATCCACATCGCGCCGGCCACGCACCACACGTGGGAGATCTAGATGGAAATCTTATCTTGTGCACCCCTCCCATACCACACATTGGCCATACCTCCGTTACCGCTCCATGCAGGGCAATTAATATAATCCACGAGTGAATAAAATAAAAATATGTTGCTGATGTCACTGTACATATATGACTGATCCTCTACATACAATTAAAGTAAGATACGAAGCCTGTGACCGCATTCCTGATTTTTATTTTTATTTTATTTATTTATTGCTCTCCGATAACGAGGTGTGTAGTGCAATGTTTTACACATGTTTTTCGGTGCGGGAGCACACACAATCACTCGTTCGCGCGCCGGCTATCTCGGATATGAGCGGCCCACAACCCCTCACTCGCACGGACCATCCGTTTGTGCCCGAAGAGAGAGACAAGAAAAGGAACGAAAACGATAACAGAAGTAGGGGGGAAAGGGATGGAAAATTTTTTTTTTGTTCGAGGAGAACGGAGGAATGGGTGAGTCACGTGGTATCACTCGAAAAAGCTGGACAAAGGGAGCTCATGAAATTCATTATTAGCAGTACCGAAAAATTTAAATAGTTGTTACAGTGTTGACTTCCCTATCATACCAGTCTCCTGTCTATAACATATGCCTAACCTCCGTCTCCTTGACCGTCATCTCCCCCACCAGCTCACTCACCACTCCCGCAAGCTCCCTCCCCTCCGGAACCTCATCATGAAGGCCCCGTGCCCTCACAAGCCTTACCCGCTGTCCCTTCCCTCCCTTCCCCCTCGCTCCCTCAATTCGTGCCCTCCATGCCAGCGTCTGCCGCCACGACAGCAACTCATCATCATCCGAGTGCATCAGCACTGTCCTTCCTTTGTAGCCCTTACATCCCTCCCACCCTGGTGACGCCGCACTCCACCTCTCCCGCTCTCCAAACGCGCCCTCAACAAACCCAGCATACCCCGGATACTCGTCGACTAGCCCCACAAGGTCATAGATACCCTCGACACCCACAACAGCCGCCGGCCATAGCCCCGCTGCCCCCAGCTGCGGCAGAACTTGGAAGACCAGTGTTGCGCCGGCGCTGTGGCCCACAAGAACGGCACGGTTAGGGGCCACCCCATAATTATCGCGCAGATAGAAGATTCCAGAGAGGACGTCGTTGAGGTGGTCGGGGTGGCGGGCAGTGGCTTGAGGTTGGTCGGGGTGCGGTGAGAGGCGGTAGTTTAGTGTTGCGGCGTTGAGGGTAGGGTGCGTGAGGAGGATGTGGTGCAGGAGCGGGTGTGCTGTAGATTTTGTAATCAGGGGGTCGCGCCAGGCACCTCCGTGGATGTAGCTAGCGAAGTATTAGTGTGAGATTTGTGGAGAGAGGGAATAGGAGCAATTAACATTAGCCAGGGCGCGGCGGGGGAGGGGTTCTGGTGGCAGACATCCAGGGTTTGGAGGGGGTGGGAGCCATATGGGACGTTTGTGCGGACGGAGGACATTGCTATGATGCGTTTAGGGTACCTCTTGTTCTTTTTGTAGGTTTTGGGGTGCCTTTCTTGTTGTGGTTGGAGAAAAGTTCTGTACTGGGAGTGGTGGGGGGATTTTATGGTAGTTATGAAGAATTGCTGCGCAGAGCAGACTCGTAGAGTTTTATAGAGTATCCATGCACGTAGGTCATTAGTTATCGGCGGAAGCCGCATTGGGTCGCAAGAATGATTGATTAGACATCTGGAACCCTTGCCAAGGTCAAGCCCGCCACGTGGGGGGTGTGGGTGGGTGTGGGTGGGGTACTGGGTGGGGTGGTGATGTCATTTAGCTTTGATTGACAAAGACTTCGATTTGCAACCACATCTAAATAATATAACGTGCGTGAGTCTACTCTACTCTGTTGATAGGCCTTGACTGCGTGAGAATCCTCTAATAATCCAATCCCTGGTTTGATGCCTACCACCTATCAACTTAGGTTGCCATCGTTTCACCATAACTGACGGTATAACGGCTATGGATAATAGATAGCTAGCTGCAGTACTCAAGAACCAATTGGCTAGCCCTAGTGGAACGTACAATACGGATACGATATCTCCATGTAGCTCCAGGCTCTCTCGTTACTCCAAGATAAAAAGAGTTTCGGTTCCCGACCACGGGATATAACATGAAAATCCTATCTGGACAAGAACCTTAAAGAGGCCCATTGCCGTTTCCAGGCTCGTCGGGAAGCATGCTGCAGAAAAGATCGATTCACCCTTCCGCGTGCCATGCAATGAGAACGGTACATATGCAGCCTCGGCCCGTTTGAGAACGTCAGTGGTTTGCTAACACTGCCTGAGGCAGGTTATTCTCCCTTGCTTTAGAAGTACGTGAGCATCGATTTAAACATTTTCAATCCGCTGCTCGGCTGCACCCACACCTCAGATGATCACTACTATATGGGTACACCAGGCTCGGATGTAATTACCCTCAACTCTCTCTAGAACAATCTGAGTACAGTTTGAACCATTTAGCTATATATGTTGATCCACGACATAAATGCCCCCGCAGCTTTCATCAGCCGGTTGGCTGGTGGGTGCTACCGTGCCTTTAAGACTCCTGACTATGTTGTGTGTGGTACGGCGCCTATAATCGGTATCTTTATCGTCATGGATAATACAAAAGAGCACTGCAGTGCTCCAGAAAGCAAGAACCCGCCTTCAAATTTCTCGACCTGGATCTTATGGGTTATACTCCCAGTAATTCGGATTTACGGGCTGGTGTTCTTCCGGCTGATGGCAGTTGCAGTGTAGGGGGTATCATATAAGCTACCGCCGTAATAGCAATCATGGTAGTGCTGTACTATAGAGGGAGAGGGGGCAGGCTCTGGCCTGCGGTAGTCATGCTTCGTTGCCAGAGTCCCAGTGGTAATAACGGCCTTATTTTATCCAGTTGCTGCGGGAAAACTCAGCACAAGTCTGGATGGTTGTTAGTGAAAATGCTTTGAGCCAGCTCTTAATTCGCCCATATTACACGTCTGGTTTAGAAGGCTGTGGACACCTTGACCTTGACCATCCATCAAGGCGTAGCTAGATGAAAAACGTTCCTCAGAGACGAAGGATGAAAGACGGAAAAGATTGAATCTAGATGTCGCTCCAGCTCTTTGTGGGTTGTAGTGTACATAGTGGGGAACACTGCCCTCAATTTTGCGGCTCCGACTAGTTGTCAGGGTTAGGGGAAGAAACCCTGTGGGTTAAGCTTTCGTGCCCCACTGATCATCCTCAGCCACCAACCCCCCCGCAGTCTGTATTATTGCTACAGTCGCTCACCTACTGACGGCGGATCTTGTCTGATGGTTCTGTTTGCAGTAATTTGCCCTTGGCGTCCAAAACCTAACTCTTTTATTGGCCTCAAATCCCTGACCGCCATCAGACAGGATCCGCCTTCACCCCGTGAGTGACTGTACGGTGTCGGACAGCCAAAACCAGCCGGCCAGAGCAACCACCGACTCCCCTTCACCCCATCGACTTTCAACAACGCAACACTTGTCCAGAAATAATGTTCTTTTGTAAAATGGGTCTAATCATGGTTGTAAACATCCCCATAAAAGGGGATTTAAAATAATTAAGAACTGGCTGCACTATGACCTCTCAAACATTTGGTGCAATCTGCCCGAAAAAAACATAGGTGTGAAATAATAACTTTAATAGCTTTATGCCAAGGCGGCCACATTAATTGGGATAATTCTTACCCTATTGGGATGATTAGATGATTATTATTACCCGATTAGGACTAGTTTCTGGCTTGAAAAGAACATGAGGGTTGATTTTGACTGTCCGGCGCTGTACCTCAACTAGTACAAAACATCAGCTTCCATCAAGGACGCTCAAACTAGCGATCATCAACTCTCAGAAATATTCTCCTTCTTGTGAGCTCTCCCTGCGACTGGCCGGCTGCTTAAGATGCCTGCAGCAGGATAAACGCTCCTATCACGTTGGTCAGTTTCAGATGGCAACGCATCGTCCAGCGAAAACTGCCGATCAGGAGGCTCGTACAATTAGGACAGGGCAGGATAAGACGGAACATGGCTTCACTTGCTACTTTAACTGCGCGAGAAACACCTCGGAGAAGACTACAGTATCCCCTCCAATATGGTTGCTACACGATCTCGATCTAGCAAGCCTAAGACAGGCAGGCAGGCCCAGATTGCAGCAGGTTTCATAATACTAGGCTCAGTGCAGCGTTGTAACACATAATGCGAATCCTCAAACCATTGCCTCTCTAAGTAATTTCAATAGCTTCATTAACTACATGTAGGCAATCCGGCCGAAAGTCCAGACTGAGATACCTAAGCCAGTACCTCGAGTCGCCTAGTGGAATAATCTTGCTTAACCTTTACAAGAATCGTTCTATGCGTTATTTGTAAAGCAAGGTTCCTTTAAAGGAGCACTAGATCCCCGGCCGCCATCAACACCTCCTGGGACCATGGGTTTGAGGTCCTCGAGCCAACAGAATTCCGGCTGTGCGAGTTCCATATCTCGAGTTATACCCCAAGCTGGTATTTTAAGGCATGAACGGGTGTACACGCCTAATGGCTTGGAAGGCTAGGAGTATATCCGCTAAGGCTCACGGTACTCCACAGCACACCCTGAGGCTTTTGTCACACTAGCGAACGAGACCCTGAGATGTCTGAAAGGATATTCGTTAAACAGACACAAACAAACTATTATAGAGAGAGAGAAATTTCATACAAGAACTTCCTCGACTTACCCAGTTCCTACGAAATTAATATAATTGGAGGTCGCCAAGCCTTGGTCTTTCGAGTGATAACACATGATACGACCATCAACTATTCCCAAATAGGGCCTATTGAACATATTGTTACTAAGCCATGGATCGAGGGAGTCTCCAAATTTAAGCGGGGGGAGATCGAAGACTCCGCGCATAAGCTACGGGTATCCCTTATACTGTCAGTCCGGATCGAAATGACAAAATTAACTGCATAAGGCAGTTGTGCTGTGCTGAACGCCGTGAACATTTATTCTCCCATTGAGTTGATTGTCACACGCTAAAAGGATGTACTAAGTCTATGACTGAATGAACAGTGTCAGAGTTTAGCAGAGCATACATACCAATTGAGGTTAATTTGTCATTTTGATTCGGACTGACCGTGTAAGGGATAGTACTTATGACGAGGTGTAGCTGTGGTCGAAAGTATTCGCTAACAAGATAAGAAAAAACTGACGGAATAGGTGTAGGTTGATTGACTCTGATTCATTGAGATTTATGGCCGGATGGGCAGTCCTCCCAGAGATATCAAAAAGAAAGATCCAGGGGACAAGTAAAATGACGGTGGTTTCCGCTTGGTGTTGATCGTTGACGCTGTTTAAGGTAGATGGTCAAGTGTGTAGAGGGAATTAAGAGGGGTAAAAATACAAATTCAACCAACTAACTACTACTAACGGGGACTCGGGGTCTCCGGATCTCGAGACTCGTAACAGGTCCTCCCACCATCGCGTCGTCTGTTCCGCAGAAACGTCGTGGTGATAGACCTAACTCTAACAATAAGTAGTATACACCTATTTTTAGGCCAATTTTGGGTGACAAGTGGGTCATTTTCGCACCGCCGACCGATGCTTCAAGTTAGCCTCTGAATTTTATATAGTGGGCCACAAGTCGCCACAAATGCTGAAAGCGCAGGAAAGGATGGCCTCGCAAAAAAATTGTGGAGAGTGCGAAATCAAACTACAACATTAATGGGTGTGAAAAAGATCGCAGACTCAGAACATGAAGTGGTGTTCCAATTGCAAGCCGTTCTGGACTGGACTTATCCTCTACAGTTGGGCACGCAAGGCCGATGCAGCAAGATCTCTCCTTCTGGAGGAAAATCACAATATCTAGCATTTAAATTCTCTAGCAGCATGCACCGATAATTTGAGCCTATTTTTGGAAGTCATAACAAGACTGACCTTTCACGAGGCAAATTCCGAGATGTCTTCCTTTCCGAGTGATGATACATGACGCTAACCATCCCTAAACAGGTTGCGCATAGTATTTCACTAGTACCACTAATGTATTAATAGAGTGTTTTGGTCACAAGTTTTGAGGACAAACTCGGAAATTGTGTGCGGCCAAAACACTCTAATAAGCTTAACACCTCAGAAACTTTGACTTCTGGCTCGAGCCTAATTCAAAATAGAATCGTGTTACCTCGCGCTCAGCTATTTGGTTCTCGCCAAACTACATGTATCAATATTCCCCACGATCTTCACTCACATCCCATCCTTTATCACTTTTTTTCTTTCAGAAAGAGAGGTGGAGTGGTGGAGTGGTGGAGTGGCTTGTGGTGCATACCGGTAACAAACGGTACTTCTAGCTTTTCGGAGCCGCCGGGTCCTGTGACGAGCGCTTTTCTGCTCCAAATTCTATTCATTTATCCCCTACTCTTGCTAGATAGTGTTCATGTATACATACGCCTAGCAACGAGTGAAACGAGGGACTAATAAATATTAAGTTCTCACGACAGCTTCTGGAGCCTGACACTCACATCCAAGCGTATAGGCCGCATGGATGGGCGATACTGCGCCCATAGATTTGGCTCATTCGGCCATCCAAGCTGGCGAGATTTGTGCTCGATAAATCGGGCTTAAGTCCTAACTGGTTGCAATACCTGGAGGTGACGTACATACATGAATAAAACACCCCCCGGTTGCAAGCGAGCCCGAGTGAGGCGTCATGAACCAAGCAAACTCCAACGAGTAAATAAATATCCGCACCTGGCGTAGTGCACACGTTACCAAAGACCAACTCCGCTGCCAGTGACTGTACTTCTAAACAACGACAACATTCTAACGTCTTCTGTTACATCAGATACTCATCTTGCCATAACTCTCTTTTGTTGATGACAATAATCACGCCGTGGCATCTACCATGCAATTTACAGTATGAATATTTAATGCCTCGCTCGATCGCTCCAGGGGCCAAGAACATCAAAGATGGCAACATTCTTCCTACAAAGTGCAGGTTGGCTAGCTTCACTTGCTTCAACTTGGGTCGTTTAGAACTAGAACTCCCTCTATGGACTATTCGGTGACGATGATTTCTCCTCGCTTTTTACCCCCACTTGAATCGATGGAGGGACGCAGAAACGCCCCGTAGCTCAACCACGTAATGTCTACTTAATCATCAAATCTATCCAGGTCAGTGGCCTCCTTCCCCACATGTCTATAAAGCTCTTGTACGAATACACCCGTCTTTCTCTTCTCCCAGTTTTTTCAAAAATTTCCAACCAGTGGGCCTCGCTGACTGAAAAGGAAAGGCCGTCAACCATAAGGGTTATAAAGGCTTGACTACTCTCTTTCACAGTTAGATTCGTTCTTTTTTCCTAACACTGATATTCACTGTTGCGAATGTCCCATCACCCTAAAAAGGTCTCAGAAAAGCTCTCCACTCTCCCGTGCACGTACCCACTTGAAACCATGGAGAACCTCATCGTCCGTGAGCCAACAACCGCCGCCATCGACACCTCCGTTCCTATCTCCTCCCCTACCTCCCTCTCTCCTATTGATGACGACCACATCAGTCTAAACCCCCGCTCTCCGAGCTTCTCTACCGATTTCCTTGAGCGAAACGCCGGGGCGGACCTGAACCACAGCCAGCCGCTCCGCGTCCATTCCCTCGTCCGCAAGCTCGGCACTGCAGCCCTTGCCCAGAACTCTGATGACGGGCATAGCTCTCGGTCAGTTGCCGTAGGCTCCGTGGCCCCCGATGCCCCATTCGCCTTGCGCCCGGGTGTTCTAGACCTCTCCGAAGACGAGGGTGAGAGCGAGCACGAGCCGCAGCAAGAGGTAACTGACACCGATTATGCCACTGATGGTCTCTCGGAGATCGCCTCCACAGTTGCAGACACTCGGCCCATTATAAAGACTTCAAGGGAGAGCACCCACGCCTCCATCTTTGGCCCAAGTTCTTCTACCGCGGCCTATGGACCCGCAGCCGCAGCCGCATCGGCATCCCCATCTGCATCTGTATCTGCACCCGCATCAGCATCAGCATCAGCATCCGAATCCGCAACTGCAACCGCATCCGTATCTACCCCGGCTGCCGCAGTTCAACAGCCCATTGTCCAAGCTCCCGATGCGTCTGCGGCAATCGGGACAATGCCCACCTTCCCACGCGGCATCGGCCCTGCCCCCGGTGAGACTGGGTTCAGCGGCACTAGTAAAAAGCCTAAAACCAAGAAGTTCAGTTTCCTACAGCTTTTGAGGCTCAAGCCTAAGGCACCCCCTGAGGCACCCGCTGCGATGTCGGCTGCTGAGAAGCGTGCCTTAGCCGCGAAGGAGCGTGACAACCGCATCAAGGAGGCCGAGGCTGCGAAAAGGAGGAAGGCTGCGACGCCAACTGACATCGCGCCGTCAAGGAATCCCGCTGTCGTCAGGACCCAGAAGGAGGAGCTCTTGGGAAGGAAGAAGTCCCATTTGAGGGAGGCAAAGACTGAGTTGACCCTTGCCCAGAAGGATGTCGAGTTGTTGATGGAGAGCATTGGGGAGTTGGAGGAGGAGCTTGCTACTTCTGCTCCTGTTACCGCTACTGCCACTGTTTGAACGGTGTCGTAGTTGTAGAGATGGCGGGAGTGCCTATTCCTGGTGAATGGGGCTTTATATAAGTACTAAATTCGTGTTATTACATGAAAAGTAATCAAACTAATGTCGATTGTGGTGGTGGGAAAGTAGCGTTTCTTTATGCCGAGCCTTTTTTTTTTTGTTTCTTTGCGGGGATACACTTTTTGTTATATCTTGTCAATTGCCTACCTTGCTTGTAGTGTATATACAGCGCCATTTAGCACAGCCTATGTATGGTGAGTGTAGTTTCCGGATATGCGGCTGGGTTTGAATATCCTTTACTATCTTTTAGCTCCCTGTTCTCTTCTCCTTCTTCTTCTTCTTCTCCTCCTTCTTCTTTTTTCTCGCTTTTTTTCAATGGCGGAATAGTTGTTCAGCTCTATATGATGCGTCTTACAGCTAGATAGGTGGGTCTTCATAGTGTGGATTATATATTAGCTTAGACGGCGATCAGCTTGGGATTGAATACTGCAATTACTATGTCTGTTTCCGATTGCTGGACTGAGTGGGCGGTGAAAATATAGTATTGGTGAGTTTGTTTTCAAAAGTTCATGGTGATATTATTGCAAAATACAAAACACAAACTAAAGTTGTCTTCTAGCACTACACTGGGGATGCGTTGAGTGAATCATAGGCCGTCACTCGGTCTTGGCTAGTCATAGCTTGGGTGGTATATATTTGACGACGGGAGGTGGCAAATTAGCAGACGTTGCAGAATCAGGCCAACTTATAATTCCCTAGCACTGGCTGAAAAGCCCTAGATTACAGATAAAAGGTCTTTCGCCGTTTTGCCCAAACCTTCTAAAGGCTCTCTAAACACCAGCCAGAAAAAAGAAAAAGTAAAAAAAAAAAGAATCTTCTTAATCACACCAGAGAAAGTCCATGAAGACTGTCGGACGGTTTCTCGTGAATTTAGCAAGGCAGTCTTCAATACTCTAGCCAGTTAGAGAGGTGAGTGTACATTAAACAGACGACTCACCTTGTTGTTTGTCCGTTATTTGTTCTTTGTTTGCTTGTCCTATCGGAATTCGAAATAACCGACTGTTTCTTCGTGTACTCACGTGAAGTGCTTGATAATAAATAGAATCGTAACTGTTGTCTTAATTAATTATTACGGAAAAGGTCTAAAATGACACAGTCTTCGGTAGACGTGCTCTAAAATAACACATGAATGCAAGATGACACAGTTCGGTATAATCCAAAACAAATACATCAATTAGTATACGTATACGTATTGGCTGAGCAATGATAATATCGAAGGGTCGGGTTCAAGTTCGATCTTCACCTTGGCACACTGCTAAGCTAGCTCAACTATCACCTCGGGCACAGCATCCACTATGGGCGGGTGGTCTAGTGGATAGACTGCTCGTCGACACCGAGAGTACCCAGGATACAACTAATCACACATAAGGTCCTGGGTTCAAACCAGGGGTGGGGGTAGCAGTCGCAAATGTCTTAATAAGTCGCTGCAGTACCTTTTGTAGTTTTGTACCTTTTGTAGTTTTATAGAATGCTTTGTTCCTTTTTTCCTTCTCCTTTTTTACTTGTAGTGACAGCGAACTGTGTCTTTTTGCATCATGTGTTATTTCGGAGCACGTATTATACCGAAAACTGTGTCATTTTAGGCCTTTTTTGTAATTATTATTTAAAAGAAGAGAAATTTTCATTTTCTTAATTATTAATAAATAACATGTTGGCCTAATGCCAATACTACATGTACTTGTGTCCTCCATCTCTCGACGTTATCTCCCCCTGCCATTTGCTCGCCACACACTCGCCGCTTACTCATCGCTACTCATACTTCTCTTCTATCAACATACACGTCTCCTGCATCTCGTCTTTGTCGCCACTGCCCGACCCCAATGATCGTGGGGACAGTACGGCATCTGTCCTCGATCGGTCGTGAGGACCCGGGAAGATTGACAGAGGTTGAAAGGAGAGAGGGAGCCCAGGTAAAGGTCAGGCGGTGACCTTGAGTTCTTCTTCCTCTCGAGAATCCCCGAGATGAAAGTTTGGTGACTGGCGTGCTGGCAGTTGAATTGACGGTGGGGGGAAGCCCCGACGAATGAATGCCCGGTGGCATTCGAGTTGATAGGCAACGGGGGGCGAGAGAGGCAGAGAGGGCGTAAGGGAGAGGCCGTGAGGGAGGGAGATGTAGCGGTCTCCTCATGACCGAGGGACCGCCGAGAAGAGCCAAAGAGCGGCCGAGAAAACCACACAGAAGAAGCAGGGGATCAGATTCATTTCCACCCCAAGCGGCAGAGCCAGAACCACGAATGTCATCTACCAGGCCGAAGCACCGGAAGAGTCATCCATCCGTCCCAGTAACATTCGCACCGCCTCCACCAGCAAATGCACCGGGCCTGCGGGGGCAAGGCAGAGAATATCTTCGAACAAACCTGCCTGCCCCCTCCCCCCCTAACACCGACGGTAAGATTATCGAGGTGTGGGTAAACCGAGCCACAAGAATAAGAATAGGTGTTCACGGTCCCGCCGGAGCCGTGAACACCGAAGGAAGAGCAGCACGGTGCTGTTATCTTCATCGGTAGTGTGTTGTAGCACCCGCAGCCACCCAGGATAACGTGGGAGATGGCGGGTCCCCGCAAGGATTCCGCCCATCTGAGGGTGAAGGCTCTGGTCCGGAAGTAGCGAGACTGGAGAGGAAGAAGAAGGCAGAGGCGGAGGCACTCTGTGATCAGGAGTCGATCATCGGAGAGGAAGAAGGCGGAGGAGGCGGAGGCGGAGGCGGAGGCGGAGGAAAAGAGGGAGCCACGAGAGAGGAAGAGGCAATCCTACGGAGAGCATGAGAGGAAGAGGCCGGCAGGCACGGGGATCAAGGAGCGGTCCCGGGCCGAGAAACCAGAAAGCGGAAGCGGGGAGAGAGAGAAGAAGGCAGAGGCAGAGGCAGAGAAAAAAGAGGGGCGGCTAGAGAGGAAGATGAAAGAAAGAAGAGGCCTGTGCTAGAGGACGCAGCACGCAGAAGCACCTAGATCGTAGAAGGCGAACGGGATTCCGGAACCGTAAAACGGCGAGAAGAGGCATCCGGATTGATTTTTCCCAGCCATTATGGCATCTTTGGGTCCAGGGGAGGAGACGCGGACACAGATGTATCACGGGCGATCTTCTGGCCCCGCTAGGCCGTGGGAGAGAACCGCTCCTATTATACCGATATTAGTAACGATTTAGATCTAAATAGGAAGGGAGGAAGAGGAGATTAAACCTACGTTCCAGGTTTTGCACCCATCCCGGATGGGGCAGAAGTCCCCTTTGGCCCCGGTAGGCCGTGGGAGAGAACCCTCTATTATAATCATGTTAGTAACGGATCTTAGAGGGAATGTGGGGGGGGGGGGGGGGGGTCAAACCTCTTTTCCGAGCATTGCGCATGTCCCTGATGCGGTGGAAGTTTTCTCTTGGCCCGGTAGGCCGTGGGAGAGAACCTACTCTATTATAACGATGTTAGAAACGATCCGTACCCTCAGAAGGAGTGAAGAGGACATACATAAGTGCCAGGGGTTGCACCCGCACCAGATGCGGTAGAAGTCCCCTTTTGGCCCCGTAGGCCGTGGGAGGGAACTGTCTATTACAGTGGTATTAGCAATGATCTTCGGAGAGGGTGAGAGAGAAAAGGGGTACAAACGTCTATGCCGGGCGCCGCACCCGCCCAGGATGCGGCACAAGTCCTCTAATGCCCCAGTAGGCCGTGGGAGAGAACCGGCTATTACCAATATAATGTTAGTACGAGTCTAGATCTGCAGAGAAAAAAGAGAGGAAGACAAACCCGGAGCACCAGATGGCGTTGACCCCTGCCTCGATCAGACGGCAGGTAAGATGGCGGAGAGATATCGCTCCGGAGCCTATCCAACACATTAGCAAAAGAAATCGGAATAAAGGAAAAGTAGAAAAGAGAGATTAACTGACCCGGCAGCAGGCAAATGCTGACTATTTCGAGGCTTCGCCCGCAAGCAGATGCCCACGATATATAGGCTCCGCTTTTGGGCCCTTGCTCTCGCACGCAGGAGAGAGAGGGATGGTTTTCTGGAGCCTATTAAACAGTTAGCAAAACGAAAATCAGAAGAACGATAGAAATGAAGATTAACTTACCCAGGAGCTAAATGCTCACGAAGCCTAGGTTTCGCCGCTGTAAATTGCCTCCCAAAGATAGGAGTCAATCAGCCAGCCAGTGATAAAATATCTCTCCATCGACTGCTGGGCTGATGAAACAAACACAAGTAACCACCATTGCCGTGAGGCATTGGGGGCATCGTGATGCTTGTGTGCGAGTATGACAATTTTTTTTCAGGATGAACGGGGTGGGAGGTGGAAGAAGACTGTGGGAGCTGTCGGTGGGCTTAGGGTTTGTGGGTGCGGGGCTATTTAGGGCTTTGGGATTTTGTGACTGCGGGGTAATTTCTACGGCGTGAGGAAGTACATACATACTTGGAAACTGGTACGGGTCGGCTGGGACTTGGGTTGCGGCCTAGTTTGACAGGGTATCGTGGGAGTGAGGTGGTCTACTCTGGGTGGGTGAGAGTTGATACTGCTTGCATGAGGGCGGGCAGGCAGCTCTGGTAGTACAAGTGGGTATATGCACGGGACCGTTGAAGGGGGATTGATCATTGACCATTGATCCCTGTTTGTTGCTATACACGACTCGAGACGCACCCAGACAACCCGGGGGGGGGGGGGGTATCTATCCCATCCAACGCTGGGTCTATCACCTTTCACCGTAATCTCTTTAAAGTATAATATAAACGTGATAGAAAGACGTCTAAATCTAGATGAAAGCCAACAAACGATTCTGATATGGTCTAGCGTTCTAGTGTAGTGACATTTAGTAGCCATCCGCAATAGTAATCTCCGAGTGAGAGGCTACGATTCCAGACTACATTGCTTAAGGTGTAACCGTCCCCAGTGGTGGAAAGGATTGTTTGGTTGGTTTCACTCGTTTTGCAATGTACCATCACTCGAGTAATGATGCTTGTCAGCGGACATGGGCGGCAAATATGGCGAGGGAAGGTGTGTTTCCTGTGCTACCAATAACCCGCTGCCTCCGTAGCCTAAGAGAACTTCCCGACTCGGGCTAGATGTTAGCAGAATAGGTGTCAAGACACGTTACAACAACTATGTGGTTGTAACTGGCTACATGTAAGCATATGCGTTAGCTTCGGGATGCTACAAACCCAAGCTGCGGCACCGACTTGATCCAATCATCATCATTCTCATCTTCCCTTCACTCGACCACTAGGAGTAAGAGAGCCCTCTAGGCCTTAGATAATTAGATCTCGATCACTAACGGCCTGAAGACGTGTATACTTCGAGCCACACAAAATGTTGACTCGCCGATCATTGACCTGACGTTGGGGGTTGCCGCGTAAGCAAGCAACCCTGCGCCCTGACGATCTTATCGTTATCGGATCAGCCCCGCCAACGTCGAACCCTTACATGTGAGCGCCACCCCGGCCGGGGCACATTCCCCGAGTCTTTCTTTTCGGTGTTGAAGGGGCATTCACAGCGGGGTTTCTCTGGAGCCATTTCACAGCTTTCTACGCCAAAGACACAACCTGCAATCAGCTCCTGCTGCTAGCATAATATCTCTGCTGAATAACACACCGCCGCCACTCACGTGCACGCCTGCGACCAGAAGCTTCCACGTGCGTGTTTGGCTTGGCCCCGAGACCCCACCACCGTCCACAGTCGATTTACCTTTACTCCTCTTTATCTCTGTCCTCCCCCCTTCCATCACATAAACACCATCACAGCTCTCACAGCTTCTCTCACAACCTCTCTCCAGCTCCTCCCTTATCTCCCCGTAGCTCTATCACAATGGTAATCCCCCAGTTACTACCCCTCACCATGCTCCCATCTGCCAAAGAGAACAAAGGCTAACTTAACTACCCCCCCCCCCCCAGGCCACCGAATCAAAAAAGCGCCTCGCCCTGGCAATCATAGACTTTCTCACAAACTGCACCAAAGACGGCACCGTTTCCCCCGATGACCACGAATCTCTCGAAGTCGCCTCCCAGTGCATCCAGGATGCCTTCAAAGTAGACCCCACCGACAAAGCTGCCCTTGCCGACGCCCTCGGTGGCCAATCCCTCACAACAATCTACGGCGTCTTCGAGAAGATGAAAGCCAAAGCCACGCCCGCCGCCGGCGCCTCCTCCAGCACCCCCTCTGCAGCCACTCCTAAACCAACCGGACCAAGCGACGCCGACAAGGCCGCCGCAGAGGCCCTGAAAACTCAAGGCAACGCAGCAATGAGCAAGAAGGACTACAAGGCCGCCATCGACCTCTACACTCAGGCCCTGGCCCTCAACCCACTGAACCCAATCTACCTCAGCAACCGCGCGGCCGCATACTCCAGCTCTGGCAACTACGACGCCGCAATCGAGGATGCACAGGTAGCCGTCGACACAGACCCAAAGTACACCAAGGCCTGGTCACGCCTCGGTCTTGCCCGCTTCGCAAAGGGCGATGCCCGTGGCAGTATGGAAGCCTACAAGGCCGGCATCGACGCCGAGGGCAATGGCGGCTCGGACATCATGCGCCGCGGGTACGAGACTGCGAAGCGCCGGGTCGAGGAGGAGGAGGGTGACTCTGACGACGAGAGTGCGCCTGCTACTAGAGGTGCAGGTGGCGGTGGGATGCCGGATTTGGGAGGCTTGGCCAGTTTGCTGGGGGGTGCGGGAGGCGGGGCGGGTGGTGGAGGAATGCCCGATTTGAGCTCGATTATGAGCAATCCGATGTTCTCACAGATGGCCCAGAACCTCATGAGCAACCCGCAGCTGATGCAGGGGCTCATGAATAACCCGAGATTGAGGGATATGATGGAGTCGGTTGGCGGCGGCGGTGGTGGTGCGGGTGGTGCGGGCGGCGCGGGCGGCGCGGGGGGAATGCCGGATTTGGGTTCCCTGATGAGTGATCCTAGTATTGCCGAGATGTAAGTCTACCCCCACTATTCTCTCCTTCTCTTCGATATGGACGATGTGCTAATGACAAGCAACAGGGCAAGAAGCTTCATGGGCGGCGGTGCCGGCGGTGCCGGCGGCGCCGGACGTGGCGCGGGCGCAGGCTCTACTCCTCCTTAGATCTGAGATGTTAAAGCCGGGTGCGGGTGGGTGGGGTGGGTGTTGGTCTATTGTAATTTCCCCTTACGATTAGCTATATCTCCTAGTGCTTCACATTTTCTTTTATTTTCTTCTTTTGTCTTCTTTTTTCTCTCTTTCTGATCTAAACTGATTCCTGTGCTTTCTTCCTGTGGTAATGAAATATATGAGACTTTGTGTGATGTGAAGTTGTGATGTTGCGAGGTTGTGGTTGGGGTATGTGTTTTGTGATGGTGGAATGTGATAGTGAGGCGGGCTGGTGATGAGCTGATGGGTGTAGATTTCTGATACCCTTATCCTAGAAGTGCTCTTTGTTCTAGATATCTCCTTGCTCCTAGACATCTCTCTTTGCTCCGGTGGTGTAGTCTGAAGCCACGATAAAAGTACATGTACTACCTAGAGATCCTCCCGTAAAAATCCAAAAGAGCAACGTCCCATTAACAGCTATTCTTCATTCGTGGGAAGACTACATATATATATATATCTACACACAACTACCCCCCTTGTGCTATAACCACTTAGTAACATCCCCCCACCCCCTTCCATGGTCACACACCTTCCAAACGAGTGACTTCCTGTGTCTCTGCGAGTAAGTGCGAGTGAGCGCCTGTGCTTATGTATGTGTTTTGGACGCCCCCCACAGGATGAGCATGGGGGTTACTACATGTATGTATTGTAGTGCGATCAGTGGGTGGCGGAGGATTGTATGTGGTGTTTATTACTGCTATGGCTACGAGAATTTATACAGAGCAGAGTTGATCCTCATGCTCTATCTGTCGATCCTGCGACTCCCTGTAATGGTAATAAGAGAGATAACAGGTCGGAGATCTGTTAGTAGAGCTAGACTGAATATGCTTTTGGGTGGGGTCGGAATTTCGCACGTTAATAGTCTGAGGGATAGCTAGACTACGAGCTCCTATAATTATACATCGACCGAGAAGTAATACATAAGTGCTAAGAATATGCATATATGGCTGGTCCTATTGTGTCTCTTGTCGAATTATCCCCTATAGCTATGCTATTGAAGCTGCTAACTTTGCGAGTGTCATGTCTTAATTCTATGGCACGCAATTAATTGCGTGCGAGGCTCACCTGATCGATTGATGTTAATTTACCATGTCCTATGTTGGTAGCATTTAAGTACATAACAGCCGGATGGAATTTAACTCTCAAATATATTCGTAGCTACACAGCATTAATTCCTCCATAACGGTATTGTTCGATAACCTGCATGTACAGCGGTAGGTAATAAGTGATTGAACGCTCTGAGATCGAGTACAAACACCAAATGTTGGTGGCGTTTTACCAAAATAGGTATTGCCCTGTTCCATCACTTATTACCTACCGCTGTACATACATATACATAGCCCAGGTACTCTACAATACGGTACGGATCCGTTACGTTATTCCCGTTAATGTGCTAGTAATGCAGTAAGAATACGGTGTTCTTTTTTTGTAATCCTGTATTATTCCGTATTATTCACTGAATCCCGTAGTCATACAGTACTGATTTCGCCCCCGTTTTTTTCGTACTGTACTTACGTCGCGCCGCGCGTGGGGGGGGGGGGGGGGGGGGGGGAATATCGGGAACTAGCTCCAGCCCTGTATATGTTTTTTACTTCAAAGGAGTCGAATATAATATTCCCAAAAAAAAATATAAAAAACAACAAAACGGGCAGTATTGAATAGCATTTTAAGGATTTTTAGCAGATGTAGATCTCCGCTCATGTTTGGTAAAAATTGTAGACAAAAAACTGAGGTGATGCATCAGGTTACGTTGCAACTATTACGGTAGGGACTAGGCTCGTCCCCAACCCGTCTGCTTCCATGCTTCCAGGGGAACGGGCTGGGTACGTATGAGACTACGTGGAGATAGGTTACGTACATACTCTACCCAAAAGGAAATATGTGTATATCAGGTCAACCACTGCAGGGCTCCTCCAATCCATCCGTCCCAGTTGCAGGCTGCAGTACGTATGCAGCACCCTCAATTAACCCCGGTAAGTTAGGTATGTGCAGGGTAGAGGACATCTCTAATAAGAAGATCATCGATCAGGCCGGTGAAAAAAGCAAAAACAATTTACATCTTGTCGGATGACAAGTTCTCGCGATTTTTGCATGGCAATTAGAAATTTGCCCAAAGACTAATCCAAAATTAAAGTCGGTAATCAGGGTTCATACCTAGGAGGCGTGTTCAGCACTCTTATCACATAACATGCATCTCCTTTATATCTTTCCATGACCCATCCTCATGCAAAATCACGAGAACTTTTGTCACCCAACAAATATACGTAAGTATCTAGCTAGGTACACGGACTAGCTATAGGTTCACGGACCAAGCAGGATGCGAAAATTTGATGGTTCGTCTATCCGGGTCCAATATGGGGTATCAACTGACAGCATATCGTGGGGGACCTATAAAAAGGAACAACAAAATCTGTTAGGAAAGGTAACTAACCTTCGCTTTTTTACGTGAGAGTCAGCATTTCACTGCTCGAGAGCTTATATGTAGGGGATGGGGAGGACAGAATCGACAGTACGTCCGCGTCATATATATATTCACCGTATGTCACTCGATCACGATAAATCTCCTCTGTTGACGAATAGGGGTGCTTGATCACTCATGACTGATTACAAACAATGATTTCGCATCCCTGCCATGCATGCCTTCAACTCTGCCCGTCGACAGACGGTATTTATTCGTAGAGTTGCGAGACAATAAGGGCCAGTATAAGCCAACCACAGGTAGACGTCCATACATACATGCATACAAGCTTTGATGTAGAGTATCCTTGCTGCGAAATTTGCGGTACTGTCTTTTTCTGACGTTTGCAAGACGTAAAATAGGCCCATGGGCCGCGTTTACATAATGGTACGTACATGTATTCAACAACAATCGCGCCGACAAACGCCAGGAAAAAAGCTATCTCTATCCAGGGATTATCTCTCGAAGTTTTCCATAGTAATTTGACCTGGAGGGCAGAGAGCTAGCTAGCTACATACATGTATGTACATACCAATTGCAAGCCCTCGAGATTTTGCGGGAGAGCACATAGAGACTGTATATGTATGTTACCGCTATCCCTTGGGCCGGTGAGACATACAGAATCCAGGACTTCCTATTAAAGCAAAGCCAAGTCTTGTTTCCTCGAATGATAGAGCGCGGCTTAGTGATTAAGCATCAGGCTCAGTGACTTTGCCACTGGAAATCCCTACTGAGATAGGAAGTCCTGGATTCTGCATGTCTCACTGGCCCAAGGGATAATTCCAGGTGCATCACTCCCTACATGTAATTATTATTCGGTGATACTTTTCACTGCATGTATGTGTCTCGGCAGTAGTTTTCCGAGATCTCATCTTATTTGTCGGGATGTCAATGTGTACTCTACGTAGAGTACGTTGAGGTGTATGCCGTATTATCTAAGATAACCTGAGATGGGAGGGGCGACGTAAGCAGTCTTTGACGCAAGCAGTACAAACCTCGAGGATCTTCGATTTTTAATAAAGTAATCTGCTAAGTACGTATGCAGGCCTCTATTTCTTAACCCGAAATCGTAAGGATCAGAGGCCCTGTGCTAATAGGATGTCCTTGAGGGGCCGGTATATGCAAATCATATAAGATATTTTCTGATCCTACACTTTGAGTACGAGTCGTAGTACTAACGTTGTACTACATACCTCAATTTTTATAACCTCCAGCTGTGGCCCAGGGTTATTAAGTAATCATTCATTGCACTGATATTCCTTATTGAATGTAAAGATTGTTTAATTTTAGTTTTTTCAATTTATTGATACTCGCCTTATATGTCTTTCATGACTGGTGTGTGTGGCAAGGCACAGTCAGCAGTTTTGTAGGTGGTATGCGCTCAGTATAATACACGTCAGATATGCGTCCGCAGATAGCCTCGAGGGGTATTCTAGAAACGGTAATATTTTTTCTCTGCATTAAAAGTCATTGGCCAATATTGATTAAAGCCTAACACCAATAATAATATGGTTCGAAAACCATCAAGCAATATGATCTGCCCTCTGTCAATGCTACCCCCATAATCGAAGTCGAAAAATGGTCTCAACACCGGCGCTGTGGACACAGTAAATTTTTATAATTCACTAGTTAAGTGACTACATGTAGGTACAGCCGTCACCAATAATCACTCGCGAAATTCGCATGGTTATGACTGCCTGGAAAACCTCTTTTTTCTTCCCATGAAGATTTTTAACGAGAGATATGTACTCTTGTATGGGAGAAAGAACCGGAAAATGCAACAGAGTTAATATTTGTATGGTAAAGCGGCGCCACTCCATACAAATAATCTCACTTGCATTTTCTGGTTCTTACGCATGACACCCGAGCGTATGTATGCAACACCCATGGTTCAGCACTTCCAACCCGCGATGGTACGGTACTCCACATATATCCTTTCTGTACAGATCGGCCCTTTGTATGCATGAGCGTACATACAATAGTACAGTTACCACTTTGACAAACGCAAAATATTCGGATCGTTTGACCCATAGATCATAAGGTAACTACCATGTGCCAAAAGAAATTCCGATGTTCCGACAGTACGGTGACTAGATGACTAGAAAGGGTCCCGAATTGAGTGTTTATAATTATGGCGGGTATTTTGGAACCATGAAATGCAGCCAATGAAGGTCAGCACAAATCTAGACTAGTCTATATAGTCTGGTTTTCTAGTTGTAACTTCAAGTATGTTAAATACTACTATCCCTTAAGCTGTCGATGCTGACCCCCCTATAACAGAGGAATTAAATTTGTATGTGAGATCTATTATTTGATAAGAGAGATAACGGGATCTGTTAGTAAAGCCACACCGAATTTACTTTTTTAGGGGGGGGGTTCAGCATTTTCGCGACAGCTTAAGGGATAGGGAATCTGATAAGTGTATATTGTGTATAACTCATGTCACCGACTCTCGGACCTAAAGTACGCTACATGGTGTAATAATCAGCAACTTTCCTTATATTACCAATATATATATCTCAACTACCGCGAAACGTACACACACATTCTCTCACTACTATGTACCAGGAGAAATGTACAAATTTACATATTTCTCACAGATAAAGCCATCGAATGCCCTTGGGATAAATCAAGTGATCCTTCTCGCATACGGCAGTGATGCATCCACCGACGGCGTTTTTCGTGTTGCCAGTAAAGAATCCTCTGTGATGCTGGATTTTTGTGAGTGTCCTCACTGAGTGACTCATGTATCCCTTAATTGATGAATTCACACTATTTCGGTCGCCGGCCCGTCTGCCTGCATGTTGTATAAGCGGGGCGGCCTCCGAAGCCGCCCGCAACGGAACTTTACCCCCGTCATCCGGTCTATCCTATCGACAGTAAGTCAACCGTTTCCATTAGCCCATTCTCTGTGATCTTGTGGAGCGTAACACTAACCCCCTCTTTCTTTTTGACTGAAGCCTCAGCAAAGTCATTCCATAACCATGAGATCTCGAGATGAATGTCGATGCCACTTCGACCAGTAAATATGCCAACAAGTTTCATCGTGCAGGTGTGTTCATCAATAATATCTAACAATTTCAGCACGTATATCGGTCATCGCTGGGTCCTCTGGTCAGTTCAGTTCGTCTTGAACCTGTTTTCTATCTCAATTAGTCTGGCGACAAGCTAAAATTCACGCTGCCCTCTTTCGCGATCGCCGAAGTTAATTATCCATAGATAACCACACTTAATTGAAGGATGTGCTTCCATAATTACCATTTTCGTAAATTAAATCACGGGATTAGGAATATGATCGCTTCTACTATCAGCTCTAGAGACTGGGCTTTAGATCAGCAATTATACTTGGTCTACGTGCCTTAAAAACGAAAACAACCAACTCAAAAACAATTTGATCACCCTACGTACATTCTCTTCTAACCTCTAACCACACCTTCAACTCAGGCTCTCTCAGTGCCAGCCATCTACCCGACCCTTAAACATTCTACTTGGTGCTTCGATCGATATCTTCGTAATATTCAGGCTATTTATCTCAGAATATCTCCTTGGTTCGCTGCCGCCGACTTCTCAATGAACCTCAAACACCCATAGCTGTATGAAAGATTTCTGACCTTTGTAGGTAGTACCTCTCTGTGTTTGTAGGTCCCTGTGTTGTATATCTGTACGTCTCCCGAGCGCGAGTCCGCTATCAGTTCTTGCCGACGTCGACCTTATAATCACAATATAGTCAGTCAAGATAATTTGAACGACCAAAATCAAATTCCACACCCACATTCGATCCACCGCTAAAGCTAGCAAAAACAAGCTCTTATGTCTCTCAATTCTCCTCTTAATCACATCTACTTCACCCTCCCTAATCGGCCATTTCAACCTCTCTATAAGCCCCTTAAGACCTTTCTTCAGCTCCAATATCTCCCTCAAAATATTCAAATCCTGATTACATCCTTGAACCGGGCCATCCTCACCACCAAGTGTTTGTACAGCATTGGTCAGTGAGTCTGGATGTTCACGGATATGATCTCGAAGTATTTTGAGAACTTCGTGGAGTGAATTGAGTTCTTCAATTAGCGCCGTGATCTCTTTCTTGGAGCGCTTTACCTTTTCAATATACTGATAGCCTAGAATTGCAACGTTGGCTGATAACTGGATAACTGTAATAATGCTTGCTGCTAGAGCTAACTCCGCCATTGGACATATTCTTGAAGAATCGTAGTCTATATGTATAAACGACGTGTACTGTATCGAGAATGAATTGAAGAAATTTGAAGAAAGAAAAAAACTGTAGCTTTATCAACCTCATATAAGTGCTCGTAGGCGTGAGGTACATATATACCTGGATAGCAGCAGCTGGGGATTAGGGCTTGGTTTCTTTTTACTTGAGCTGTCACGACTAGCAAATTAAAGGTTTATCCCTAGATGGGTAATGAGTGATGCAAGTGATAGCTCACGGATGAATCAACTAGTGATTGCGTTGTACTGCGGGTGAGCAGAGTAGGTACATCCGGCCCATGATTTCATAAACTGAGCTCGGCAACGTTACTTCAGCCAATTAAATTTTGACATATGCACACCTACTATGTCAAGTTAGCTGGCACACGCTAATATAGGTATTGCTATCGAGAAACAAATCACAATACAATACTCATAGACTTAAGTTTATAAATTGCAGTGCTATTGTCAGATTTGTGCGAATAACTACGCATGCGCATTGCGCAGCACCCAACTTATTCGATGTTTAACTAATATAAAGGTATTACCGCCTTAGGAAAATCAGTAGTGATCCATTGAATTGACTGATTCATTCGTGTATGCAGGTTACGACATGGGAAAAAGTACGGAAAACGACAGTACATATTAGAGAAGTACCTCCATATTAGATTAGAATACGAGATCATTGATCCACGCTACAATATGAGCCAAAAAATGAGAATGGAGAGGCACATCAGCCATGTGCGAATTGAATTCACCCAATGACGAGAGCAATGCAACTTTGCTGGCAGATGACGACTCCTAGATCTGGAGTAGAAGTCAAGGTACGGGCTATGATACGAAATCTCCACTAGATCGTGACAGATGTCGAGTCAGGGATTGTGATAGGATATACTGGACCCTACATCTAAAAGCCAAAATTCCGGGTTACATACATGTATGTACCCTTAACGAGATCTGGATCAAGCTACCTGCGAGGCCACTACGATATTCGCTAAGGCACTTCACCAAAATCAAAGACAATGGATTGGAATCTTGGTTGATCGACTTGAGATAGATTCTATGCAACAAGATTTCACCCTTGTTAAATACATCGGTTTCTATAAAAAAAGACATGTCCTCTAAACCCCCCTATCACTCCCCGCAGACCACCTTAACAAAAAGGCGCACGGTGAATGACTCCAAACGGCGAAGGGGAGGTTCCAAAGAGACTAATACTCTTCCTCTGCTGTCCACACCCTCATTAAACGTCCTGGAAAAACTGGCGACGAAGGGCTCTAGCAATATCAGAGTTAAAAAATTCTACTGAGGGGAAGAAGAGGGGTGGGGGGTGGGGTCGACTTAAATAGTTGTCGCTCGTGCTTCCAAGCCACCACACCTTCTTCCAAGCCATGCCAGAATAGGTACTAGTATAGTGGAGCTTTTTGACCGCTTAAGCCTTGGCATTTGACTATTTATGGACGCGAAATGTCTGGGACTTCGTCCCTCTTTTTCTCTCCTCTTTACTCATTTTACGAGCAATTTTTATTGTAGGCGCCTTCGGCATGGTTTTCATTAACTATCTACCGGAGGTCTCCTCTACTAGTTGCCCGAGAACAAGCACACGGCTCCGCAGCTGGAGCACTCTAGGGCTCGCCCTGTGATGATGTCTTCCTTACCAGCGATGCTACATACTGACTTCTGGAGGTTTAAAGTCTGGATAGATACGTATTTAGATAGATAATAGAATGATTTAAACTCCAAACCATTTACTCCAATTAACTTCATAACTGTGATTAATTAAAACTTTTAAACCCACAGGAAAGAAAGAGAAAAAACTATCGTACACCTAACTACGCCCATCCCATTAAATCTAATCACTATCGCTGTCCTCTACAACGACCTTCTTCCCCCCCTTCTTCTTTCCACTCTTCTCCTCCCTCATTCCCAATATCTACCCTCACAGCAACCATTAGCAACCACTCCACAGCAACAGCCAGCTCCCCCAAAGATAGAAACCCACCCTCATCCGGACCTCCCTCTCCTTCTCGCTGACCTTCCCAGCTCCTTTCAACACTGTTACGTTCTTCGCTACGATCTTGCTCTTCTCCATCTCGAGGACCTCTTTCTTCGCCTTGGGCTTCCGCGCCTTTCGAACACCCGCTGAGGGCTTGACCTTGACGCCGCGGCGACGGGCGAGAAGTGCTGCGAGGGCGGTGGAAGCGGCGGCCTGGGTTTCACTCATGCTGCTACTGCTGGCGGTAGAGGTGGTGGGAGTACGCGCCATTGATGTGAGGGATGTATTAGGAGCTGAATTGATACTGAGGAGTGAGTGAATAGGTATTTGCAGAATTCGGTGACGAGAAAAAAATACTGGGGTTTAATTCTAATGATGACTAAGCAACTAAGATTGGCTCGATTAAGAAGATCTACTCTACAAATCATTGATCTAATGGTTTCTTGAACTACGTGTAGTTTCAAAGGAGACCCTCCGTATTATTAGTACGTATACCGTCGGAAATTCAATGTCTATTCTGACTATTGTGTCCAATTGCTGCTTTAGTGGAACTTCCGCCATCAATGCACAATCTCGGCGTCCCACTACCACCATGTACTTCTTAGACAATGGTACCAGCACATTATTCTTTTAAACTATATTCGGCGCCCGAAACAAAAAACACCCGGCATTAGGCAGCCACGCAAATATACTTTGCACCAAACGGCAGTGCTCTCGCCTGACTACTCGAAGGCGCATATGACTATATGAAAATTTGAGGCTCCGTCGTTGGTAGGTTACCCTCGGACCCACTATTATATTGTAAGGCAATTACTCTCCGCGATGTTGTATTATATCTCATTGGATAATAATAACAGTCTAATCCTTAGATAGTTTCTAATTGTCCGGCCACTCTTGTCCTGTCATAAACCCAACCTGGTTGGATGGAAAACACGATATGATAGTCACCATGCCTTGCTGTCAATGATGATAACGTGCGCACTAACTAAATGGTTAAATATACAGCAGCCATGGAAATCGCCGGCCGGCTGGAGGACACCAACGTATCGACTTCAAAGCCTCGAATAAGCCTAAAGGTACTAGATCTCGGAGAGTAGTCCGTCCGTCTTGGAGCCTAAAATGAGCCTGTGCGTTCTTCAAAACATGGATGGAACTACTCCGCGTATCTGGAACTATTTCTATGTAAAGATTGCACTATCTCTAGAGGATTACCCTCAGTGACGACCTAGCTAGATCCAATCACGGATTGCCCATCAAGATGTTCTACATCCATAGGGGAGGAGAACCCGGAAGTAAAGTAAACCGGCTTTATATGCCCCTACTGAGTACGACATGTGGAATCTTGGAGCCTAGAGAACTGCAGAATGTGTATAGTGGGGGCTAACTAGATCAGATGAACCTAACCCAACCGCTGCCGGTGCGCTGGACTAGTTGTATTCCCAAAGAACGGGCGTGGATAGGGTATCCCATTAACGAATGAGGTATGGATTTAGTGCCCTATTTACAAAAGCACTGGAATTCCAAGCCTTATTTATAGATATTCTTTTGCAACTATGCAACCATAATCCTCTGCTACTAGATGTAGTGTGGTCCGCGAGCCAGCTCGAGCCGAGTTGACCCATAAGTTCGAGCTTTTGATGAAGGTGGTAAAGTGGGTCGAGCCGGTGGTCAATGATTGGCGTAACACGTATGTGCGTTTTCATTGGGAAAGCAGCCAGGCCGATAAGATAGATCGCTGAAATGGGCGTTTCAAAAGGGTAAAAGGTGTTTGTAGCCCGCCCATCTTCTCCTCACAGCCCCCACAGCCCAGGTTAAACGAAAAGTACATGGTTTGAGCTCGAGCCTAACCTCGAGCCTTGAGGGAAAAGGCTCAAGCTGGCTCGGGCTCGCTGAATGACAAGAACTGCTCTCAATGAGCCAAAAGCTCAAGCTAGCTCGGCTCATGGACCACACCATCTGCTACACAGCAATACTCAGAACAGCTCCTGGGCTAGCTAGCACTGAGGACTTTGGGGGCATTCCCGTCGGTTTCAAGAGCCATTTGGAAATTATTCCCCTTGTAAGATATCTAGCTCAAGATACAGCGCACGTACTGGTCAGTGACGAGGACTTGGAAAGTCTTCTCTTACAGGCCCGCCACATATATGATAAATTTAAGCTCATCTCATCCATCAGCGGGATTCAATCACTGAGCTTTTTTGAGAGCCAAATAGCTCCCCCTAGTCGTCAACATCCCACTACAGTCCACCCTCCCTATAAGGGTACCAAAGCGGTGTGAAGTCGTACCCTTATTGAGCGTTCAACCGTAGTAACCGAGTTAAGGACCCAATTGGGTCCCACTTGAAATAAAGTGACCTTTCTTCAATTCACAGCTTCGTGAGTACTATATTAGGAGCTCTTGTTGGGATCGCTTGATAAACCCTCCCGCCTCTTTGTTATTAGTGAGCAGGGCTGAATCATATCGGTTTTGTGTTTTGATTGAGGTTGGAGTTGCAAAGTACCCAACTGGAACCTCAGGCCTCTACGGCTCATGGGATACACAGGGGGGGATTTGTGCCTACGAAGGCGATTATAGCCCGAGAGCCCATACCGTTATAAAGGCGGTTACCCTTATAAGAGGTACCCTTATAGGGCGATTGGACTGTACTATATTGTGTTCCTGAATATGACCACGTTCGTCGCTGGGATAGTAACTACAGTGTGATTCTATAATCATGGGATGTCACTCGGTCCCTCAAGATTGCCCCCAGTTTTCGTCTGTGGCGACTTTGACACGAGAGGCATTATACACACTTATCTGAACATATCGGCCGTGCTTGGGAGAATTCCGTTTGAGTGGTAACTTAGATACATGTACGTAAAGAAGTTGTTGGTTCGAAGAAGCTCCTGGTGAACCGGTGAAGGGGGACCATGTCAACATATAAGCAGCTACCTACTAGAAGTTGCCTCAGGGTTTCCATTCCTCTATCTACACTAATCATTACGGTTACTTCTATAAAGACCACCACCAAAACCAGCACCGATCTACACCTACACCTACACCTATACCTACACCTACACCTACACCTACACCTACATCCACCCAACTTCAACCCTAACCCATCCCACCGCACCACCGCACCCCTTACCCTCACTACCACCACCACCAGACTACATAAAACCCCTAACCCACCCAATTCCTACTCCCCCCTAGCTTTCTCCCCCACTCCCCGGCACTCCACTCCCTAGCCCAAGACCCAGCCACCCTACCCTACCCTAGGCAGAGTACCTACCGTACCAAGCATACCCTCTACATACTCTAGCGCATGGCCCGTGCGCTACTAACTACATGTACTAACTAACGCAGGCACCGCGCACTCGGGCGTTTTCTTGGGATGCTTATATGTATCTTAACTACATGTACACACCCACCCACCCGCTAGAGTACTCTATAGGGATGTGCACATGTATGTATGTGTGTGTGTGTGTGTGTGTGTGTGTGTATGCATGGGATAGGAGGTTGATCTGATGATCCTTTTTTTTTCTCTCGCACAGACGGGGAGGGGGAGGTGGGTGAATGGGAGAATGGGAGAGAAAGAGTGAAGTGGATAAAAGTGGAATTCCATGTCTACATGTGCGCCTGCTGAAAAGGAAGGAAAGGGAGGAAGGAAGGAAAATAGAGTTATAAGAGGTGCTAGCTATATAGCTTGCTGGCCAGACAGCTGGGTGGGTAAGTCGGTGGGTGGACGAAAAGAAGCTGGCTGGCTGGCTGGCTGGTGAGGATGGCTAGAGTGGTAAGGAGGTGAAGAGGGGAGAAAGAAAAAGAAAAGAAAACCTAAACAAACAAAAAAGCCCAAAGAAGATCCCACAAACCCAATAAGAAAGAAAAAAAACAATACAAAAGACACAAACAGCCGAAAAGCGAAAAGCGAAAATCTTACTATCAAAACACTACACAACCCCTCCCTCCCACCACGTCTAACGCACCGTCCTATCCACCCTCGCCCTCTCCGCCGCCGGCAACTGTCTCCCCCCCGCATCTCTCACAACACCACTCCGCCTCTCCACCCCGCCCACCCCCTCCTCGTCGCTGCTGGACCCATCGCCCCAAGCGTCCTCATCGCCAATGCTATGCCTCCTGTTCCTGCCGCCGCCGCCGGCATTGCTCGTGAGGCGCGCCTGCTCGTCGTCGTCGTCGTCGTCGCCGTCGAGATCGCACTCTGGCGGCTCGACCCAGCCCGCGGGCACGACGCACGGCAGCGCAACGCCGATGGACGCGGCGCGGTTCAGGTATGCGGGCGCGGGCTGGCCGGTCAGCGCCATGCACAGGTGCGAGGTGAAGTGGTTGCAGTTGCGCGTGAGGAGGTTGTAGCTGGGGCCTAGGAACTCGTTTGATGCCTATATTTCCCCACACCGTTAGCACCAGTCTGTTCTGTCTACCCGTTTCCCTCTCTCCCTGGGGGTACGAAGCCGGGGGACGAACCTCGCGGATGATCTCGTTGATCTCGTCCTCGCTGGCATATGTGAAGCCGTGGAGGATCTCGGTGCGGAAGGTGCCGCCGGGCGGGACGGTACGCGGCTTGGTCCAGTAGACGCCGGTGAGGCCGCGGCGGTCGTGGCCGCCGAAGGCGTATTCGCGGTCGTTGATGACGACGCCGGAGTGTAGGAGGCCGACGCCGAGGGTCCAGACGATGGTGGAGAGGCGGCCGGGCGGAGGAGGTCGTAGGCGTTGATGAGGATCTTGGTCTTTGTGAGTGTTGAGCGGGTGGTGGATTGGGAGGCGCGGGAGGGCAGCATTGTGGTGGTGGGTGGGTTGTGTGCTGCTGTGTGGTGTGGTGAAGTGGTTGGTTGGGGGATTGGGGGGGATTGAGGATTGGAGGTTTGGATGTGGATGGGGAGGGGATGGGATGGGCTGTTGGTGGCCTTTATTAATTGGTGTTGGTTGTGGCAGTGGTTGTGGTGATTGTTGTCGTAAGGCGGTGGTGGTTATCTATGCAGATCGAGAAGAGAGCTATGTGAAGCAGACAGACAGACAGACAGACAGGTAGATGTAGGTACTCGAGTCAATTGTTATACGGGATAGCTATCGATATCTACTCTGGATACAGCTGATGATGATGAGGGGACAGTAGAGGAGACAGCTGCAATGGTAGGAAGAGAAGTAGAAGTAGAACAAAGCTCCACGAGCACCTGGACAGGTTGGTTGACAGCTGATTGACTGCTCCTTCTCTCGCTCAGCTGAGGATGGAGACCTGCTACCGCCGCTGCAGGAACCAAAGCCGCCCACGCCCACAGAAAAACCAAAAGATTTCACCCAGCACTGGCACGGACACCACACAACGAACTCGGCCCAGTCAGTCAGCCCAAGTCAGGATGGAAGTGGAAGTCAGCAAGTCTCCAACCAGACCGAACACGCGGACAGTAGGCACCCTAACCCATTCTATCTCTCGGAGCAGCTGCACAGAGCCTCAGTCAGTTCCTCCCACACAGCTCTCACACAACCCCCCCCCCCCCCCCGTGAAAGCTTGCCTCTGAGACAAGTCTGGGGAATGCCATCCCATCATTTATGTATCTAGAGCCACGACAGGTCACACCAACCGAACCGAACCAACCGCACGGATATGTAGGTTTTGTGTGACTGTGGCGGTGCATTGCGGGACCGTCGTGTCAGCGCCACAACCTCAACGCCTCACAACGCGGGGTTAGGAAAAAAAAATGAGAGCAGAGCACAGCAGCCTCCTCGCATCCCCCACCTGGTTGTGTTGCTTTCAGTTTGTGATACGGTAGAAATAAACCAGCAACCAATCCCTCCTCCTCCTCCCCCCCAGAGTTGAAAAAGTGAGAAAGGTCCATATCCTTCTCACGTTACCCCTCATCCGCAACAACGTCGCTGCTGCTCCTTCCCAGGCGCTGCACAAAACATCTCTTCAACCCCACCACCACCACCTCCTCCTTTGCCCCACCACAACAGCAGTTTGCACAGTCCGTCTTTGGGCAGTCGAATCAGAAGTTTCTACTCGTCTTCACACGCTCGTACGCGAAACGCAAGATGCCGCCAAAGAAGGCCGTCAAGGAGGAGAAGATTATGCTCGGGAGGCCCGGGAACAACTTGAAGAGTGGAATTGTAAGTCTATCTCGAGGGTTGTGACACTATTTTTATTTTTTATTTTTAAATACTATTATTTTTTATTTTCTCATTTTCTGGTTGTCTGGGTGATGCAATTTTTCGCCCTCCCTTCCCTTCCCTTCCCGTTCCGCTCTTTTTTTTTTTTTCCTTTGTGGGCTGGGTGGGACTGGTTTATTAGCCCCCCCCCCCCTCCCGGATTCATCGTCACATATAAATTGGCACACGGGCTGACCCAACCTTCTCTCCTCCACCATCAAAACAGGTCGGACTCGCCAACGTCGGAAAGTCAACTCTTTTCCAGGCCATCACAAAATGCTCTCTCGGCAACCCGGCTGTACGTCCCAAGCCAGATCCTCCTCCACCATCTTGACAAGATGATCATTCTTTAACACCCACTTTTCCCCCCTCTTTAGAACTTCCCCTTCGCGACCATCGACCCCGAAGAGGCACGCGTCGTTGTTCCCGACGAACGCTACGACTGGCTCTGCGACCACTACAAGGTACATTTCTTCCCCTCCCTTCCTTTCCTCCACCAATTGAACTCCGCTGAGCTCACCCAAGCCCCGCTCACAAGTACCCGCCAACCTCACGGTCTACGACATTGCCGGTCTGACCCGCGGCGCCTCGACCGGCGCCGGTCTCGGAAACGCGTTCCTGTCGCACATCCGTGCCGTCGACGCCATCTTCCAGGTGGTGCGCTGCTTCGACGACGCCGAGATCATCCACGTCGAGGGCGATGTCGACCCCGTGCGTGATCTCCAGATCATCAACGACGAGCTGCGGATCAAGGATATCGAGTTTGTGGAGAAGAACTTGGAGGCCCTGAAGAAGCAGACGGGCCGCGGCGGCCAGAGTCTCGAGATGAAGAAGCTCAAGGAGGAGCAGGCTATCGTGGAGAGCGTGCTGAGCTGGTTGGTGGATGAGAAGAAGGATGTGAGGAAGAAGAGCTGGGGGAACAAGGAGGTGAGAATTCTTTTTGTGCTTTTTTTTTCTTTTTTTCTTTTTCGTGTGCAATTGCACTTTTTCCATGGTTTTTTTTATACCATGTTGCCCTCCAACTACAATGATGATAAAGGGTATTATACCCGAACACAAACCCAGCTCGTTGAAAGGCCTCACATAAACGCAGAGACCCTCATGAGATACCATTTTGTGTCTGACACCTCCCCACCACACTCGCACTTTCCTCCCCCCAAAAAACCAAAAGAAAACCCCCCCACTAACACCCCCCTCCCCAGGTCGAAATAATCAACCAACTCCAACTCCTCACCGCCAAACCCGTCATCTTCCTCATCAACCTCTCCGAAAAGGACTACATCCGCCAAAAGAACAAGAACCTGCCCAAGATCAAGGCCTGGATCGACGAGCACTGCACCGGCGACGTCATCATCCCGCTCTCGGTCTCGTTCGAGGAGCGCCTCACGCGCATGACCGACGACGAGGCCGCAGAGGAGTGCAAGCGCCTCGGCGTCAAGTCTGCCATTGGCAAGATCGTCGTCACCATGAGGGCCGCCCTGCGGCTGGCATCCTTCTTCACGACGGGACCCGACGAGGTCAGGCAGTGGAGTATCAGGAAGGGGACGAAGGCGCCGCAGGCGGCGGGGGTTATTCATACTGGTGAGTTTTTTTTGTCTACAAAATTGTTTTTTTTTAAAAAAAAAAAGCATACTGACTGTGGAAATAGACTTCGAGAAGACGTTCATCCAGGCGGTCATCTTCAAGTACGATGACCTGAAGGAGCTCGGCGACGAGGCGGCCGTAAAGGCTGCTGGAAAGCTCCAGACGAAGGGGAAGGAGTACGTCATGGAGGACGGCGACATCGTGCTCTTCAAGGCTGGTGCTGCGAAGTCTTGAGATGGCGGATTATTTTTTTTCTTCTTCAATCTCGTCTTTTTTTTTCTTCTCAGCTCCTCCCGGTGGGCTATTTAGTGTAACAAATATGAAAAGATTTGCACTGAAATTTTTTTTTTCCTGCTCTTGTGTGATGTGACTTCTTTGTGACATTTTGTACTCTTGATGCTCGGCGCTTCAACATGTTCTTTAATTTATCTTAGGTACCTACCCGTGCGCGTGGAAGGTTCTACTTGACACTGTGAGACTTTTTAACCAGACTTTTTGACCAGACGGACAGACGGACAGACACACACCATCACTCGGTCCCACTCGGCCCCAACCACCCGGTCCGGTCTAGACTTGTCCCCCCCTTTCTTCCCACGGGGGTTAACGGGGTAAACGGCCAGTACCGGCCCTCGGCTCCGTGAAACAGCTGCAGGGTGAGACACCCACCGGGTCGGGGTCTCAGCTTGTGGGACCTGGGGTTGGGTTGGGGTTAAGGTTAGAGGACGTTGTTGTCGTACGGAGTGAGGTAGGTAACTGGGTGGGGTGGGCTGGGTATGTTGGTACTGGAAGCACGTGTACGGGGAGGGTGGTCGAATTAGTGGTGGGGACGGGGAGGCGGTTGGAAGGGGAGGGAGAAAAGGGAGAAGAGGGGGGGAAGGCGGGAGGGGAGCGAGTGAGAGGTTGTGACTACTTAATATTTCTCCACCACCCCGACCGTCAGAACAGCTTAAACGAACAACAGCAAGAAAAGTGTCGTCTATACAACACAACATCCCTTCGCCTAGTAGGCGGTTCCCCAGGCCCCTCCTCCTCCTACCGGTCTGTCTGTTAGGCTAGCTAGTCGAGGGGTGATCATCAACGGCGTACGCCCTCCCTAGCTCTGGCTAGCTCGTAGGTAGGGTCGACCACAAACAAACTGGCGAAAGCAGCGGACGTACGGCTAGCTGTGAACATTCACGCGAACTCTGCCACTCGAGTAGGAGAAGGGCTGGTTGGTACTCGACGGCTTGGGTGTTTGAGAGGGGGAGAGTAAGGGGTATGTATGAGCTCATAGCTGGAATTAGTGGAAGGGGTGGGGGGGTTGGTTTGCTTTTGTTTCCCACCCCCCCCCCCCCCCTCCCAAATTTCGGTAGGTAGGTAGGTAGGCGATGAAGATACGGGGGGGCACGTACGGTCAGAAGAAGGAAGGGAGGGACGACACTGGATCAAAGCCAACGAGCGTGGGACCATGACTGTAGGGTGTAACGGCGTGCATTCGAGTTATAGTCTGGGGCTGGAGGGTGGGGTGGATGTGGCATGTTCAGGTTCATGTCCAGGCTCAAGAGATCCAGAAAAATTATCACTACCCATCACTCGCGCCCAGCCAACAACAATCCCCGAGTCCAGTCCAAGAACCTAGCCAACAATTGAAGTATAAAGGGCCATGCCTCATTCGCCATGACAAGACTCCGTGGCGCAACGGTAGCGCGTTCGACTCCAGATCGAAAGGCTGCGTGTTCAAATCACGTCGGGGTCAATCAGTGCTCCGTAAACCTGCTGCTCTCCTGTGTTTCGAGTGGCTTCTTCGCCGCATTGGTCTTTTTGTCTTGCTACGCCCTTCTTTTTTTTTTTCTTTTTTTCTTGTTGGTTACTTCTTACTGGTTGCCCGTTGTGTATGTGGCTCTGTGTATGGACTTTGGCTGGATACTTGTATGGATATGTACATGTAGTCTTGGCTTTAAGATATCTGGCAAAAAAAAAGAATTGGTGTGGGGAGTTGGAGGGGTGGGGGGGGGGGGGGTGTGTTCTGTGGGACCTTCGGTTCATGGATCGTCACTCGCGGCGCGCACAGATCGGACCTTGCAGATCCCCCCATCTCGAAGGGATGGCCCGGTCACACGACGTCAATGTTTGATTTAGTAGCTTCCCCAGAGTTGTGCAATGTACTCCGAGAGAACCAAAACTCTTTATCCAATCGACACACTGTGCGGCACCATACTCTATCACCAGCTGTATGGCCGTTGAATGTCTTCATGTAATACATTCGTGTTTTGTAAGTTGTTGGGATACATACCAATTGAACGAACTAAACCCCCACCGCTTACTACCCGACTTATTGCCTAGGGGGATCTAGGGTTAAGAACAGAGAAAGAGGTAATGATAGATTTGCGCATGGCGGCAGGTGGTATTTGGGGCGGGGGTTAACAGTGAGAAGATGTTGGGTTCGGCGTCTGTCGCGGCCAGTTTGGTGAGCAGGGACGATTGCCAAAATGTAGTTGCAATTGAACTTTGGCCTCTCTAAAGCTCAGGCAACGGGTTGCAAGGCTTGATTCTTTGAGGGCAGCACCCTGGCTTGATTGAACCCCAAACTCTCATTGCGAAACGTCTTGAGGCTGTTGTCAGAATTGTATCAGCGGCAGCGCCAAGCCTTGTAGAACCCATAAACACAAGAACTAACAAATATACGATCTGGCATATAAGGAGCAAAAAGAGAAGTTAGAAATGGTACAAGTACCAGTTCCTCCTCGTTTACTGACCCCGACGTGATTTGAACACGCAGCCTTTCGATCTGGAGTCGAACGCGCTACCGTTGCGCCACGGAGTCATACAATTAGCCTTTTCCCTTGGTTTTATCGGACCGTGGGCCCTGCCCATGTCGTTTAGTTGAATTCTCGTCGTTTTAGGTTGTTGTGGAGTTACAGGGGTACAAAACGGACAAGATCTCGGGTCTGGCGCAACCTGGTGGGGTCCACGCTGTTACGCAACGGCTACCCGCACGTTTCCATTGAAGGAACCCAAGTGATGTATCAACCACTCTCAACCATGTAGATCTACTTGTTGCATTTAGTAATGGAACTCTGAACATAAGAGCTCATTTATATCCAAGTGCACGACATTGGTCTAAAGAATAAAAATCATTAAAACTAAAATATCATCCCTCATATAATTCTTTTCGCTTTCGTACTCATTATCACCCATCACATGTGCACATCTACTAGCCAATGAACTGAGAAAACGCAGCCCCATTCGAAAGCCATCATAAGTGCATGGTATAATGTCAATGCTACCGTGCGTTTTCCCGGTACAGTCTTGTGGCCTAGTATAAAAGATCCAACAGATGAAGTTCAAAAAAAGAAAACATAAACAAAACTTCCTAAATATAAAACTTCTGATTGCTACCTCTAGCAGCTACCAAAATAATATAATTGCTTCAAAAATAGAAAACGACTATCAAAGACCGCCATGCTTTGTAAGATGTTCACTATGAACATATATAGTTAGTAAAATGAGGTAAACCATGAAGTAAAGGGGGATTTTCATACAATCTTTTGTAGGTATATCCAATGAATGGCAAACCAGTCTCCTCCCCGATTGCCATCGGCTGGCCTCCAGCTTGTTGCTCGGCCATAACAGCCGCAACAGCGGGTGCAGTTGGAACACCTTCAAGTTCCTCTGTCGGGAAGTAACTATGGTTCCAGTTAGCCTCAGTGATACATATACTGGTAGGTTAGGCACATACGAGGTATCAGTAATACTCGACAAATTCGGCTTGAAGGGCGCCTCAATTTTCCTCAAACTATCCCAATCGACGCCATCAAAGAATGGGTGCGCCTTAATCTCATCCGCACCATGGCGCCCTATTCTCTTGTCTGCGCTTGTAATCAAACACCTAATCAAGTCCTCTGCTTCGGGACTCAATTGAATTTCCTCGGGGAAGTACAGTTGTGTCTGCCAGTTGACAATCTTCCTGTATGTTTCATGTGCATCCTCCGCGCAGAATGGTGGCCAACCCACAAGGCACTCAAACATAATCGTTCCCAAACTCCACCAATCACACTCCTGTCCGTAACCGTTGTGCAAGAAGATTTCCGGCGCGATGTAATCGGGTGTTCCGACGGTTGAGTACGCCATAAGACGTCGAGACTTTCGCCATGTGTTGATTTGGTTTCTATTTGAGACAGTGAGGTGGATTGCATCAACCATAACCGAGTTTCTGGCTCGGGTATTATTTTGTTGTTCGCTGGGGGTATTAGAGCCTCCCTCAAGTAGGCGTTGGTAGTAATTCTGGTCGTGAGTCTTGTGGAAACCTGTTGAAAGACCGAAATCGGAAAGTTTTATGTGACCATCTTTGTCGATAAGGATATTGTCCGGCTTGATATCTCTGTAAAGAATAAGCGCCCAAAATTGGGATGGAATTGTTTAGGGGTTGCTCACCGATGGATGAAACCTAGCCTGTGCACAGCTTCAATGGCGCACACACACTGTGCCATGTAGAACCTCGTAACGTCTTCTGTGAAGATTTCGTACTTAATGAGCATTGTCATCAAATCTCCTCCTGGTAAGAACTCCATGATGAGGTATAGATAGACCGCATCCTGGAATGAATAAAAGAGGTTCACGACCCACGGCGAGTCTGAGTCCGCAAGAACATCTCTCTCAGCTTTGACGTGCGCCAATTGGTCCTTCTTAAACATCTCAGATTTAAGAAGTGTTTTCATAGCATAGATCTTTCCTGTGTCTCTCTTCTGTACAAGGCGAACTTCACCGAACGCGCCCTTTCCAATGACCTTGACCGTTAGGAAGTCATCGGCATGCAGCCTCATTCTTCGTAAACGAAGAAATTGAGACTCCTGTTTACCCAGCTGTTGTCGACGACGTTTTTTGCGCTCATCCGACATCTTTCCCGCATCGAGTTCCTGCTCAAGCTCCACGCGTCTGCCACACCACATCGTCATCATCAGTCTCATCCACGTTCCTAGGGAAACCAGGGGTAAATTCAAAGGTTATTCTAACGAACCGTTGGTTCCTCTCCACAGCATATCCGACACTCTGATTGTAATGAAGCTCCACCTTTACCTTCAAAGCCTTTGCCCTTTCCCTGGTCGAGGATGTGAAGGTACTATCATCTCTCTGGAAAACAACGTAATCATCCTTTACAGCACCACCCGCCTGTAAACTTCCACTAGTACGGGGTCGTTGTGGCGAGCCTGGGCTGGCATTGCCCTGCCTGGGGTTGAGGTGTTGATTCTGAAGCTGCTGCGCAAGGCCGTTGGCGTCGTAACCCACGGAATTGGGCTGCTGGTACTGCTGAGCTTGGAACTGTTGCTGCTGGGCGTATTGCTGCTGCTGGGAATTGGGATACGGGTACTGTTGTTGACCATTACCTCCTTGCTGTGGGAAATACCCCTGTTGCTGTTGGTTGCCGTATGTCTGCTGATAGGCAGCACCGGTGTTGGTGGGGTAGTTGCTACCGTCTTTGCCTGGAGCGCTCATAGCTGAGATAGGGGGGCTATTATGGGGAGGAAGCTCTTCTGTACAATGGTTGGAAACAGAGTCAGAGGATCCAACGAAGTGAGGTTGTGTTGAGTGGAGGATGGTAAGTGAGGAAGAGACTTCGAGAGGGAAAGGGAACGAGGAAAAGAAAAGAAAATGTAGGCTGGGACGGGGGCAAAATGACAGCGGGGTTTCAAGGGTTGGGGGGTGACTTGGGGGGATGGATGAATAAGAATGGAGAGGATGGTGAGGATGGCGAAAAATAAATAAATCCTGGGAGGGTAGAGGGAACGGGCACGGAACCTACCTGCTCTAGAGTAGGTATCGTAAGTAGAGTACGTGTGAGGAGTGAGCCGCAGATGCTGCAATGAAATATGTATGTACCTAGAGTACCTGCGGAAGTATTAAGGAACTATCGATTACAGCTCTGTCACACAACAAGTGCCGTTGAGGCAAGCAGTTGTTGGAGGCGTAAGGCGTTGAAGGACAGAGGAAGGAGGTCGAGACGAGGAGATGCAGACCTCAATTCAGGACAGTACGTATATGTACCTTACACAACCACGAAGTGAGAAGGAGCACAAGGACGATGAACCGGGGATGGAAGGGGAAGGGGACGAGGGGGTCCTTTCTCGGTTCAGGGAGGGGTGGGATGGATGGGATCTGATGGGTAGAAGGGGACGATCGGGATTAATATGGCAGGGTGATGTGACCGGATATTTGCTCTGCAGTTACAAGCTCAAGCTCAAACTCTCTTTAGCATACTTCTTCTAGTTCTCCCACAATTCCATCGTGAGAGCCGGAATAATGTTTATTTGTTCGTATCACCTTTTGGTTTTCTTTGCTTCATATTGCCCTTCTCCGTGATTCGTGCGGGAGCACGAGGCTACAGAAAGCCAAATCGTTATGTACCTTGGAAAGGGGCAAATCTAGGAGAATCGATGTATTTTCTACAGGTACCTTGCACTTTATGTGCATGTGGAGTTGTAAATAAGTAGTTGTACCTGTAAAACTGTGTTCTGAGAATTATAGAGCAAATATGTTGATACTACATTGCACTCTAGTAGGAAATTATCTACCTCATATATTTACTGTTTCTATCACATTAACCTCTACTTTAGTGAAGTCTGTCCTTTATCTCCTTACTGGTGGAAGTGCAGGCGCCCAGGATTGTGCAGGCGGAGACACCTAGGCTGACATTCGGAACCCCATTCGTCCCATATTACGCCCATCGCCGCCTTTACACTTTGGAAAAGAAGGGGCGGCTAGACAGATCACGGGAGGTGGGCGAAAATTCGTGGTAAGGACATGTATGGATCCCTGCCTCAAAATACAATACATTCGTAACGTTCTTTGGAACAGCCGTATTGTAAAGGATATCAGGGTCCGTGTACCTACTACCTACTCTCACTTCGCAAATTCGGATGCAACAAACACGCAACCGAGTCTTCTCATGAATTATTTGATTTAATTTTAGTTCCCAACAGATCGAGAGCTATGGGTAAGCTGAGCAAGCTTGATCGCTCAAAGATCAAAAACAGGCCTGTAGAACACATGTCCCCAATCAGTGAAGTTTGTTGGGACCCTATGTCTCGTGCCCTTTGGATATCGTATTTATATCTAGTGCAAGCAAAGTAGTGATTCTTCAGCGCTTCAAATCCGTATAGGAATTTGTCGGGCTCTGATCCGCAATTTATGGTAGCTGCCGCGCGGCCCGCTGCTCGGTATATGACGCTTCCCGTGTCTATTCTGTTGTCAATTTTGCTCTCGGGGCTCGGTAGAGGCTCTGAGACCTTGAAGTGATGAATTGTGAACCCCTGAAGTCTTTGGAACCGTTAAGCATAAATCTGCGATCGCCGTGAAGCTCCCCTGGGGTTATCAAGCTTTTATAGAGTTGATATCACCATGGCTAACCCTCAATTGAACCTCTTGAGCCCCTTCTTGTCATCTAACAAGGTTCGATTGTAGAGAGTAGCTAAAGCTGCATGTATCCCCTTGTTGTCCTACCCAATAGGCGAACGACCCCAGAGCCGCAGCTGCGAATATCAGGGTACCAACCCTAATCCAACGTCTTGGCATAATCCCAGTGTGGGAACTGCCTATCCCACTTGCCAAAAAAAAAACCACCTTAACGACATCTCACGAACCCCACCTTAACGACCATTTGATCTCTCTCCAGATCTCTCCCCCCATCATCCGCAATCATGGCCAGGTAAGTTTCTCTCTAGCTACTCGCACTTGCTCAGGGAGAAAACGTCTAATTTTCTTTGTGTCTTATAGCCCTGTAACTGCTCCCTTCAAGTCCGTCCGGGTGGACGCTCTTGTCGTTCTCAAGATCGCCAAACATTCCTCCTCAGCGCACCCCCAGGTCATTACTGGCCAGCTTCTTGGTAAATTCTCTAGCGAAATTTAGTATACTCTTATGAGGGTAGGCTAACTTTCAATAGGAATGGACGTGGACGGCGAGCTCCAAGTGACAAATTCCTTCCCATTCCCATCTGCCGATCCTGCTGCCTCTAGCGGCGATTTCAATGATAACAACAGCTCCGCCAACGCTGCTGCAGCCGCCCCAAGGGCAAAGGCAAATGCTTTCTACCAAGCAGAGATGATGAGGTGTCTGAGGGAGATGAACGTGGATGCGAACAGCGTTGGATGGTACCAAAGTGCCAACCTGGGAAATTTCGTATGTTCCCAGTTATATCGTAATAAAAAGGAGTCACCAAGACAAGGTGATTACGAAGGAAATGTGGGATGATGGGACTGATATATTGGGCCGTAGTTGAACGCCAACTTTGTCGAGAACCAATATTTTTACCAGTCAACTCTCAATGAGCGTACCATCGCCCTTGTTCACGACACTGCTCGCAGTGCACAGGGGACACTTTCACTCCGTGCATTTCGCTTAACGCCTGCATTCATGGCTGCTCAGAAAGAAGGGAAATTCACCTCAGAATCTCTTGCTAAGCACAATCTCACCTATCGCGACATTCTCATTGAGCTCCCTGTCACAATTCGCAATAGTCACCTCCTTACAACTCTTCTCCACCAACTTGACTCACCACCTCTTCCGGCTAACCCAACCCCATTCTCCCTCTCTACACTCACCCCGACTCCATTGTTCCCCAACTATGATAGCCTGGACCTGAGCATCGACCCTTTCCTCGAGAAGAACTGTGACCTTCTTCTCGACTCGATAGAGACCCACTACACTGAGCTCAACAATGCCCAATACTATACCCGCCAGCTTGCGCGTGAACAGGCAAAGATCACTGCATGGCAAACCAAGCGGAAGAGCGAGAACGTACTTCGTGCAGCGGCAAAACAGGAACTGTTGCCAGAGGATGAGTGGACCAGAATTTATAAGCTTCCCCAGGAGCCCAGCAGGCTTGAGAGTTTGTTGAACAGCAGACAGATTGAGCAGTACGCAAAACAGGTGGATGGATTCACAGCTGGTGCGACAGCTAAGATGTTTGCGGTAAACGCGGGCTTAAACAAGACAGATTAAAAGAGGTACTATAAATGAGAAATGACGTTGGTGGTATTGTTCTTCTAGTATATTTTTTTCTCTTCGTTCCTTCGAGTTTTATTTTATGTCCTTGTTTCTTTCCTTTTCTTTTCTAGTTTCCGGCGCTGGCTTTTTGTGGCTTGGGTGTCGTTTTTTCTTGTAGGTGGGAGCAACAAAAAGTTATTGGTTGGCTGGTTGGATGCTTTATAAAATAGATCCGTCATCTTACTAGATTTTTTGTTCATACATACCTTTTAACTTGACTCGTACGAGTGTCGGGATATACTGCATTTTGTGAATGGTGTATTAATCTGAAGGAAGGCGTTTGACATAAAATTGTATCAATTATTTGAGTTTTGTCGATTTAGTATTGTTACTGTATCCGGATGGTAATAATAGCCTTGATTTAAGGTTACTTCTTGGGAGCCTAGTACCAATACAACCTGCTCATTTACAAGTCCGAATCTGGTTTACAGCTTCTGAGATCAACTCACAGTTGAGCATTGTAGAGCAAAGTGGAATAAATCCCCAATAAATAGCATCACGCACAAGACTCCGTGGCGCAACGGTAGCGCGTTCGACTCCAGATCGAAAGGCTGCGTGTTCAAATCACGTCGGGGTCATTCAATAGTCTTTTAAAGACATTTACCAACTGTTATTTTTTTTGATAATATAATTGACACTTCTCTCCGTAGGATATAAAGTGTAAGCCACAACAGCAACAGTGTGTCAACTACTATAGTGCGTTTGGTATGCTTTTGTCATTTCCCAGCCTGGTAAAGCAAACCCACCCAAAAATTGACACTTGCGGATGCCTTTTTGGAGAATCAATTGCTAGAACTGACAGCTAGTAAATACGCAGAGCAGATCTCGTAAAAGTCTCTTTCTGTCCGAAGTTTGCGGCTCTAGTAAGTATGGGGTTAGAAAACTCTCTAAAATAGATATAGATACTTATGCAACTTTACCTTTAACGTCACATCAGGAGGCTGTTTTATAAGCCTAGCATAAACCTTGGCTAATAATAGGGCTATAGGGAGATTAACGTGTAATTCGCCATGTACCTGTCTAATATTCAGGTATTTCTGTCACCACGAAAGGTTTCTATGGGCTGATTGGTTACCCCCACCTCTATCGACGTCTGTCAACTGCCACCTATCCCTTGGACGAATGAGAGGTTGCAAAATCTCTCTCATGCATTAAGGCTTTCTATACAGGAAGTGATTGACTGAACTTAACACAACATCTTACGAAATATATGACATCCTAGCGTAATATAAAGACTGGCTAACGCAGCAAGGACGTTTTCTCACCAAAATATAGAGATCACATGATATATATACATGAGAGATTTTGCAGTGTCTCATTCGCCCAGGGGATAATAAAGGAATTGGGTTCACACAGAGATCTATTCGTAAAGGGTGGCAGCATTTTATTGACAAACAAAGGGATAGTCATATTGCACGTCCGGTGAGCTGCAGCTAGCTGTCGATAGATAAAAAGCTGACCCCACCAGGATCCGGGATCGAGTGAATTAAGGGAGACAACAGGCATGTCTTTTTAAATTATGATATATAAACATAGCCCCTCGGACCATTAATGTTATAAACTTTCATACAAGTACTTTTCCATCAATATATAGTTCCTCTCGGGCTCTTCCGAAACTAACACTTCACGCGAGAAAGGAATTGAGATACACTCGCATTTATTTCGAACCACTGAAAAGAGCTGGACCTTTATACATGTGCTTTCCTTTAGATATCGGCGGTTACCGTGTTGATGGAAAGCCGAAGAGAGATAGCCAGGTCTAGTTTTGCCTTCACTTAGGTCCATGTTCGTCAACCCTCGGTGTCCATCAATACAAATCTACAATCACTACAAGAGGGATAGTTAATCTGGACATGATTCAGATGCTGGTGTATTTATGTGGAATTCATTGTGTGGCCAGTCTCCATGATCACGTACCACTTAGTCGCCGTTTCCCTTGGCAATCCTCAATACAGAAAGAGGATTGAGAAATTACATGTAGGATATACATACTCTATGGTTGGGACGCCGAAGGTTCCCATTGAAGGCCCTCCACAATTACTGAACAATTGGTTGATACCCATAATTCAAAAAACAACTCGCGGTCGCGAGGTGGATGGACCCCCTAGTGTACATGTACTGGAACATTATCACCTATGGTATATACACTAGAGATAGGAAGATAGTACTACATGAAGGCCGGTGTGGGAGTTTCTTGAGAGAGGTGGGTCACTACAATGTATAATGTACTATGTAGCACCGCTGGTAAGGAAGACACAGGGCGAGCCCTAGAGTGCTCCAGCTGCGGAGCCGTGTGCTTGTTCTCGGGCAACTAATGAAAACCATGCCGAAGGTGCCTACAACAAAAATTGCTCGTAAAATGAGTAAAGAGGAGGACGAAGTCCCAGACATTTCGCGTCCATAAATACTTAGTCAAATGCCAAGGCTTAAGCGGTCAAAAAGCCGCACTCTACCTATTCTAGCATGCATGCTTGCACACTCATTTCCATAGGTCTTCCAGTCACTGTAAATACCTGTCTCGTGCCCAGAACACTTCCTATGATTCTGGTTGGTCAGTATTCGGGTGTGTAATGAAACTAGCTGTAGAACGAAAGCCTTAATATTATGTGGTGACCAGTCTGATCTGTGGACTTACCCCCAACAGAGGGCCGGGGGTAAAAGGACCCAGACAAAGAAGATTTCAGTAAGTAGCTTTCTTCACAGGAAATATGTACCACGCCACTAGAGTGGTGAGAGTGGTACGGTGTTACTAATGTTGCTGGCAATATCTCTTCATTCGTTGCAGCAAAAACAGATCCATATTAGGCCCACGGCGACATATTCAAGAAATCTAGCTACCTACAGACTATGAAAACACCAGGATAGGTCACGGAAGGTGACTTCACAGCAAAATGAGGTTCACCAAGTGGGGGTTAGATTTACTGCCGAATGAAAGCGTCCGGTCGTGAAAAGACACGAGGGGATAAAGACCCGCTATGTGCCAAATCTTCGAACACCGACATATGCACTGAACATGGGTACCAAATCAGGAGTGCAAAGGTGCTTGCTACAGGGCCCGGACGGAGTTCTGAGCGTTCCAGTGCACAGTAGAAATACCGAATCCGCGAAGCGTAGGATCTAGGAATAAAGAGTATAGAATTCTTATTTCTAGTCAAAAATGGATATTTTCAAGAGTGAGTAGAGTGTATTTATGCCAATAATATAAAAAAACAGCCCCCCCCCTCCAGCCATCTTCCTGTGGCAGCACCACTGAGCGTCAAAACGCAATCTCTGTATGCAAATCAACCTTCAATACTAGATCAAGCCTGCCTCCCGCAAATGAAATTCAAATGGCACTAGGTGTCATGACTTACGATCTTACGATTTAAGTTCAGCAGGAATCTTTTACTTCCCTTCATCCAGGGCTCTCTCCGAGTCCGTTACAGCTGACACAAGGTGGGTTTTCGAGAAGCTCATTCTCCAACTGAAGTTGGTGCCCAGAGTGAGAATCGGGCTATGGACAAAAATCGCGGTGGAGAAATTAATCCGGCGAAGGTTTTCCGGAGATAGAGTTGTTTGAGGGGCCGGGGTAAGAGTGTGGTGGTGATTCGTGCAGGGCAATAGCTGTATTAATGCCAGCAGCCTGCCAAGCTGGTGGAGGAACAGAGCCTTTCCAAAGACACTTAAGGTATGCGACGAGCTGACGAGAATTATTCGATACCGTAGCTGGCATGTTGTAGGTTGATAGATAGATAAATTGAAGTCGAATTAATGTATCTCTACTGATATATGGTTTTGGAGGACGTACTGGGAACAGAGTCTGGGTTTTATAGAGGACGCAAGTGAATCGAGCGCAGCAACTCGGGTTGGCACGTACACAGTGTTATGCGGCGGATTACTCCAAAAGTCTGCCCCAACCTGTCCCAAGTTCTTTCACCTATCGGGACATCGGGGGGGGGGGGGGGGGGCGGGGCCGGGGGGTGCGCCTTGATAGACTCGAAAAGTTTCTTGGCGGACCCAACTATAAAGTGGTGACTTCAGGCCGAGTGATGGAATATGAATTTGTTGTACTTTCCCTATTCGTTTTTATTTTATTTTTTTCCTTTCTTTTCTGCATTTACTTAGTGCGTTGCCCGTCGATCGGTTGATGGATGGGACCGAGGAGAAGGAGAAAAGGGCAGGAGATGGGTAATCTCGGGTGAGCCGAGTGATGGATTATGATGTTAATTATGGCTTGGGCGTGGTGGAAATGGAAGTGGAAGTGATATTTCTCTTATGGCTGGTAGTGAGGTCCAGCATACAATCGCCCGAATATCTCCATGGGAGATACCGAGGCTCTACAGAGATGGTAGTGCTGGTCTATACCAAAACCTATCGGTCAAGGGCAAAAAGGCTCCATCACAACACCACTGCCTCCAGCCGACAGCTGCCTCCTACTACACTCCGCGCGGTTTTTATTTTACTACTATGAAGAGCATACACCGTCTATGATCTAATCTATAAGTGAGTAGCGAGTGCGCCTGTTTCATGCATGTATTATCACTCGGTATTGGCTAGCCCCTTTTTGGGATGCTTTGGTTGACTGCGACTTGGATATGGTTTTAAGTGCAATGGAACGCATTTACATCCAATTTACATTAATTATCCCATTTCCTCAACCGAATTTTGTCAAAAAAAAAACCGAAAAAATACATGGATGTCTATCTACATCTTATCTAGATAAGGTTGAACTTCTTACCTTAGGCTGACATAGCTAGGACTATATCAACTACATGTATATTAGCTGAATTGATGCAGATGACAGTTTTAGAACACCCATAGACCTAGGAATATATGTGGTAATTTTTTCAAAAAATGTTAAAGGGACTGAAAAGGGAGGATAAAGGAATCGAAAAGGGGTCGAAAAGGATCGAAAGGGGATCGAAAAGGGATCTAGCAAAAATTGACAGCAAATGAATTCAAAAGGGACAGTAAATGGGCCCAAAAGGGACAGTAAATGGACATAAATTGGATCCCGGGGTCTACAGTGGGAAACGTCACAGGAAATGCCACAGTAAAAGGGATGTAAAAGGAATAAAGTGCACATTTCTAACAGACGTACCCTTGTAAGCACATTTCCATGTGCCTTTTCCCAAACATTCTTGTGGGAAATGTGCTAATTGATGCATTTTTACTCGTATTAGAGCCATTGTGACCACCACCTCTCCGACCGGTTTCGCGTCAGTCGCTCTTCTTGCATTAGGCCCGGTCATCAACTTCTCCGCTCCTCCTGATTCGTTATTCCTCTCTTATGTCATGGAGGAACAATGGCCCGCCCATACTATGGGGCATACATCTGCTCGTGTACCACTCTGTACTATTACGTATACCGGTGAGCAGCACATGCGAGATATATGGCATGCTAGTCACGATGAACGTAAGAGGGCAGAAAAAGCCAATTGAAGAAAAACAAAATACCAAGACAGAACACTGTCCAACCCGACTTTGATAGCACTGCCAGTATCAGAGGTCACGGGTCTAACTATGGTACTGAGTACGGACCTGTGATAGGATCACTGCTGTCCCCGGGAAATGGCGAACCCAGCTTGGTGACCGATGAAGCTTTTCTAGAAAGGAATTCAATTCTGTATTCAGACACAGTACTTAGAGTCTATTTCCACAATTAGTGAAGCAATCAATCAAAAATCAATCAATAAATAGAGGTCTATTTTAGGTGTAACCATGAGAACTTAAGCCGGCTCGTGCCCATCACCATGCCGCCGCCGCCACCGCCCCATTGAGCAGAGGAAAATCACACGCTATGCGCTCTTTATACAACAGTGGGTTTAAGAATTTAAACAATAAGCCTGAAAATCTCACCATACATACATACCCCACAAGATATCGACAATATGTTTTGAGAAAGAGCCGGCCCAACGTTAACCGCCGCCCCACCCCCCCTTCCTCCCGCTGGCTCTGGTCTTTGTCTTCATCAATTACGGCGGGTGGTGATCAGTCTACGTACCGCTAGCACCATGATCCAAGTAGGTACCAGCTGTAACCGTGGCCTCTGAACGACACTACATCAAGGAGCAGCCTTGAAACTGGGCATGGTAATGACCATTTTACCTACCTTCCAACCCAATGACTTTCCAACCCATCCACATCCACCCCCTAACCCATACACTTTACCACACATCCACTTTAATTAATGAATTAAACAAACAAGAAGAAAAAAACACATCCACTTTCTCACCAAATAGAAGGGTTGAAACCATGGTAATAATCGTTTTGCCTACCCCCACCCAATGATTTTACGACCCGGCACATCCACTTTCCAGCCCATACAATACACTTTACTACACATCTGACTCCACTTTACAACCTAATCACATACCATAGCGATAACGCACTATATTAGGACACCAGGACTCAGGAGAGACAGGTTTATCGACAGGTCCTACGATTCCATGCCAACACGGACGGCGCCATATAGTTCCGGGGTCAATGATCAAGGTTTCTTCTTCCTTAGGACTCGACCGTGAAATTTAATGGGTTTCTACTGCGACGCAAAATTCCGGACCTATGCCAAGGGTACTTCTCTCTGTCCTGTCAAACACCTCACTCTTCACTGTCCTCAGGTGTCAGCGTCGGCACCGGTTTGGGCCTATCCTATTTTTTTGCTTTCCGGGGTGGAAGCAGGAGGACTTGTACCAATCACAGCACATAGCCACACACTAACCGCACGCTCCTAGCTCTGAAGGCGTTAAATAGAAGGACTAAGGACTAGGGGCGGAAGAAGCACAAAGATCTATTTATCCCGACCCTATATATCTATACCTTCTCCATCCCTTTCCCTCCCCTCCACCCCAATTATGCACATGTATGCCCCAACCGGATCCACAGACGGAAAGAAAGAAAAAATGAAAACGAAGCAAGATACTCGATCATTACACCGTTAATTTCAAGCTCGAGCCAACAGGAAGACAGCAATTGGCACAAAATATAGAACGAAAAAAAGGCCTAACAAAAAAGCGAAAAGGAAAAGAAAAGAACCCACTACTGCTCCTCCCCCGGCACACCCAAGTCCAAATTCAATTCCTTCGCCTCCTCCACCCCTATCTCACACTCAATAACCCTATCCAGCAGCACCTCCTTCCTCACCCACCCTCTCCTCCTCCGTTTTTCCAAGCCTTCTAGCGTGCCCTTTAGCTCCTCACGGCTCTGCTCCGCCCATGCAAGTTTCCGCTTCAACAGGCGCATCAGCTCGCGCGGCGGCCGCGTGTCCTCATCGTGATCGAACCCGTCCTCGGGCTGGTACCAGGGATTCTTCTCGGCGCCGGCAGACCCGTCTTCACTCGCGCTGGGGCTTGTTGACGGCACACGCGCAGCATCCCGGCGGTGGTTGTGAGGGTGGTTCGGGTGGGACTTGGGGATTGGGTCGCTGGGTCGCAAGGCCTCCGTCTCGTGCACAGTGCGCATGTGCTTGGCGAGGGCGTCGGAGCGCGTGAAGCTGCGGTCACATTCTGCTCGTTCTGTTAGTACGCGGCCAGCAGATAGCTACCGGGTGGCGGGGACTTACCGGGCAAGGTGCAGTAGAACGGCTTCTCTTTCGTGTGGCTCCGCATATGTGCTCTCAGCGCATACCCGCTCGCGTGCGCCATGCCCTTTCGCGTGCAGTCGTCCCACTCGCAGGCATACTTTGCGCGGCGACTGCCAATGTGCAAGTCGTGGATGTGCTTAACGAGGGCGTCCATGTCGCCGAGGTCGCAGTCACAGCCGTCCCATCTGCACACTGTGACCTGTTCGGCGTGGTCAAAGTCGTCGTCACTGGGCGAGCCGGGCACGGAGCCGGAGGTGTCGGATGAGATGTCAGAGAGGTGTGTGAGGTGCGAGGGCGAGTGGTGGTGCGCGAGGAGTGGGGAGTGGTCCGAGAAACCAGCGGATGGATGACGTTTGTTGGGTGTGTGTGGAGGGTGAGAGGCGGCCGTGGGGGAGTCCATGGGTGAGGAGAGGGCAGAGAAGGAGCTGGAGGAGGCGGGAGAGGACATTGTGGGTGCTGTGCTGGGACGCGTTGGGAGAGGGTGTCTCGGGGTGTGAGTAGAGGGGTGTGATGCCAATTGAGGTGGGTGTTCTGTGTTCTGTGTGTGGGTTGTGGTGATGTCGTGGTGTCGAGATGTGTTCTGAGTGTGGTGTTGTGTTATATCTCTTTCTGGCTGTCGTCCTTTGTGTCTAGGGCAGGATTGGTGTGCATGAGGCGAATCCGAATCCGTGCTTGAGGTCACAACCCAACCACCAAGGTGTCTTTATAAATAATCAAAAGACTCCCCAAGCCTCCTCAACAGCCCTCTAGGCCCATATAAACCCGTAATTCAAGCTCCTCCAGCCTTGAATTCCCAGTCCCGTGCATATACTCTCCACCCCCCCTGATCGACGCTTCCCGTACAAGCTTTTAAGCGAGCCTTGGCTGCAGATACCCGGAAACCTCAAATTCAACGTCGTCGAGACCTCTAACCTGGTGTCCTCGGTGGCCAACCAGGTGTCCTCGGTGGCCAACCAGATGATCAATCAGGTGCGTTTTGCTGGATTTTCAACTCGACTACAGCCAGAAATTAGCACGACTCTCAATCTTTTATTGGTCTAGCCTTGGCTAAGATTATCTACCTTGAACTTAAAGAGATGGGAAATGACCAAGTGAGCAGCAACCTCATCTGAACTGCCTGGGATGATGCTGATTGTCCGTTTTGGAACCAGAAACTCAGTATATATTTTAGGTCCTACGCGAATCGTAGGAAAAAGGCTCAAGCTCAGTTTATGTAAGTAAGATTAGCTTAAATGATTATTATGATGATGAAAAGAAGAAAAGGAAGCAGGACACAAAAGAAATAGCCGAAGACAAAACCTACCTAATGAGGACACAGTGCTCGCTGTGATCTGTCCTTTAACACAGTGTAACTAAGCCAGTCAACTGGCCTGCGCCGCATCGTCCATAGCAGTGTCAATATTTAGAGATCCGAAGTCGAACCCAGCAGCTTGGTTAGAACCGATACATATCCTAGGTGCCGAGGATTTCGATTACGGTTGGTTTTTTAACGTCGCCATATTAATACACCTACTTGTGGGGTTATCGGCTCTGAAGTTCTAGTTATGAATAAGATAGTACTCGGGCTCAAGCTTTTGGGCTGCGGGGGGTTGAATCCAAGTTATACGAAAAAGACGTCGCTGTGACATGTAGTCACAGGTTATCACTCGATCGACCATTCAAACTGTTCTGCCTAGGCCTAGCGTGTTATAGCAGCCAACCAATCATACCAAAGGAGAAAAAAACTGCAAATTTTCTTTATTGCCAACCCCCGCCATTGTACATTATAGTCAAGACCCCCAACAAGTTTGGCCTTAGAACTCCATAAGAGCCTAAAGCTACACCAAAGTAAGCCCACCTTCGATTCGCCTTAAGGTTCGGTGTGCAAACAACCACGAGTATATATATACCATGGACATTTCTCGAGAAGAATCGCCCCGAGAAGTATCGTCCCGGGAAGCATCGCGAATTGCGCCTTCATCAGCGGCCTCGGGTTTTTCCGGAAGCGTATTGGAAACTCTCGTAGAGATGGAGGGACGTAGGCCTTTTCGATGGAGCGATAATTGCTACAGGCAGCTCACTCTCTCTATGACCTCGACCCAAAGACCATACTCGCAAATTACTCTACGGGCCTGCAGAGAAGAAGACGTACCGAAGGTTACCTTGTTTCTCCATGTAAAGACAGAATATACGAATATACGACCAGCCCGGACGTGCATGTAAGAGTGGAGACAAATGGTATAGAGCGTTGATGTAGGCATGAAGGAGCTAAGGGGAAAGGGAGATCGAAAGGGGATTATAGGGGTGTTGTTACTGACTAAGCACTCTTGCTTGTCTGTTACAATTTTCTGGGTGGTGGGTGGCAGGTGGTGGGTTAGTGGGTATGTGTCTTTTTCTTCTTTCTTGCCCGTTGAAAAGTGGGGGCTCCCTATCCACTGCAATGGCGGGGCTGGAACTAGTACGTCGCTCGATACACCTCAAGCCCCAAAACACCTCCAGGCACCACTACCACCAGCTCAGCGAAGATTTGACAGTTACTTACCACTTTCCCCTACACTACCATGACTCTGCAATCTGCAATCTACAATCCCTGCAACCTCTGCAATCTGCAATCGGTCATGACGCCTACGTCATCATTTGTGCCTTGTTTTTTTCCCTTTTTTTTTTTTTTTTTTTTTTTTTGGTAGCGGGGTGTACGTTGAGCTGGTTCGAGTGTGTTTTGGCGGCGGAAAATTTAGGCCTCAACACAGTCTGATACGCGATCTTGGTCGCAGGCGAATCATATGCTGATGTCCTGAAGTAAAGATGGAAGGAGAATGCTCGTCCTCTAGTCCAGATAGAGCATAGTTGTAAACATTTACTCATATGGTCATGGAAATAGCCCTGCTCTTCTTTCTACTCGTTTGGTTTGTTTCAAGGCCTCGGCATCGGATTTCTCTCTATCGTGACCGTTCTGGGGCTTGGTGAAGGTGGTAATGGTATCTAGATATGCAGGCACCGGTTAAATAGCTCGAGAGATATCCAGAGTACGCTCGTTCCAAGCCCTCATATCGAGAGCAGCGTACTTCGTGCAGAGGAGCTCAACACCGGTCTGGGCACGAGGTTGATTGCGATCATGACTTGAGGCGGGTTCGATACGTACCTTTAGATAGTATCAGGGTACATAGCCATATTTAAGGCAGTTAGTACAACTTCCACTATCCATATTCTTCATTCCTTTCGAATTTCGTAGACGTAAGTTCAAGTGTAGGTTCAGACATGAAACATCACTCGATTAAATACACGCTAAGGTGTAAAATACTATGGTGAGTCCTCTCCCACAAAGATGATGGTTGGGAGTTTGGAGTAACCCCGTTTTGTCTCTTTGGGCTCTGTTTGATCTGGGCTTTCGGAATCTCCTTAAGCTGCCTTACCGCCAACAACAACAATCGTCTTGCAAACGATTAGTGAGTTATCAATCATCAACTACCAACAGCAAGAGACACCTGCGAGGTGGAACGCATTCAGAGTTTCAACTCCTCCAGATAGCTATGCCATCAGAGTGCTGCACAACTTGCGTTGGATCAACTTGGAGGGTGGGGCACGCTCATGACACTCGTGTGGGCTGTAGGCTGATCGTTGGGCATCCAGAGCGTGAGATACCTGTACCTTAGATCATGATTTCACATCCTTCCTGCTTGTCAGATCATCTGAAAGATACATATGTTATGGTTAACGTTGGTCTCTTGTGGCTGCTAGTAGGATCTGCCCATTGGTCTGATCGAAAATTTCTGGGTGTGTAATACATTCAATGCTGCGGCCATTTTCTCAAATGAGGTTGATAAATCGGTGTATAAGGTGGGGAGGGAGGTACGTAAGGCAGGTACGTGGAGGTAAATGGGCAACGCAGAAGGATTAAGCAGCTGAATTAGAAGGAGGATATTTCTTCTAAGAGGTAAACGTTACGACAGACCTCGACCGCTTCCCTGTTTTTCTTCTCCGGATATTGAGATATTTGAGCCCCTAAGGTGTACTGCCTATGAGGTCATTTCATCTTGGTTCGTGTGTTGCAACATCTAAAGCCCATTTAGCTTCTGGTAGAAATGTCAGTGGATGAAATGACATATAGATAGGTACATAGGCTCGAGCTGTCCATGTTTTTCAGGAAGCTCTGCTCCTTATTCTGTGGTGCTTGAAAAGAATTGCTAGATAAATATATTTGCCATCTCGTGACTCTGTGTAGTTGATTGAGTCAGCGAATTTCAATGTAGTGTTGGTTTCGAGACATCAAGAGCCCCCAAGAGCCCCCTGCTAAATTGTTAGCCATCGTTCTTGTCCATCCATCAGCCCTTAACCATCGCCCAATCCCATGCTCACTTACTCTTAGCAATCCTCCACCCCCCCTCCATCCCTTGCTTCTTCCCTCTTCTCTTCCTTCCTTCTTTTTCCCCACCATCAATGATTACAGGTCTATTGACCACACACCGACACCGCTCCATTGCATTCCTTACAACATTTGACCCCCATCGGGGAATACTTTCGTTTGAGCTTTTTCTTTTGTCAGAAAAAAGAATTCCAATTCTCTGTAAACGGCGAGACTTTCTCCGTGATACCTTTCCAGCTTCACACGTAGGTGTAGTTTCCATCACATTGGTCGTGAGATTCTTTGAAAGTGATGATCCAGTTGCTGACATCATTTCTCTGTAGAGCGAATGGAGAGTTCCTCATCAAATCGGGCCAGATGGTCTGGCAATTCCGACAATAATGAGGGCCAGCCATGGTCCTGTAAGTGTGCCGCTTTCCCCATTGTGATGCTGTCAACTAACACTGATCTGTAGTCGGAAAAGCGATTACCTGTGGCTCTGTTGCTGGCTTTTCTGGGGGAGGCATGCCGGGGACTTATCCAGTCTCACCTGACACCAGTGGCAGCCCCCGCAACTTTGATCCTGACGATCCAGGAGAGGGGATATGGCATAACCACAGTACCAGAAACAGTCTTCGAGGTACTACGGTAAGTCGTGGCTCAGCGTCTGCTGCCTCTGATTTTGTTGTCGACATCGAAAATCTTAAGGTCGATGCTGGCAACAATGAGGCGGACGCTTTCCACACAGCAAGAACAGGCTGTAGGTTTACTGATTTCTCTCGGCATCTCAACTTTTTGGGAAAATGACTAACCCGTTCCTGACATTTAATAGTTGTCCAACAGCCATCGCCGGTGTACCGTAATGGTATTGCCAACATTTATTCCCCTACTCCTACACGCCCATACCACCATTCAAATACGTGGTCGATGTCTGACTTTGGTCAGGCATCTGAAGGTAATAACAACACCTAGCCTCTGATTCCTGCTAACATGAATTGTTCTGAGCTAATATATAATCCCAGATCTTTCCCGTCACTCTGGGAACTTCTCGCATTCGAGAAGCAATGCTTTATCTGGAGGTGAGACAAACTCTCTCTGTTCGACTTTTGGTATATAAAGCTAACGTTGGTAAAAAAAAAAACAGTCTTTACTCTCGATGTTCCTCAGCAGGCTCTGACAAGAGTTAATTCCGCGGTTTCCCCTCATCGGGTTGCTACACCTGATATCGGTATCCAACTCGCTGCTTATGCAATTGCGGACAGTAAGTGAGCTATCTTACATAACAGAGAATTTTTACTAACGGCTAGTAGAGAATCCAGGTATCCTGGGTTACATTTTCGGAGCAGTCAAAGGATTCTTTTCTTGCATTGGCTCCAGACGCAAAGATCCTAGGCCCGAAGAGCCACATGATGACCAGACTCATGGCATACCTGTAGCTGAATTTATCATCACTATCGATGAAGCGAGTGTCCGGGAGGGAACAATATCATCCGAAACTGAACTTGACTATGCAACTGAAATGGAGCGGATCAGGAATGTTCAGATAGGGCTTGCTGATGAAGAGTAAGTTACCTATCTCCTGTGCACTTTATTATTGGTCCACAATTTCTAACTAGGACTTTCTAGGGAGCGTCCACAATCGGTTCTCCTTCCACCATGCCCCGTATATGTTGCGGATCAATTCACACGTCCCAGATCGAAATCATTTACCCTTCCACCATCCCTCCTATATGATGCAGAGGAACTACGTCCCAGATCGAGGCCGATCAGTTATCCAGGCGCCCCAGACGGCGAAGGTATAGCTACTGTCAAACAAGAAATTACGACAGAGATGTACGAAGAACTTGATACAATCAACGATATCCACACTGGGGAGGATTATTCTTCCAGTGACATCGACGATTACCATAAAGTGCTCAGGAATGGCATTGGGACTGAAGTGGGAGATTACCACGAAACCCTCAGAGACATTGAAGCAGCCCAAATCAGGCCAGGTGATTATGAAGTATATACTCCGATCCCTAAGAAACTAAAGAGAAAAGGCAAGGAACGTCTGAGTGATTTCCTTTCCCCAATTGTGGATGTAGCTTCATCGGTATGTATAACCCCAAGTCTTAACAGAATGAGCGCAAACCTTTACTGATACTGGAAACTCTTTGACCACATAGGTCAGGACATTTCTGTCTTCAACAATATCCATCGGGCATGAAGAGGACGACATTGGCTTTACTTCCTCCGAGGATGCATCCCCTTCGACACCTACACTCATCAGAGCAGCTATCGGTACCAGCATTACCAACGCGCGTAGAGTCGCCGGTCTTTCCCGAAATGGGGACGGTATCGCTGCAGATGCAGACACTCCCGAGGACAACCCTAAGCTCTTAGCACTCTTTGGGGGAAAGAAGCCCCCCGAAGAGTATCTCCGCCCTCGAACTCCCCCATATAACAAGTCCAACTACGAATTCCTGACGAAAGAGATTCGCTTCCGGAGGAGACAACTCGACTTGAAGGAAGAAACCGAGGAAAGCCTTTATCTCTTCAACAATAACATGTGGGGAGACGAGAGCTTGGGATACGAAATCTACGAGTCCGAAGAAACCACAGGAGAAATCGTTGAAGAGGACAGTCTCCACGATGGCTCTGAAGAGGAACAGCTTGAAGAAGAGGAAATCCCGGAAGAGGGGGTTTATGAAGAGCACTCTACTTGTGGTAATTCTGAAATAAAGGATTCTGACAGCGTCATCGTAGGAGATAGTATGGCCCAAGGGGATTCTGACAGCATCGCTGAAGAAGAGAATGTGCACAAAGCGGATGTAGACGAATACGTCAAAATGCATCGTGATCAACAAGACTTTAAGCAAGCTTTCACTACGATGTTTGAAGACAAAATGATTTTCGACGCAGCTCATCCCGACAGCGGCACTCCAGACGGCTCCGAGTGTGGCCCATCTGACTGCAGCAACGATTTCGATGGCTGCAAGGTGCTAGGATCACCTACCTCTGGTAGCGAGAACAACTTCGATCTCTCTCTAGTAGAAACCCCAGTGGTCGAACGTCGCATCAGTGCCATAAGCACAATCAGCACCACTAGTGTTGTCTCGAAGACAGAGGCAATCAAAGTTCTGCGCCAAGAATTGCATCACCTTGGTATCGGAAGCTCAGGAGATCCCCTTATAGACAAGTTGACATGGACTTCTCGTCACACAAGCATTGTGAGCGTTGTCGAGAGGCCAGATTCGTTCCGGAACCTGGTCGACCTCTTTGGAGATGAGGAAGAGTCCGAAGATGACTCAAAGAAAACCAAACTCACTTTTGGTGGAAACAAACCCTTGTTTCGTAGGGATCAAAGAGCAAATGCAACAAATGACTATGTACCGTCTGAGATGGGACACGTTTCTTACTATCTCCGGGCCGCCGAAGTCAAGCAGGGCATCGTCAGCGAGACGAGTGCCAATTTTCGCAAAGAAAGTGCTGCTCGGATGTCATATGCTCACCTGTACGATGCAGAAGACCTAGTTGCTTCTGACGAAGATGAGCAAGAACATGAGAAGGAGTATAAACGATACTACGAGGAGCAACATCGGCTCCAGTGCGGTTAGCAGCTTCGAGGTCCGTCAAACTCAAGAGTGGGCGCTTAATCTCTGGTATCTGGATACAAGATGATTATGCCCTTCACTCCTTTTCTTTGCTTTTTGTTTGTTTCCGGGCGGATTGGATCAATGGGATGACTTATGGGTGCCAACCTTCAGGGCAGGACGAGTCAATAGAGGATGGTGATGGTACTGGTGTTTTGGTGGAATAACTTACAGGTGCCAATCTTTAGGGCAGAATGAGTTAATGAGATATGGTAACGGTGGTGGCATTTTGGAGGAAGTAATAATGTTGGTTTTTCTCCGGAATCCCCTTAGGGCCCATGGCCTCGTCGAGGTGTTAGTTAGTGAAATACTTGAAGCTTTTTCTCTCTTGACGGTTTTTGTGTTTCATTTATACTGCGTGATTGTTCTATGCTCGAGTCTATAGTAGCTAGGTGCTTTGGGGTGTCTGTACTCCATAACTATGGTCTTTTCTCTCCTTTGGGTGGTCGTCATTATCAGCTCCGGAGGGGTCTGGGGGATTTGGGTTTTTGACTATTTCATGTTTAACGAGTGTATGACGACAGTATAAATAATGGGAATTGTAATAACATCGCCCATTATTTGGGTTGATGCACAATATAAGGTAGTGACATACGTAATTGGATATTTGTAAACGACACAGTAACCATATGTATTACCAAGAAGACACGATTGTTTTAGACTTGTAAAAGTAAGAGGTAAACAATCTTAACCCAGGAAGCTTCGCAATAAGGAAGCTCCCGGCCTCGAATTCTTTGCTCTCACGTTTGAAGTGAATATATTCATCTTTTTTCTCCGCTGGCTTATGTTATTCAATGCAGATGTTCAATGATCTTTTTTTCATTTCATTCTCTCGTCCCCATGATTATATACTCTTGAAGCGCACTTTATGAATAAACTGATAGTCAGCTGTTGCTGTACTAAGAATCACAATAAATAAATAAATACGAATAGAAATAGAATCATGTAAAATCACTCGCATTGGTTGCTAAGTGAATGACACTTCGTGATTGACATCACTTTTACTACGGCCCTTGAAGGTCTTGGTGATCAATAACCCTTTTGTGTTTAATTAAACCCCGGTTTTCCGTAGTACAGCATAGTTTCCTAGGGTAAGTCTCATAAGCTACTACTAGATATCCATAGCCTACAAAATAGCCAAAGATCAGCAGGAACAGCCCCCCCCGCCTCGGACTACATGATGCGAGACACCGGCGTAGCTACAGGAAGAACCATAACCCCTCTATTCTATCTATCTCCATTACACTTAATTCCATCTCCGATGGGGGCAGTTATCGATCGCACCTCCCTTATTTGTGTATATATCGAGGCCCTCGTATTCTTCTCTCGCTTTTTTTTTTCCTGGCCTCGCCTTATCCCCGTGTTAATTAAAAAGCTAAACGTTTCGGATATAGTTTTTGTTTCACAAGCCTTTCTCTATGTATTGCCTAGCCCAGATCTCTCTCTCAAGAACAGGATGTTCATATGTAGACTGATTATTATGTAGACTGCTCACAGTACTGTATGTATCTGTGTGGGGATGTATGTATGCCTCTCGCTAACAAATAATCCGGCAACAATCCCATATCCGATCTGTAGCCGGGGGGCGGGGCGGGGCAGACAGCTGTTATATCAATGTTGAATTGCTCGCTCTGCTTAAAACCACACGAACCTTTTTTCCCTTCTTGTTTGTTTGTTGTTGTTGTTGGGATTCTTCCGGTTAAAAAAAAAAAAAAAAAGGCGTTCCCTCTGTGATTGCCCCCTTGACACCAACCCCACCAACAAGAAAAACACGACCCCCCCTTCCCTCCCCACCACCGCGCCCCGTTTTTTGTTTACCCCGCCCCAAAAAGCGGACCGACGGATAATCATGGGCCCCTCGCCGGAACAGACGATCAAGAAGGTCCTCCTCATTGGCGAAATCGACCAGTAAGCCTCACCCACTGCTCTGTACCCTGCCCCTGCGCAGATTGTCTTGGCTGATGGCAGCTGTTTAATGTGTTTTTTGTGGCAGCGCTCACGACGCATGGAAGTCGCTCGAGGAGGACGGCGTCGTGGAAACAGTCCACGTCAAGGCGACCAACAGGGCCGACTTCCTCCAGGAGGCCGGCACAGGCGCGTTCGAGGGCATCTACGCTGTCTACCGAAACCTGCCCTCGGTCTCAATCACTGGCCGGATCGACGCTGAGCTTCTCGAAGCTCTCCCGCGATCTCTCAAGTTTATTTGCCATGTTGGTAAGACACCCAGCCCACCCACCCATCCACCCAGCCCACCCCTCCATCCATCCACACACAGGCCAATGATCGTTTTTTTCAGAGGGCGGGCGGGCCCCTTGAGTATGTTCCTCTTCTAATCAACCCCCCAGGAGCTGGGTACGACCAGATCGACGTACACGCCTGCAGCGCGCGCTCCATCCGCGTGTCCAACGTGCCAACGGCGCCCGATGACGCCACGGCCGACGTAAACATGTTCCTGATTATCGGTGCGCTGCGCGGCTTCAACTGCGGGATGGCCGGGCTCCGGCGCGGCGAGTGGAAGGGCGGCGCCCCACTCGGCCACGATCCCCAGGGCAAGATCCTCGGCATCTTGGGCATGGGCGGCATCGGGCGCACGCTGAAGCGCAGGACGGATGCGTTCGGGATGAAGGTGATTTATCATAATCGCACGAGGCTGCCGGAGAGCCTGGAGGCCGGGGCGGCGTATGTGGGCTTTGACGAGCTGCTGGCGAGGGCGGATGTCATCAGCTTGAATTTGCCGTTGAATGTGAGTTGTTTTTTCTTTTTTCTTCTTTCTTTTCTTTTCTTTCTTCCCTTGCTTTCTTTCGCCTTTTTCGCTTTTGGATGCTCGGGATTGGATTGGCTTGTGATTGTGGTTGTGGATTATGCGATTATGCGATTATGCAGCGGCAGGTAGGAAAAAAAAAAAAAAAAAAAAGGCTGCATATTATGAGATACGAGCAAGGTCTCATTTTTCTCTCTTTTTTTTTCCAGCTTCTATGCAGCTTCGGGCTTCCATGCATGCACCATAAGAGGAGAACATTCCAAGATCATACATAGCTGACGAAGCACACAGAAACATACCCACCACATCATCTCCACGGCCGAGTTTGCAAAGATGAAAGATGGTGTCGTGATAGTCAACACTGCCCGGGGCGCCGTCATTGACGAGGACGCGCTCGTCAAGGCCCTCGACTCGGGCAAAGTCCGCAGCGTCGGGCTCGATGTCTTTGAGAACGAGCCAGAGGTTCATCCGGGTCTCATGGCGAATGATCACGTCATGCTCGTCCCGCACATGGGAACGCATACATACGAGGTGTGTATACATGTATTCAAGCTGTTCCTTTCCTTTCCTAGATCCTGTTTTTTTTTTGTCCCCCTTTTCTTTGCTTTCTTTCTTTGAGATTCTTGAGGAATGGTCCCTGACGACGTGACGGACGAATGGGAAATAGACTCAGACAGCTATGGAATGCTGGTGTATCGACAATCTGCGGATGGCTTGCACTATAGGCGAGCTCAAGTCGCTTGTACCTGAGCAGGCAGGGCTTTCTTTTACCTGAGGTCTGACAGCCTACCGCCTGGCTGGCCAGCTACATACACAGCTTAGTAGAGAGCTAGCTAGCTAGCTAGCGAACACAGACAGCTCCTCTTCCCTGTCCCACATGAAACTCCCCGAGCCTTACCGCAGTAGAAGTTTAAATGTCTCCTTCTTCTTCTTTTTCTTCTTCTCTTTCTTGCCTTGCCCAGATACAGTAACCAGTAGCTATGAACATGTATGTCCTTCAGATACCCGCTTAGATAATCCATAGAAGTAGAGAGAGAACGAACGGGCCAATACATGTACATGGATGTAGACCAAGTACCAACAGAAGAATGCTAGACCATACATCCATCTTCTGCCCTCACCCCCCCCCCCCCCCCCCGCGATAGTAATAGTAAATATACATGTATGTTGCACCCAAATGTAGAGAGTACCTACATTCTGATTCAGTGCACTGCCCTTCCTCGGTGCCCGTCCGTGTACCTACATACATACATACATACATACATCCTCAAGGAAGGAAGAAGCAAAACAGAATTATTACCCGAGACATCGATGGCCAGCTAGAATTGGTTGGTTGGCCAGCTACCTAGCCAGCCAGCCAGCCAGCCAGCCAGGACACGAACTACCCCCACCGAATGGTTCCGACTACAGTGCATGGCATCGATATCTCTACGACTCGAAAGTACCTCTCCACATACTCTGAGTACATACAGAGCGAGAGGTAGATTTATTGTAGAAACAGGGGTCTAGAAACAGGGTTTCTATGGCCAATAGGACTCCTCCCATACTTCTACAATAATCTTACCTGCTCTACTCTACATACCTGCCCTATGGAGTAGACAGACAGACAGTCAGGCTGACTGACACTAAATAACCCACCGACGAGCTAACGACAGCATCGACTTCCCTGTCGACGACGATGGCGGCGGCGGTATGTATGTGGTGCTGCTCCGAGCGGGAGCGGGATTCTCGTGCTGCCGAAGGAAAGACATCGTCGGTCGTCGGTCAGTGGTGGGGTGTCTGTCATGTATTACTAGGTATGTAGGTAGTGGAGTCAGTCCAAGGAACGCAGTGGAGTGGAGCAAAGTGGAGCAAGGTGGAGTCGAGTCCCCCCACCGCTAGCTAGCAAAGGTAGCTGTGAGGAAACGGTAGAGCCAAAAGAACAGTGCGAAGAAGCCGCCGAACAAGATGACCCCCTAGTTATCCTCGTAGAGTAGAAGTTACAAGTAGAAATACACCATCAGATCTGGGTATTAACTGTGTACCCTGGACGCGATGTGAAATAAAGCCCTCCTTATTATTTTACTTTACGTTTAATTCACACCTTGTCAATGTCTCCTGTATCTGTCATGTCAGTCAGCCATCCATCCATCAAGTAAATACAGTGTTCTACTATGATATGATACATCCACATCCACATCCACATCCCAAGTCAAAGTCAACTGTGCCTTATCCCTCCGGACCATCTCCCCCATAGCCTCAATTTATCCCTAAGCTAAGCGAGATAGATGTCCGTCCCCCCTTCCATTCTTACTCATCAACTGTCCGCCCCCCAAAACAAAACAAAAAAAAAAAAAAGAAGACCCTGACCAAAAACAAAATCCCCATTCCTTTTTCATCCGGTCTTTTAGCCCCCCCTCTACATCTCGTCTCCACCGCCCTCCCCTACCCACCGACCCTCGCCAAAAAAGAACTCAGTGCTCTCGTTAGTGTACCGGAATGGCGAACGTCCCGGCGTGCCGTAATTTGCATTTTCTTTTTTTCCCTTTTTTTTTTTGTGGGAGTGCGAGTGTGAGTGTGTGAGATAGAGTACCTCACCCATCTACCCTACCTACATGTACCCACCTAGGTACTTTACACTACTTGCTTGCTTGTATGTATGTATGTAAACGAAGGTGAGAGGCAGGGACAGACATGGGTGTGTGCTCTGATCGATCGGAGACGAGTTTCCATCCCTCTTGTCTTGTCTTGTCTTGCTTGTCCTTGAGTTGGACCGTGCTGGGGCCGGTGGAGGGTGGAGGTGGAGGGGGGGATGGGGGTTCATACTCTAGAGTATTAACATAACCGAGTACCACCACCCAGCTGTGGAAATGATGGGCGTTCGAGAAATCACATCACAGGACCCTCCCGGGTTCCTGGGAAGAGGATGGAGGGGAGGAGCTCGCCTATTTGTGCAGGGTGCCTTCTAGACTGACTGACGGACCGGCGAAAGAAGAAGGGGAGGTAGGAGGGACAGAGACCAGAGACCAGACACAGAGGGGGATGGAAGGGTGTGTGTGTGTGTGTGTATGTTGCGCATCGGACAGATGATATGATAGTAGGGCTGTTATGGGGAGGATGACGATCTACTAAGTTACTTGGTAAATATTAAGGCCTACCTACGGTAATAGCTACCTAGCTAGAGCTATGGTGACATATGGGGAGAGGAGATATCTAGAGGAGCTCCGGCTCGTCTCCATATGATAGCTATGTGTTTAGCTAGCTACATGATGAATAGCTGGGCACCATCACCGCTATGCACTCTATCGCGGGTTGCTTGATTTCTGGAGCGAGAGGTTGGCCATGTATGTAGGCAGGAGGATATTTAGAGTAAATACTAGAACGCAGGGGTGCTGAGAGGTCGTAAAAATAAACACGCCCACCCCATACACACCATACGCAAGCACACACACATACACACCGTGCATAACTGATATTCGTACAAAAACAACAGCATCACATATGAGAAGTCAAGCTGGGCTGCTGCTAGCTAGGGGTGCCATGGACCATGGGAGAACACGAAACGGCGAGTAAGTAGGCAGAACCATTGACGATGATGTAATTAGAATTCTTTTTTGTTCCCCCGCCATAAGAAAAAAAACCCCGCATTCTCCACGAGTTGCAAAAAGCAAAAGGACGAGAGATCAGGGAGGTAGGTAGAGCGAGAAACACGGTCACCGTGCATACATATAGTAGTAGCTACGAGATACAGAACCAAGAAAAAAACGAGTTTCCCTAAAAAACTAGACCCCGGCCAGAACATGTAGGTACATATGGGGTTTTTTTTCTATTTCTTTTCCCCGCCTTCGTTTGACACCGCTCTCTCCCTCCTAGGCCTCCCCTCCCCCGTCTCTCTCCACCCTTGGTAACTTTTGCTATATGGTGTGACTCGACAATTCGTGGGTCTTCCCAAATGATATATAGAATAAAACATGATGTAAGAAAAGTAAAAAGCGAGTGAAGAAATGAAAAGTCCATATAAATCCAAAAAGAAAAATGATGTTCCCCGTCTATAGATAAAACCATCCCACCAAACAAAAAAAAAAGAGATCAACAAAAATAGGAATAAACACAGTAAGCTATGATGCATGCAATAAACAAGACGGAACCCATGGAGGGCAGGGCAAATGCCCCAAAATAAAAACAAGAAAGATACTCCTCTGCTCACAAGACTAAAATAGAGTACTTAAAGGATTTTTTGTAAAAAAAAAAAAAAAACCACAAAAACCGACACGCCGGAAAAACCGTCTTAACAAAAATCAAGGGAGGAAAAAAGGAAATAAAAACCGAGTCCCACTCCCAAAAGTTTAACGACTAAAAAAAACAAATAAAAGTTTAAGCGAATGAACCCCAAATTGCACAACCACTGATGATATACACTTGTATACCAAAGCAGAGCACGATGGTAATAATAACAATGAAACGAAAGTAAGTAAGAAATGGTATAAAGGAATCAAAACGCAGACCACCCAACTCATATATGTCCCTTACCCAGAAAGAAAACAATGCTGGCAGAATTCATCCACCGGGGTCTTTTTTATAAAAAAATTTGTTGCGTCGCATTCGTGAAACGGTCGTATCGTGATATGATGCAATGAATTTAGACCTTTTGTTGAACCCATCCGTCTAATCGACCCCATAAGGAAAATGTCGTATATCAAAAAAAAGCAAATTCGTTTGCGTCAAACTCGTACTTGGTCTTTAACAATAAAGAGGTGTCTCCCTCATAGCATCCATCCACAAAAGCTCGGCACGAGCTGCAATCCGGCGATTGAGGGAAGCCTCTGTCTGGGTGTTGATGACATTCTCAATGTACATCTTCAGCTTATTCGAAAAGATCCTCGAATCCTCAGATACAGACGAGGGCTCGGTTGGATCATAACGACGGCTTTTGACGTGTCTATATTCAGCAATCTTATAGAGAAGTTTTCTGTTCTCTTTGTTGTCGATATATTGACCACAGTCATCGAGGATAGCATCAATCTCCTTGATGCTCTCTGCATCATGTCCTTTTGCAGCAGCAATTTTCCCTAGTAACTTCCAAAACATTGCCGCATTTGATTCACTATCATCGGAAGGTATAGATGCCTTCTCAAGATGTTGACCAGTCAATAGAGCTTCCACAGTATGGATCCTTCGCAAAGTCTCCGTGCCTTCGTCGTCCCTAGAACTATTATCCTCCTCATCCTCATCCTGGGTATTGTCGGAAGCCGGAATACTAGTTCCATAACACATCTTCACAGCTGCCCACAGAAGACTAGAATGCTTCCCTTTCCTTCTAATGGACGGATCCTCCTCTTCGACAAACAAACCACCTCGAGCCTTCAAGCGTTCGAAAATCTCGGCCATAACCTCCAATAGTGGAACATCTCCCAATATCCTAGATAAGCCGCTATTCCCAAACCATGCAGTTTCCAGAAAATTATCCAATCCAGGTGCAAAGCGTGTCCTATAAAGTTGCTTCATGCCCTCAACAGATGTCGATGGTGAAGCATAGGATGCAATTTCACTTGAAGGCGGTGTGAGAGGCTGTGATGATGAAGATACTGACAACAAGTCATCGATCTTGATCCTTTTCGCTGCACTTCCACCTTGGTTATCTTGCAACTTGGACAGCCCAGGTGTTGCTGACCTTGGAATAGGTGTAACTCTAGTTGTGTCAGATGCTGAAGAAAACGGGCTTCCCCTATCTAGCCTCCTCTTCAATTCCGGCCTGTATGTTTGGGGTTCCAATATAGTTGCAGCAATGGGAATCTGAGGGTTAACAGACGCGTCAAGACTCGGGTCGATTGATTGGTAATCATATGTCTCGCAGGAAGATGCCGGTGAACTTCCTGTGGAAATGGTCTGAGAGTAACTTTGGCCACCTACTGATGAATCCGCAAGGTAAGACATTGAATACGCTGAAGCGATCAAACGGGGGTGTGAACCTGTGCTGGGAGCAGGCTGAATAGCTGCAGGTCCCGGTTGGGCTTTAAAGATGGGATCATAACCCAAGCAGTCTCTCTTGCTTTTTGCACAATTCTTGCACGATGGGTGTGCTTCGTCACACTGTGGGGCAATATCAAAAAGTTCACGTAAGTAAAATGTTTCATTGAGAACTCTTTGGTAGTTATGGATAGGGTAACTGCTTGTTCCGGAGTTTACCCGAGCAAATATTGAATAATATAATAATAATATGCGAAAATTGATTTGTGCGTACCTTTATTCTCCGTTTCCTGCAAGTCAAACAACCTGTTTTCGTCCTCCTTTTAATTTCCTTCTTATGTCTCCCACCGGACATGATACGCTCGTTATTTCCTACGGCTGGTAGCGGATACCTAAGCGTTTGATTTATAGGAGAAGAGGTGATATGGCTAGGATGAGCCATAGCTGGAGGAGGAAGTCCACCATGTTGAGGGAGTTGAGCATAGTACGAAATGGGTTGAGGAGACGGCTGTGGTAGCGGCGAGCCCATCAAAGGAGAGCCAAGTGACGCCTGTGACGGGGGCGGTGGAAGAGGCTGAGAAGTAGCTGGTGGGTTCAGACGTATTGGGGGAAGGTTGAACGAAGGCAATTGTTGAGGTTGAGAGTAAGGAGATCCCCTTGGTCCTGGTTGTGGGGGGTATTGGTATGCGGACATTGAAGGCGAAGGGTAAGAGGAAGGCGATGGATACGATGTAGGTGTTGATCGAGCGGGAGCGGGAGCCTGCTGCTGTTGCTGCTGCTGTTGCTGCATAGGGAGGGGAGCATACCGATACGGAGGTGAGGGTGTCGAGTGCGCTGAGGGGTGTTCTAGATGTTGGAGTAGTGGAGAACCACGAACGCTGCTCTGAGAATGAGAGTATGAGTGAGAGTGGTGGTGGGTGGGTCTATGGGCGTTGTGGGAATCGTATTCCACCATGATCATCTCGAATATCTAAAGAACCGATTCGTGTATCCTTTGTTAATAGATGGTGTTCTTTGGACCAAGATCAAGCTGTAGCTCCGAGTATACAAACAGAAGACGGGTAGTGTGTAGATGACAAGAAAGATGAATGGGGAGTGTGATGAAGTATATGTAAATGCCAGGGCTGAATGGCAGATCTAATGACAGGGGTGTGGGGGGGGAGGCGAGACTTTTTATGATGGCGAGATGGTGTGGGTGTGGTGGATGGATGGTGGGTGGGCTTGGGTTGGGTTAAAAGAAGGCTAGATGGATGGATGCAGAGAGGGCAGTGTGGGGAGACTATCTGTAGTGTCAACCCAGTTGTTAGCGAACGGCAATCCGGCGGGCCAAGCGGTTGGTGGCGGTCACGTTACGTTACGATGGTTTTTTCTAAGGAGTGGTTGTGCACACAGAAGAAAAGTTCGGATGGAGTAAAAGGAAGAAAAGAAGATGGTGAAGAAGATGAAGAAGGAGGAGAGGAGGGGGGAGGAGGGGAGGAGGGGAGAGAGAGATAGGTGTTTGGATGATTGGCTAGTTTGCCGGTGGAAGTGGTCGTGGTGTACCTAGGGACGTTTGGGTAGGTAGGTTGAAGTTGTATGATGTGAGAGAGCAGTGACAGCCACAAGAGGAACTATCCGATACAGCACCCTAACAACGCGAGTGGAGCCTCGCGAGAAAAAAAGAGGCTAAGGGAAAACGGCTGGGGTATATATGGAGACAGACGCGCCAACTGGGAAGCGGACAGGTCAGGGCGAACTCAAACTTACCAGGAAATGAACCGCACTCGGCTCAACGGCGGGTCAAGGGCCTTTGGTACCGAATTGGTTGTTGTCTAGAAACCTTCGAGAACTTTGAGGCACAAAAAAAATATTTAAAAGCAAAAAAAAGACCAATAAATAAACAAAGTGGGCAGCTAAGGCACGAAGAAAAATACAAAAAAAAAATTAGAGTGAGATAATGTAAGAGGGGGTGGGGAAGAAAGAAAAAAAATTTAAAGGTAAAGGAACGGAAAAATTGATTTATGTGGGATAACAGTACTGTGCTGCGTTCAAGCGTGTACGTGCGTGAGTACGTGCTGTATGGTGGATGTGCGCGCGTGTGTTATGTGTGTGTGTGTGGAGAAATGGAAGGATGAATCGAAGGAAAAAAGAAGAATGTGAAATAGGTAAGGCAGGCAGCAATAGGCCGACCGGGTTAGATGGGAAGGTGGCACCAGGGAAGGTTTGTAGTAGTAAGAGGTACAATTGTAAGTAAAGGAAGGGATTAGAGTAGGTATTCTACTAAATGCAGCACCAGCAAGTACTATTAAGTTACCGAGGAGGCGGCCAGAGGAGGGAACGAGTTTCAACGCTGTACTTCCACTAAAAGTAAAGTACATAACAGTTTCGATATGTATTGTACTATATGTATTCCAGAAGAAGCAGAGCGGCAAGTAAAACCTCAACAGGTATATGTAGAGTACATGTATGATGTACCTACACGGGGTCACTACATGTATTTGTGTATACATACGTATAAAATATATTCAATTATTGATGGTCTCAGCGAAAGAAAACAAATTCATGAGAATACACATAAGTGCTAGAGCTCGAGACTTCGGACGTAGAGGTTCTCTGAAGGTCGAGGGGCAGGATGAGAAGCAGAGCCTAGTAGCCCTTACTGGCACAAAAGATATCTTGATTGAGTACATGTACCGTGACAGTGCCTCATTTTGTACAATAGGAACACAGCGGCAGATCCGAATGAACTGGAGCCGTGATGGCTCTTTCATAACTTTCTATATCCTCCTCCAAAGTTTTGTTAAGATAGTACTACTGTGTATATATTACATCCGCACTTTCGTACACTTGTTCAATATATCACTTTGCTGTACCTACATGGTATGTTTCCCTTAAAAGTCACAGGACGAGGCGAAAAAAAAAACGTTGAACCGGAAGTACCTACATAACCTCGAAGCCCTAGACGGGAGGGCACAGACAGCAAGCGAGACCTAGGCCGTGAGTAGGTGGTTGAGCATGAGGGCCTCGTGGTCAGCAAGTATTCCTCCTGTGTACTGGGCTGACCCTGATCCTATGAGAGCGGCTGTGGATAGAACATGAACCCGAAAGCCAGATCAAAATAATGATTAATTGAGTGTATGCACCTACTGGAAGACGGCACTCGTTTCTTTTCTCGTTCGTTCGGTAAGTCAACTTCGTACGTTCAGAGTGTTGCCTGCCCTACTGCACACTGGTCGATGTGCGTGCGTGCGTGCGTTGTGTGCATGCCAGGAATCTCTAATTCGTTGAAACCTAGGGCTACACGCGTGGTATCGATGAAATGATGGGCATTTGCCTTGTGGTTCGCTTGAAGAAACTTAGAGCAAGGTACACAAAGTAAATGACAAGACAGGCCAGGACAACTGGCTGGAATGTGTTTGCCGTCCTCACGGTCTGCTGCGTGAACGTTCAAGCAAGTGGCAGTGATCGGTATGAAGGGTGAGGGTGGGGGTAGTGCTTTTGTGGTCCCACTCAGAATTAGAATTCCCCAATCCCATTGAGCCAAATGAGGCGATACGGAGATTTGGGGGGGTTGATAAATCAATTAAATCTTTCGAGATTTCCTGTCTGTAGTGATCGATGATCAATCTGCAGCCGTGGAACTATAAACATTCGGATACTAAAAGCGGAGTTTTTGAGTCCTAAAGCGCACATTCTCTCATGCTGTATCCATACATACGCCCAGAGGTACATAAACAGTACGTGTCTGTCGAGTAGGAACAAGAATATTGAGTTTGCATAAGGTTGTGAATAATGTGGGGGCATGAACCCTTTTGCTCTACGTTGGGACAAGACTATGGGTAGGGGAGGGGGAAATGCGGATGCTTGAGGATGTACATGATGATGGCCCATGGGATGCGTTAGGTAAAGGATCACTCAGTACAGATTGGCGAGAGGGGAGTGCAGAAGTAAGAGCGACACGGCTATGCATTTCGATACCGAACGGTCAGCGCCACCGTCGGTAAACCTTCCTGTGCCAAGTGCCCACACGAACACAAGTAGACATCGCCGAGAAACAAGTGTATTTATCCACTGCTCGCCGATGATTTAGGGGTGACCTTTGGAGATGAGTGCGTGTTTAGAGTAATTTCCAAACCTTCGAGATGCACGCCAGGAAATTAACTCTTCCATTTCTGGGGTGATGGATGATGACCTTAAAGACCTATAGGAGGCTGGCTAGCGGTGGTCATCAGTGCCCTTCATCAACATCACTGGTATATCATACATACTTGCATCTCAGGATTACAAACACCTTCCTCTCTCCAACGATATTCCGCTCGCTGGTAGCGCTTGGGCGGTCTAGGCGGCTACATAAGATGCATCAGATATCAGGGCACCAGTTACACTGAGTGAGATAGGGGGGGGTAGAAGCGTTCTAACGGCGGAGATGATACATCACCACACATCATATCAAAAACAAAAACAAATAGATAATCGATTTTCCCTTTTTTTATTTTATTTATTTGCGAGGCAGGTCGGCTCCCCTTCATTATCGTGGCTGTATGCCCCATGCACGTCGTCATCACCCTGCGTCAACTGAGATGTATCAGACTAAATTTGGCTCAAAGTCGCGAAGCGAAGCCACGGGTTCGCATCCTTCCATCCCACACGTTGGAACCTCCCTGACCATCGTCAGAGTCTGGTTCGATCAAGTGAGCCCCTCCTCTTCCTTCTCTTCCTCCTTCACCTTCCTTCTTTCTCCTCCTTGACCTTGACTGCCAGCTGGCATAAGCACTCGGTTTGTGATGTCCGGGTATGGGAGGGAAGGAAGGAAAGGAAGAAGGGTGAACCATGGGAAAATTGTGCTCCTCAGTAAGTGTGTGGTAAGGTACCTAGAATTGCAAGCATCTTTGTGAAAACAAGCCTCCTCTCCTTGAGGGGAGGGGGTCGTCTGTCTACATCTGTCTACGTCTGTCTACGTCTGCCTATTGTGCTGCTGTTGACTATTCTACATATCGGCATCAGCACCTTTTCTTCTCGCCAAACGAATGGGAGCTTTCCCGGAATGCCCCCCTGCTGGCAATTTGCCGAGGAAGTCTTCCGGAAAGTGTTACCTTACTTGGTCTTCAGCCACCTGTTTGACACGGACCAGTGCATGACGCATCTGCGGTATTCCCTGAACAGGAAACATTCTAGAAGAATTCCCCCAGATTTCTCTTGAAGGTCGGTTTTATTTGCTACTGGGCAGACAACCGATGACTGCTTCTACTTTACAGCACTCATCATGTCTGCCTACAAAATATATTTTAATTCGTCGGTCTTACGAAAATGCTGGCCAGTAGAATTATTTCTGAAACATTCCCAATATCGACTCAACTTGGTTAGCCCTGTGCCAAGGCCCACTAGTTTTTGGCATAGACCATGTTCCTCACAGATTAATACGGTAGTTTTCCGAGCTACCGGTTACAGTGTCCTTCTCGAACGTTCGGGAGAAAGTATTAAGAGACAATTGGCCCTGCTTCGATTCGCAAACCTTAGAAATTCCCGGAGGCCCATATCCTAGTTCCACCCCCAGCATCATAATCACTTTGATGTAAGGAGGCTGTTTTGGCGAGATCTTCTTCAGATAAATTAATTGGCTCCTCGATGCGTACCGCTCTTCCGCAGATTCTCGCGTGTATTTTTATCATGTCAAAAGATTATTTTATTTTTCCTCGGCCGGATATTTTTATTTAACCGAAGCAAATGCGCATGGTTTTATCTGGTCAATTCCCATTCAGCTCATCAACACCCTGGACAAGGATCCCTTTCTCTTATTTCTCTAATCACGATGGTTTCTGGCAGAGAGCATTCAGATGAGACTTTCCGCTCAAGCTTATCACCTATTGAAGAACCCCCGGTTGTTCCTACAATGGTACCCTAGCCCACCCGGTGTGTGGTCCTGTATGTATAACTCGGGTCTCCACTATAAGTACAACAGGGTCCTCCCTATATCACGCCGGAGACTCTTGCCCGAGGTAGCTTTTGGCTGCTCTGAAACATGAAAACGGGCACATGTGCTATGGCGAAAAAGTATGGTTTCTAGTGGGGCAAGAAACGTTAACGTGGTCGGCGGGAGAGTTGGCGGCCTGACCGAAAAGCGAGTCTCTAGTCCCGATTTGAAATCGGGACTAATGTCTGGGGGGGAAATGATCAAGATTGCTTCTTTGTTTCTTAGTTGGATAATCAGGTTTTATAATTGCGTTGCCGTCCACTTTACCGTGCCTGTCATGTACCACAAAAACGTCCATAAGCGAAAGTTTTGTTAATCGGCGGGAGGGTCTCACTGCGTATCCTAGAAGGAATAGGAAGGAAAAAAATAATCCCGAAAGCGGAGGCGAACACTTTGCTTTTTGCCAGTCCGAATTGTGGGGGACAAGACATGATCTTTTTTACCGACCATCTTTCTGCTGTCTTTGCCGCCCCTTGCTCCGATCTGCCTGTCTCGTCGAAAAAAACTCATCGGCCGAGCGCACGAACCACAGGATCTCCTGCCAAGTTGTGGAAACAGGTACAAAGCCCCCACTCGTCATTTTGGCGAGCCAGGCGAGGAGTGCCAGCTCACACGAGAGCGCCGGATTTACGTCATCGTTTTCCGGCCTTGTGCAGCCCATGAAATCTCCTCACATTTGCAACTGACTGACTAGATGAAAGGAAATAGGAGGGAGAGAAAAAAGTGGTTTTCATCTTGACCATGGTTGCGGAATGTGGGCGAGTGACTGGGTTTATGCCAGCCTCATCAACATCGACCTTCGGTGAATGGTTACTGCAGATTAACCTCACCCGATGAAAGCCGTTTGGAAATTGAACGAGGGAAATAGAATCTCGATGTCGATAGATCATCGACATTTGCTCAACAGAAACAACAAAAAAAAAATTTCGGGGGGGACTTAGCAGACTTCTCTCAGCCGAGTGGTTTATTTTGCGAAAACCCACTCGAAACAACTCAGCTCTCGTTTGATAAAAGCTGGGCCAGACTGTTAATGGCTGGCTGGCTAGTCTCCATTGTCGCCTGAAAAACTTTCTTTAGCGGTCATCTGAAATAATGTTGGCCCTACACCACACCAAAAGGAAAGTCCACTCGGCAAGGAGGTGACCAGTCGATTAAGCAGAGACTGTGGAAGGGACCCCTGCGTGTTCGACGGAATGTCGTGCAGATTTGCATTTCTTTGGGTCCGTTTCGTGTCACGCAAAAGAGGGTTCTGACCTATTAGATTATTTTCAGAAGGCGGCGAGCCTATGGAGCTGAAACACAGGCGAGCCCCGACAGGTCTAAGCGAAATTACGCGGGGGCTCTTATTTCTCTGCTGTCCTCTTTCATGACGCATGGGGAGTGACTGAGCATGAGGTGAGTGGGTTCGGTGATCATGGGTTTATGACCACCAGATGAAAGGGTGCGAAGAAATTCCAGGCAGTCAAAGGAAGTAAAGTACCTAACTCACATGTACGTATGCAAGCCTGTTCATGATTGATCGCGTGACAGATAGACAATTAAATCGCCACAGACGCATAGCCACTTTCCACACTCTGGTAGGAGGCACTCTGGGCGCGGTGAACCTTGGAGGACAGATTTCATTTTACTCTTTTTTTCTTCTGTCGAACAGATTCACATAGTCTTGAAAAGTCACAGAGCTCGGGCAGGAACCCGAGTAGATGTTCGAGCACTACATAACTTGTGCGGCGGCCGGAGAACCTTCGCAACGACCACCGCAACCTGCCATGTCGTGTGTCCTGTGCTCGGGGTCTAGCCCGTAGTTCCCCTACCGACTACATAGCCGACGGCCAAAAGGCGGCTAATCATCGAGCACGATTAGGTAATTTCGTTAAAGCAGCTTTCAAAAAATTCACGCGAGCCGTCGAGCCGCTGCCCTACCGAACGGGACCAAAGCGCATTTTCGCTTTCTCGGGGATGCCTAGACTGGGGTTTGACCGTTTTTTGTCTACATGTATGTACAGGCAGGTACTCTATGTAGAAATCATCGGGTGCAGTACCTATGATCTTCCTATCTATGGGTTCACTCTGGGCTAATAATCACATAATATGTATAGTTTTATATAGGGATAATAAAAACCCATTCTATATACCGGGGGTGCTGATGCTTTTGATTCCAGTATTCGCCCATAGTTATAAGAATGCATGTTCCAGACCCCCCCGGCAGGTATAGCTGTGGTAGTTACCGAGACTGTTTGCCCCCTCTCTGAAGACTACTATCATTGCTGTCCAAAACGACATCTATTGGGAGAGAATGCGGTTCCATACAAATACCTGTTTATAGCCAGGATTAGTCTTCATAAAGGAAAGAAGGCACTTATCGACCAGTAAGTTGTCAACCATGCTCAAATTTCTCACCCCGAGAGGCATGATATTGGCGTTTGAAGTACTAACGAATAAAGCCATGCCACTTGCAGCTAGAGGTATGGCGGGGAAACCTCAGTCAACCTTCTAAGCCGGCGAAGAGTCAGGACGGCTAGCGTGGGAACATCAGAAACTTGGCTCGAAAACCTTAGGTGGAAAAAGGGCCCTTGCAAAGTTCCATCAAGTCTAGGTATGCCACTAGACTCTTCTGTACTCGTAAGCTGCATCGGGGCTTCCACGGAATTTAATCCGCGTTCCGTGGAAGTTCCGTGCAGCCAAGGTTAATTCTCGTGAATCTGGTTTTGATCTTGAACTCGGGAGATGCTGGAGATCAACATGAAATGGTCAATGCAGTGGGGATTGAAATCTGCATCTGGTCTAGTCAGGGTTGCACGTTTCCCCCCCCCCCCCCCCCTTCTCTTGCAGGACCCTGAGAGGAGGCGGAAATGATTTTTGAGCAAAAAAAAAAGGGTCTGCTGACGATGGCGAATTGATATCGCCGAATAACTACACGCTAAACACGCATCTCCAAGGGAGTTTCCCGTCAATCAAATTCTGGAGCACGACCAGTATCTTTCGCCGAATCTTCTTCCCTTATGGGGGATCGCCTTCCGGACAGACCTGCAAAAATCCATCGCTGCATGCATACAATATGGACCACCCCCTAGCTCACGATACTACATGTATGCATTAATAGGTCGAAACCAACTTAAAACCACTTTTTATAAACTTGCTAATATATTCAGGGTAAGGGAGGAAAGGGAAAAATATGGTTTCTTACTGGACAACAACGCCTAATCCTCGTATCATGTTTTAGAAGAAAACTAAGAAAACTGCATGATATATTATGAAGTAAGCAGGCTAGACTGTCAAACGCCTAAAAGGACACCGGCGGCACGGACAGCCACGGGTTGAAAAGAAGACAGGCATATGTATGTACATGTATGTACTCTAAATGAATACTTCAACATGATCTGACGATCCATGGAGTGTATGTACACACATTTACATACATGTACTCGGAAAGTATAAAACAAACTTGTATGCGCACGCAGTTACTCGGTAAAGCAAGGCCATAAATTGCTCATTACTCGGCCGCGGACATATATGAGTAGAGTAGATGGATCTACGGCCATTGCTGATCTGAGAGGGCCTCAAATCGAGCCGCCGGTCTATAATGGTTGATATTTATGCAGTGCTGCTGCTGCACAGATAGACTAGCCCTTATATTACAGTCCATGGATCCCTATGGATGGATGGTCATTGGTGCAAACTCTACTGCCACCACTACAACTATCACATACACAAGGCAACAGTACCGGAATATTATATTACATTGTCCCTACGGCGTACCTACTGCCTACTGCGAATGGGCCTTCCCATAGCACGACGTCGCTGTCCTGGCCTGATGTTTGATGTTTGATGTTTTATTTTTATTTTTATTTTTTTATTTTTTATTTTTATTTATTTTTTCATGACACTCAGGAACTAGACGATAATGCAGTGTAGCTGGCAAATTTAATTGTCAAAGTAAACCCCACCATTGATCTTGTTTATTATGTGCGCACACGCACGCACACATATGTAGTCTAGAGTAGACAGAAGGACGTACAAGGCACATGGCGCACATACCCGACTCCTTTTTTTATTTTTTTCAAATTTTATGTCTTCTTATTTTTCTTTCCAAACAGTAACTGCGGATCTTCATGCTAACCATACCTAGGCCATCTTTGGTACCGGGATGTCTCTCTTTGAAAATAGAGTGTAATAGGTATTCCGCATATGTACCTGCTGTTCCCATATCAATGCGCGCTTAGATACATGATCGACAAGCCTCTAGGAGAAGTGTAACCGCCGTCACTACATACGTATTACCACTACTACCACCAACCGACTGTCTAGGTAAAGTAGTTACCTAGTCATCTTTGTATGTCCTTCCCCTGCCTGGCCGGAGGGGTAAGGAAAACCCGGGGAAATGCAAACGAGAAAAACGTGCGACCCCCGTCGATTGTCATCCTAGCCTCGTTTCTGGAAGGGTGTGATAAGATGGCGGTGGAGGACGTGGTGATGATGCGGAACGATTACGTACGTCGAGACATGGACTGGTGGTATACAACCTATCGCTAGCCATATGATGTACCTTGATAGCTGAGATTAGATAGATAGGTAACTACCATGAGTGATATATGTAGAGTAAAGACCCCTCACATGTGATTCCGGTGCTGTTTTTTTTTATTTTTTATTTTTATTTTTATTTTTTTTATTTCCCGACTAGGGATTCCACAGGGCTTCCAGAAATGTTGTCTGCTGCACTGAAGTCGAAACATCCCTAATTCATGGGTTCGCATCCACCGCAAATTTCGATACCGAGTGAGTAATGCCTATGGCGATCTGGGATGTTATCTAAACATGCAAATGTGAATCAAAGGCGGGTACTTAAATCTGAAACAAGTCGCTAAGGTTTCAAGTTATGTGCAATATATGCCAATCAGTAGAAATCATCGCTTTTTTCTTCTCTTTGCATAGATACATACTTTTTGACTGAGCTCGTGATGGTGATCAAAGATATGTACCAGCCCCAAGATCTTTGGGGTAGCCAACTCATAGGCTTCGGTGAGAAGGCGCGCATTGCGTTCGGTAACTGAGAGACCAGCAGGCTGTGATACACAGAAGTAAGTAGTCCATCCCGACAAATTTATGCCTCCCAACATAGGCAGATTTGTGGTAACGTCGGTAATCAAAGTAGCCCTCATGATGACTGTTGATATCTCGTTTCTTGTGAAACGGCGCCTTCGTAACAAGAAGTGATACCCCGAAGAAGCATAATGATATGACAACTGGCACCCGAGTTTCATATTCTAGCAGCCAAAAATAAAATGCAAAGTAGTATCGTATTCTCCCCAGGATTCTGTCGCCTAGAAGTTGCGCGCAATTAAGTCCGAGTGACGGCCATGATTCCATATAAACCTGTGAGACACTCGAGTTTTCCGCAATCCTTGAGTGTCGATATAGTTATTGAATTGCGCATTGGCACGTCATCGCAGCCATATGCAACGCTGTACTGCAAGGTATCGTAAGTCAACTGTTCCTTAAACCACCTGATTCCTCCTCCGTGTTGCTCCTGAAGTGTTTTCGATCTTTAGATGAACAAAAAGAAAAATCCCGCTGTCGTGCTAGCCCGGGCTGATACACGCATCGTTTCTCTGTACGGGAAAATGTATTGTTGTTGAGGTGGCGCCTCTCATGATGTGCACCTCGAGACCCATGACTTTTCGATCAATCATTTAGGTACTCCATCGTATCTTGAAACTCGCCTTGTCACCCTCGTCGATGTGTCTGTCGTCAGCAAAGTGGCCGATCCAGGACGATTGGACAAAGGGTGCGGTATGAGCCATGCCGGTCCCATTGGTAATCGGAATCCTGGGATTTGATACGCTTCCGCCAGGTGATGTCCGATGCCAAAGTAGGAGAATGCTGGTAAAACATATCCAGTGCCAGTTACTTGGATATATTGATGCCTTGTGTATACTGGCATCGATCGAACCTCATCAAGTCCCGACAGCTAACGTCAGTCATGCCGTTAATCAGTTTCTCAAATCCACTATTATGATTGACCTCGACATCCGCGTCAGGTTATTAACTTGACCTGGTTAACCTGGTATATGTTTCCACCACGTCGTCGGGGCCGGGTATCTAAGTTATCAAAAACCGATGCTTCCACTGGCATTACCGATATTTCTTGCTTTTTTAAGTTGAATGGTCACCATATCATCTTACCCCACAAGATGGAAGTAGTGTGCACCTTAAATAGACCCAATCACAACCGATATGCACTGATATCAGAAAATGGATAAAGATATGCAAGCATTAGACCACACAATCCATCAAAGAAAAACGAGCCAATCTGACGCAACCGATGGCCGGTGCCGTGGTGTAGGTATACATGATTTGATACCAATGCAGAACTCTTTTCTAGAAGACACACTAAGAGCTGATCAATAAAAAGCAATGAAAGCCTATGAGAATGTCTTCGGTCTTCATGACGGCCCGGTCGGCGTAAAACTTCTGGAAAGACCTCTAGCTCATCATCTGACATCAGCCAGGTTTGCGTGCCAGATAGGCTTTGTAGATTGGTAATATTTAAAACTGTCTGTTTGCCTGTTCCTGCGATGAACTGGTTGCTTTCGAGTTGCCCTGCATGCAAGTATTTTGACATAGCCCCGGAAGCCGATGTTAGCGTTCGGACTTAGATATCTGAAAACAAATATATGTCCTAGGTTTCCCTTCGCCTAAGACTGTTCCTGACAGGGCCAAGCATGTCAGAACCGTATTCATCCTATCCTGGGGGCGGAACTGGGGGCGGAACTGGTGGTTCCTACATAGGATGCTCCGGTCAAAATGTCACTGCCCCGTCCAACCAACAGGTATGATCACACGGCAACCAATCGAAGCTGTTTCGTACCTTTTTTATTACCTAAGCACCAGAGTAAAACCGAGCCCCCATAGGAACTTTATTTTGAGATCCTGGAGTTCCTTGACTAGAGAACTACGTTACTTGTAAAGTTTGCAGATTATTCGGTATGAGTCGAGAATTAAGTTCTGTTGAGGGAAAGGCCTTGTATAGCCACCGTAACTGAAATGCATGCGGCTATCCTAACAGAAGCTTCTTCTATCTGGGGACGTTTGCTTAGCCACACACGGCTCTGCAAGACGGAACCGTTTGATTTGAAGTAGCCACAATAGAACATGCCCTTATCCTCACGAAAAATCACTCCTCTCGGTAATAGTTGGGCTATGTCATCATCGAAGCGGTTTCCAACTCAATTTAGTCGCTCTTTCCCTTCTGTAACATGATGAAGGTCGATTAGGTTAGAATTTGTTCGTGTGAGGAAGGAGGTGACGTTGATTTGTGGCTTACTTGCGGCTCAAGCCACCAGGCCAAAAGATCACGTTTACCCCTGAAAGCCAGTTCTTTCAGCGATCTGCATCGCGCTCGGCACGAAAATGGAGCTTCCCAATCTTAAGAATCTTCAAAGCAAGGATGGATTCATTTCTTTGTTGTTTTGGGGTACATACGTGAAAGCTGGGAAATGGTGTTGGTGGTGGTACTTGCCGCGGTTGCAGGCAGTGACGAAGGCCAGGAACATGGTCGTTATGACGTCATGGCGCTACTTCCAGCATATCATCCTTCCTCCTCAACTTCTTTATCTTTGCCTGATCCCCCTTCCTGAACAAATCAATTACAGTTCGAACAAATTTTACGCCTTGTGAAGAGAATCCTCATTTTGCGACTTGATAATCATCAAAAAAGCACAGTCAGACAACAATCAGTTATCACATATTCGCAATGGATGTTTATTACTATTTCAACTACCGTATGTTTCAAACATCACATGTTTATCGCAAGACTTTAATTTCTGTGCAACTTGATGCTGATGATACCAAAAAAACAACAGTCTCGGCAGGCTGGATGATGCTTGAATCAATCCCCCTGATCGCATCACCTACGGTCATCATCACCATGCTTTCACCAGATGTTCGGGAAACCACACGTACGTTATTTTGCCCAGCCTTGCTTGCTGCTGCTACCTTGGCCGATCGGATGAGTCGCTAATACAATGACTGTTGCAAAAAAAAAAAAATAGAGCTCGAAGCATATCTCTCGCGCTCATTGGGTTTCACATTGATCGCATTCTCGATTTTAAACCTTCTCCTAACCGGGAGTGTACCACTAGTTGTAAGTACATCATAGCTCCTGACGTGATCTTAAACGACCCACCACAAAAACCAAAATTGCTAATGACATGCGCGCACCCAGTCGAGCTTCTCTGAAACAGCCGTAGCGAAACCGGCTGGCACAGACATGGAGGATCCCACAGCACCGTACGCGGTGCCCTCACTGTGTGTAACACTAACGTATCATCTCACCATAGCGTTCTACTGTTACACACAATGGGACAGTGGGTACTCTGCTGCTTACGCCATTGCTATGGTTACGCACTCGGCGTTTAGTGCTCTTGGAGCATGGGTGTTGCTGTTTGGAAGCACTAGTGGACGCATTTCGAGGAAGACTGGCGCCGATAAGAGGACGAGTGGATTCCCGTTTAAGAATGTCGAGGCCGAGAAGAAGAAGTCCGGGAAGAAGTCGCTGTGACTCAGATCGGGGAAGAAGAACAGGCCTCATGCTAGTAGCTACAGAGATATCTGAACGAGCAGGAGTAGAAGGAAGAGTAGGAGAAGGATTTGTTTATAGTGTCACGATTCCCTTTGTTGAATGAGGTGGTTTCCTTTTTCATTTTTTCGTTTTCGTTTCCTTTATGTGATTATGATGGGGTTCCTTTGGTATTGTTATGTGATTTTATATCAATGAGGATTCAATTACAGACTACATGTACTTCTCGCTTTAAAATCCGTTGTCCAGAGTGAAAAGAAAACTACACACAGACCAACTTCACTGCGGGTATGTAGATTACAAGGATGTCTTCATAAAACCGGGATCACCAGTCCCGAGTGAGAATCCATGAAGATATTATTTCCCAAAAGTTCTAGAAATTGCACTGAAGTTATTTCTGGATAACCGCATGAAGTCTGTAGTTAACAAGAACTATACTAGTTTTTAACGTCAAGAATTGGGGCCACTCTTCAACCGCGCCTCACTGCAGAAAGCTGTTATTATCGATAGCTATAGATGAAGATAGTGTATAAAGACAACTAGTTCAGAGTAGTTAAGGAACACATAGCTAGAAGCTGTGCCTATAAATAAATAGAGAGGAAGGACCGAGACTTGGATAAATTCCAGTAACTACATGTACATCTCTATTGTGCCTACTTCACGATCAAGAACGCCATTACTTCCCAACTATCTAATGGGATTTATTCATTGCAGTTGCGTGTACGTTCCGCTATCTCGTATTATAAGCTATTATGGGCAGTTACCTAGACCTAATTATACTAACAAAGTCCCAACTGCATACTTAAACCCCATCTCAGGAACTAGATTTGTATTCACCAGGCATCACTCTACTTGATCTTAACTTAGTCCTCCATGATCTGGACTTGAGCTTGTCGCAATCACACCGCACAGATATGCCCTAGTACCTTCAGAACCAAAAAGCCCTGATCTGATCTGCTCTAATTGTCCGTCGAACACTACAAGTACTTAGTATTTACAACAATTCGCACCTGCCCCACTAAGGTAAAAATACAAGAAATAGTAAGAAAAGAAAAGAATAGTATATAAAGGCTAATAGAGGAGAAGAGTTGGCGTAAAACATCATGCAGCGCAGCGAGTCCTCCCGGCCACCAGGAGGATTTTGGAAGAAAATAAGGAATCTAACAAACAATAGACCGGAAAGTATTTACACAGAAGGAAATAGAACCACCCCCTCACCACCCACTGTCACCACCCAGTATTCACCGCAGAGTATAAAAAACAAACAGATATGGACTTTTCGGCAACCCCTAAACAAAGAAGACCCTTTTTTGCGCGAGATGGAAGAAAATGCACACACAGCCATTAGATTAAATAAAGTCCCTCGCGCTCTTCTGCAGCTCAATCAGCCTCCACCCATTGGTCTCTGGGTTGGCCACCTCATCCGGTATCCTCGTGATGCCAATTGCGTAGGTAACCTGCTGCACCTTGTCCTCCATGCCGGCCCTCAACTCGCTCGTCTTCAGGTCGCGGAAAACATGTACCTCCTGCGTCCTACACGACACAATAAACACTGGCACCTCTCCGGGGTCCAGGATACGTGCAGAGAGGATATCCACATTCCTGATATCTAGCACCTTCCCATCCAGCTTCAACCCATTCACCGTGTACTGCTGATTCAGCGCCGCATACACATTGAACTGCGCGGCGCTGAGCCAGGCCTTGAGGATCTCGGTCTCGCCCTTGACGTAGGCGTCGAGCACCTCGGGGAGGATGTACTCGCGCAGCTCGCGCAGGAAGGGCTCGAGCTGGAAGGTGGGGTCCATTTCACGGAACTTGCGGATCACCTGGGCGGTCTCATTTTCGGCAAAGAAGCCGGCGAAGCGGTCGGCGATGTTGCGGGTCACGGAGATGACGGGGTTCTCGGATTCATCGTACGTGCGCTTCACCGAGAAGAGGGATTGCATCAGTTTGTTGCTGTCGCGGAACTCGCGCCAGGATTCTTTCCAGGCGGCGTCTTTGTGGAGAGTGACGTTTGTGCCGGCTCTGCGGGGCGCGGGGGAGAGTGGTTAATACCATGATTGCCTGTCTGCCTGCCCGGGAGGGAGGGTTTGGTGGTGGTACTTACTCGGGGTCTTCTTCCATCTTCTCGACCCTCTTGACACCGCCCTTCAGTTCCCGCAGCTCACGCTGCTTCTTACGCTCCTCACGCTCCAGGTACCCACCATACCGGGAGCTGGCGCCATCATCAATGACCTCCTCCACGTTCTGCTTGATATCCTTATAGACCTTGGTATCCCTTACCGGCTTCGTCACCGCCGCCACACCCTCTCCCGTGGCGCGCGCCGCAGCCCTTCCCGCCTTCACCACCGGCGTCTCCCACGTCCACGCCGCACCCTTCCCAATTGCAACCGCCGTCTTTCCCAGCGTCTTTGCCGTCTTCTCACCAACCTTGCCCGCAACCTCCGCGGTGCTCCCGTATGCCTGGCGCGCCTTCTGGACGGCCGGAGACTCGCTGAACTGCTGCGCAGACTCCCCTAGCTGTTTGGTTGACTCTTGCCACTCCTGCGACTTTTTGAACTCGGTCTGCAGCGTCTCGTAGAAGACGGCGAAGGGCGACTTGTCGCCGTGTGGAGGAGGTGGTGGGGGGACCTCCTCCTCCTCCTCCTCCTTCTTCTCCTTCTTCTTGTCGTCGGAGTCCTTGTCCTCCTTGTCCTCCTTGTCTTCTTTGTCCTCCTTGGTGGATGATTCTTTGCCCTTGGACTCCTTCTCAGACTTTACGTCGTCGTCGTCGTCATCCTTCTTTTTCGGCTTGTCCTTGTCTGCCCACCGGCCGCCCAGCGTCGAGAATTCGCTCCGCAGCACAATCGGTCGGTGCACGGGGAGTGCTGAGACACGATGTGTGTTTGCGTTTGCGAGCAGCCTGGCACTAGCTATTCGCTGGTTCCCGCCGATCCGGGAGCTGGCCGTCGCTGCCGTCCGAGCATTGAGACGGATGATTCCCCGGCAGGCAGATTGCATCGTGGCGGTGAGTTGCGGTGAGTTGCGGTGAGTGGGGTGGGTGAGTGAGTTGCGGTGGTGGTGGTGGTGGTGGTGGGTGTGTGGTGGTGGTGGTTAGGAGGAGGAATTAAGCTGGCTGGCTGGTGGCGGGGGACAGTTTTTTTTTTTTTTTTTTTCGGGCGGAAAATCTGTTGCAATTCTGTCTGGATCCGAGGGTTTCGAGGGATGCGTGGGGTCCGGTTACCCGGCAGAGAACAAGAGAAGAAGAAGCGGGGCCGGGCCGGGGCTGCGCTCGGGGATGGAAGGAAGGAAGGAAGGAAGGGAGATCAAGGTGCGGGGAGGGGGCCGGGTCGATGCGTCGGCGGTGGGGAGCTGGAGAGAGCTGTGTTTCTATTTATTAACTCTAGATGTATATTCACTTGTTCTCTTACAATTACCTGCCGATCTCCCACTAATTCTCCCACTGCTAATTAATATTTCCCACGCAGACCCGGCTGCCACGACGTACAGGCTACATACATGTAATATACATCTGCTGGCATCTCTCTCTTCTTCCCCCAGCCAGATGCCCCACTCTCGTTACCCGGCCTCACACAGCTACTGTAGCTACAACACACACCATGCACACTGTACCTACAAAGCTATACTACTACTTCAGCTATCTCAACAGCCCCAAGCTCTCAAAACCAACACACAACAAAAAATGGAGCCAGAATTCCACATAAACCAGCGCCTCTCCTTCACCCCGGGCCAAGCATACACCGCCGCCCGCTGCACCGTCCGCTACTCCGGCCCCGTCGACGGCACAACCGGCACCTGGCTCGGCGTCGAATGGGACGTCGAGGGCAAAGGAAAACACTCTGGCGTGCACGGCGGGAAGAAGTACTTCGAATGTCCATCCCCCCCCAAACCATTCCGAGTGCTAGTTCATGACTCACCAACAAAACCAACAAACCAACTAACTAACAGAGACGCAACCAACAGGCAAAGCACCCGGCAACGCATCCTTCATCCGCACGACCCGCCAGCCGGACGATACACTAAGCTTCCTCGAGGGCCTGCGGCGCAAATACACGACGGCCGACGACCCGCCGGACGCACATGCGGTGCTGTCGCTCACGGCCAACAAGGTGTTTGAGGAGGTGGGCTTCGAGAAGATACAGAAGAAGCTGGGGCAGCTGAAGGAGCTCAAGATTGTCATCCTGGATGGCCTGTGCTTGGCGAGGGCCGATGCGCGCGAGGAGATTACGGAGACTTGTCCTAGTGAGTTTTTTGATTTAGTTCTTCTGGTCTTGTTTTTTTTTTTTTTTTTTTTTTTGGGGGGGGGGGGGGAGAGGGAGTGGGGGGTGCTGATGCGGTGGGGAGATAGAGATTGAGGAGCTGGATTTGAGTAGGAATTTGTTTGAGGAGTTGCAGACGGTTGCGAGTATCTGTGCGGCGCTGCCGCACTTGAGGTCGTTGAAGATTAGGTGTGTTTCCTGTGGTTTTTGGTTGTTGGTCTTTTGTTACTGACTGTAGTAGTGGAAACCGCTTCTCGTCGCTAGAAGTCGAGAGAGTGCCCGGCCAGCCATCCCCGTTCGAAGGTGTGACATCGCTGGAAATCAGTAATACCTATCTCACCTGGGACGAGGTCAGTCACCCATCCCACCTACTCAGGCCTATTCGGGGGGGACGAAAGCCACATACTGATCATTACAACCCACAGACAACGCAAATCCTCGCCCACTTCCCAAACATCCAGACGCTCGAGTCGTCACTAAACCGCATCTCCACCATCCCCGCAGACATCTCCCTCCCGCCCACAATTACAACCCTCAACCTCGAGCGCAACATCTTCACATCCCTCACCGCCGTGCTCCCACTCACATCCCTACCGGCGTTGTCACGCATAATCCTTGCCCACAACCTCATCACCGACATCCTAGACCCCGCTTCAGAAACAGCCCCCCCAACACAGGCGTTTAAAACACTAACCCACCTAGACTTGACGTACAACCACGTTCCCACCTTCCCGCAACTCGACGCTCTTCCCGCCCTCTTTCCACAGCTTACGTCAATCCGCCTCTCCCACAACCCCTTCTGCGCCCTCCTCCCCCGCGAGGAGGCACACATGCTTACCCTCGCCCGCCTCCCCGAACATGTCTCGATGCTGAACCATACCCGAGTCTTACCGGCAGAGCGCCAGAATGCGGAGATGTACTACCTGGGCCGCATTGCGAAGGAGCTGGCTGCTGTGGGGGAGAGTGAAGAAGAGGAGGTGCTGAAGAGCCATGGAAGGTGGGGGGTGTTGTGTGAGCGTGAGTACTTCCCTGACATTGCTGCTTTTTGGTGTGCAGAGAGTGCTGATGAGGAGGGGGAGGGCAGTGTATGGCGCACCGCGGATAGATCGCGCTGTGGCACTGGAAAAGCGGTGTTTGGGCTCGCGGCTGGTAAAGGTTGAGTTTGTTAATGGGGAGAAGAAGGTGGTGAGGGGGGTGCCGAGGGGGATGGCGGTGTCGACAGTGAGGGCGTTGGTGGCGAGGTGGTTTGGGGTGGAGCCTTTGGGGGTGGGGCTGTGGCTTTTGGTGGATGGCGAGGAGGAGGGACAGGGCGGGGAGAAGAAAAGGGTGGCGTTGGAAGATGGGGTGAGGGAGGTGGGGTATTATGTCGAGGGGAAGGAGGGGACGGTGTTGGTGGAGGCGTAAATACCTTTTTTACCAACGTCTCTTTTCGACGCTTTAGATTAGGTAGAGTAGAGGTAGTTAGACTCTCTGGGACGGCTACTGATAGTTGCTGATGAGCATCTTGCACATGTACCCCATACATTCTCCCCCCCCGTAGATATTTCAGTCGCCACCCCCATCCCCAACCTCTCGCCATCCATATCCAAACCATTTCCAAACCATATACAAGTCGCAGTCAACCAAAGCATCCCAAAAAGGGGCTAGCCAATACCGAGTGATAATCCATGAACTAAATGTACTCACTGCTTACTTATAGATCATAGACGATGTATGCTCTTCATAGTAGTAAAACCGAAACCGCGCCGAGTGTAATAGGAGGCGGCTGTCGGCTGTCGGTAGTGGTGTGATGGAACCTTTTAGCCCTAGACCGATAGGTTTTGGTAAAGTAGACCAGCACCCTCATCATCTCTGTAAGCCTCGATATCTCCCATGGAGATATTCGGGCGATTGTATGCTGGACCTTACTACCAGCCATAAAAGAAACCCCACTTCCACCACGCGCCATAATTAACATCATAATCCATCACTCGGCCCACCCGAGATTACCCGCGATCTCCTGATCCACACATGTATATCGCCACCAACCACCCAAATGAAGTAAACAAATATAATGGAATTGCAAGGGCCAGTATTGGGAACCGAGGCGTGTCCGGGCGTGTCCGGGCGCTAACACTCGGGGCGGGCCTACGCGGGAATGGCCTGGGCTTTTGCTCCGTTATCCCGGCTGGCGGGGGTCTTCTCCTGCCAATAGTGGAAATTGGGCGTCCGCTTGGTGGTTTTGGTGGTGGCGGGTGCGTTCGATTAGGCTTGTGACTTAGCCAGTGAATGAAAACTAAATATTAGTGACCGAAGTTTCAACCTTGATAGAAAGAGCATCCTTACAGTCCTTACAGCAAGTCTTGTCATGCAATCTGTTTTCTTGCTCGTGGTCAGCGGGCGAGGCTTCACATGCAGAAGTATTTCTTGGTTGCAGATTCGGCAGCCAGCATTTACGTAGCTGTGTGTGGAATTATTGCGTTGGAGAATCGACCTGTTCTCAGCGTGATCGTTGATCCCGGATCCCTGTTTTCCACAATAATCCCCCCGATAGCTGTAGGGAATATCTCACTGAGCAGGGAAACGGAGTGCACACAGCTCTCCAGTAGTAGGCTTATTACCAACCACTCGCTTCTGTCCATCCTATCACCAGGCTCGCACCTGCTGATTGGCTTCCAGTTGTGTTCGGGCTGCCCGATTCCGTTAATGCCGAGAGAGTGAGACAGATCGGTTGGTTGATTGATGTATGAAGTCCTCAGGCCTAGGCAATGACACAGTCATATGGATGGGCTCGTATTTAACGGGGAAGGCACTTGATTATGGTGAGGCGCCGACGCTTGTCTGTGCGGAATCTCTGACACGCGTTGTGTAATAGGCCGCTATGCATTCTGACTGATGAGGGGAAGATAGAGAATGAGTACATAGTGGAAGGTGAGGGAAGGAGAGGAGTCTCGGATCGAAGCCGAGCCACTTCCCCCTCTTTTATATGCAATGGTGTAATGACACACTGTCGCCATGATCTAGCCACAATTTTATACCGTTTGCTGTTCTGATGTGCCTGATGACAGGTTGTCAATGCTAGAAAGTCTTTTCCAAGTGTCAGTTTTACTAATTGACAACGGTGCAGTGCGAGAGGCAAAGTTGGCAGTTCCCTTTATGATCGATCTGTGGCCAAATTTGCAAAATCGAATCAAATATCAACAGCATGCCAAGTTAGAGAGTTTTAGCTGCACCAGCTCAACAGAAAGTCTGACAAGTTGGACAAAATTCTAGCTTCTGTTCGACTCGCGCAGCCAATTAACTCCATTTTATTAACTAAGAAATTTCGTGAATTAAGGGCCCGTTCGGACAACCCAATAATCTAGATTATTGGCGATAATCTGACGGATTATCGACTTTTGGATTATCACAATAATCTATGCTGTTCGTGCAATTGAATAATCCAACATTCGGAACTCCTGATTATCCTAATAATCCGCCAAGAAAACAATCACCTTTGGAGGTAATTATTCCCACACAACACAGATATCCTGAGAGCTAACGTTATCCGGACATGTAGATTATCCACTTATTATGAGTATTATGATTATCACTTCCGCTACCTGATAATCCAGTCTGTCCAATAACCCGAAGAAATAATCTAAGGTTGTCCGAACGGGCCCTAAATTAATAGTGCATTAGCTTGTGACGTTTCGGCCAGGACCCACAAGTCGTCAGTTCTCGGAATTGGTCGGGGGTAGTTAGCAAATTTAGAAAAATACTCCCTGCTAAGTGGGCATATATCTATTGACTCTAATAAAACTATACCCTGGAAGCGTTTGTTCTAATCACATGTAGCAAACGAAAGAAACGGAAACCGTGACATGACGTCATGTCACACAACCAGAACTGTAAGTCATGTACTATCACTCGATACACGCTGACTAATCTCAAAATGCTCTTTTTGGAGTTTTTTGAAAGCAAACAATCTTCAAACGCTCATCGCCCCGATATTTTGAAACCAAGTTTTGTGTACGCTATAAGTTACAAACAGAGCTCTCCCTCTCTAATCTCTCTTCTCTCTCTGGCTACGTACAACACACTCTACGCCACAAACAAAAATCTTGGAACAGCTACGAATACGGAGACAATGAGCGCACGAGGTCGGAGGAAGGTACTCTTCGTGAGGACGAGATACAGGACAAGGGGGTTCAGCCCACCGCCTTCGCCTATGGGCCTGGTGGATGGCGCTGGCACTGATCATAATATTGCTGACCCTACACTTCCATCGCCAGCAGTGGTTGAGGCTGGAACTAGTCCTGGGTTTCGGTCCGGGGCTGGAGAAGCAGTAGCCGTTCCAAAATCTGCAGCTACAATCACCGACGTAACAGCAGAGGAGAACATGGCCGCGGGGGCGCTCGGAGAAATACCCCCCACTAAGCGAGCAAAAGTTGAAGAGGAATTCGAACCCAGCAATTCGGATGAACATATAGCTTATATAGCTGTCACTACGTCACCTCGCGCAATATCCCCTGCCGCTCCCGATCCCGCGACACCAGCCATATGCAGATCCAGAAGGACTCGCAGTACTGGTACATACATGCGCTCACACTCATCTCCCATTCGGCCGTTCACGGACTCCGGCTCTGGCCCCGGCGCGGAGCCTATATCGGCCATGGACGCCGCGCTGATCGAGATCTCGAACGATAGGTTTTTCAACCGTCACCGCATTCACGAAGCCGCTGTCGCGCACCAGGTCGCGTGCGAGAGTGCCCTGGAACGCGTAAAGCAGCACCGGAGGCTCGGTACACGCCCCGATGACTGGGATGAGGATCTGGCGCTGGAGGGACTGCCACCGCTGCAGAGATGGAAGAAGAGGTTTGGGCTGGAGGAAGAAGAGAAAGAGAATTGGTACTGATTGGCAAGACCGCGAGTGACAGGCCGTGATGTGCCCCGTGGTTTCAGCTTGTTTCAAGGGGCTGGGGGGGAGAGATGTCAAACTGACGTGCATTTTTAAACTGGACGGAGAGATCTTGGGAACGTTACTAGTTACCCGCAGTAAAAGCAAATCGATTGATTGAGCAAGTCAAAATCGGCTAGGAAAAAAAAAAATCAAGAATATATAAAAAAGCATACTTCGTCGTCGCCTAACTCGCCGTAGGAGGAGGCGCTCCTAGACCAAACTCTTATGATAAATTACGTAAGGTAAACTAGGTATTCACCGACTCTCGATCTCTTTTTTTTTTTTTTTTTTATGTTCAATTTGATTCTGGGTACAAATGATCGCGTGTAGTATAAACTATGGCGTGACTCTCGCGATCTCCATACTTATATCATAATATATGAATATGGGTATCAATACGAGAACATAAACCTGGCCTGACCTGGCCCGGTGAACTTCCCATTTAGAGGCACTAGGTGACTTTTCGCATATCATAATATGCACAATATCTCTCTTAATTAGTCAATCGTAGAAAGTTTGGTACGAGGCCAATTACAAAAAGCTCTAAGACCAGCGATGATCGGAGTGCCACCTCACGATGCACTTTCAGCCCAAGGCCAATACGTATCTAAACCGAATATTTTCTTCTGTGGCGTGGGGTGTTTATTAGATGATGCCATTATTCATCCATGGTGTGTGCAGCCGAAATCTATCGTGAAGAAAACAGAGACAGAAACACTGCGAGTTCGTGGCTGGGGATCATTGCAAAACTTTTCCTTCTGCAGCCAATAACAAATCCGGAAGAGGTTAGTAAACAGGCCTCTATAAACATATGCAAGGAGTCCGTAGTGCGCTGCTTACGCATGCCGAGGATGTTTCGATCTGCACTATAATATGAGTGCATTTGGTTAACACCGCCAGGCCACCAAATTAATTGTCATATCGTGCTTTCAGGAATGAGCGCGCACATATTTTCATATGGCCTTGTAGAAAATCACCCCACCAATCCAGGGCATGACCTGCCTCGGGCAAGCATCACCATGACCTTGTGAGGTGATACCTAGTACCTGGGTCAATTGATTTTCAGCCACATGCACATTTGACCAGAATACAGGCGTATATGGGAAGCGCGGGGGCGCGTGTTGGAGCGCCTATAAGTTGTAGATAGTGGATAAATATCATACCAGCAGTTCTTTATTGGCTGCGCTGTTGTTTCGACAGGGAGGATACGTATCTTAACCCTGGTCACTACCTTGCATATATGAAATGTGATGCTATAGTAATAGGATATGAAACGGTATCCTTGATGATGATGACGAGATAATTTGCTATATCTACATGATATAGAGATGGATGCGTGGAGGTTAGAGATGTCGATATTATAGAGTCGATGACAGCCTGGATGCGTTGTATTGGTACTCTTGATTTTTTTAGACACTCTGTCCAATTGAGTCTACACAACAACGTATATATAAGCATGTACTTAAATGTAAGTACATGTATGTACCTGCAGCTACATGTAGATACATACACCCCAACATGGATTAAGTCAACAGATTAAACCCTTTATCTTCTCTCCTTAAGTCATCAAAGCCTATAATCGCTCTCATTCCCCAAGTGATCAGTGATGATTATGTCCCGAACGCATAAAATGAAGGTAAAGTTTACTGTCAATAACACAATTACATCCAGCGACTTTACCCATCAAAAATATCGTTAATGACGTTGTCAAGCACGATATGTCAGCTCAAGTTCCCCGCCAGAACAGTCACAGCCAGCTCAGAGATAGCTACAAACCGTCGAGTCTCGTCAAATTACATGTACGAATATTCTTATAGTAAAGTTGATAGGTTAGTATATCGTAATATCATCAAGGTGGTGTTCCAAGTTTGGAGTTGCATGGATATCACTGGCTGGCTAGTTGCAATAGCTAATATGGTAACCAACCACCGAGCAGAGAGGTCTATCACCTTTTTTTTGAGAGTTCGTGATGAAAAGAATTAATCAAGATTAAGCTATAGTGATAAGCCGTGCATGAACTGAAAGGAAAACTTGGTAGGAAAAGTAATGTCAGTACTACGTGTGAATAAGAAAAAAACAGAGCAATCATAGTATACTAGTAAGACCCCTTCGATATATAATATTATATGTATTAGTTTCTTTCGCACAGAACACTGTACAGTCGCCATTACGACACACGCTCCCTATCTCCCCAAAAGATGAACTATGAACACGATGCTCACAATTCGGTAGCTCAAAACAAGTAGAACGGCGAATCCGGTATATGCTCATAAATATAGGTCCCAGCACTGTACTTGGATGATTTCTCTCCCATCGAGGTTTTGGTAGCTATTCAACTTTAATTGACTCAGAGCTCTGATACTGGAGTCTTAAAGTTCATTTCTCGAGGAGTTAACTACTCCCCCGACTTGGGATTTATGCTATCCTTTTATGGCTGGGGGCGGAAAAGTAAATGGCTGCTTCATCGTTCGCGCTCACCTTTTTACGATTAATAGGAGGACATTAGGACAAACAAAATATCGTGGATCCATTTCATCCAGGGCACAGATAGCATCTCATATTTGGATTGGATCTAGAAGACCTAGATACCCCGTTGAAGATCCCAAGTTTTATCGAATAAAACAAGTTGTACAACAATGCCAGGATTTCGAATTATTTTTATTTAGCATCGAATTTCAACCATTTTAAGGGGAGTAAGTATCTACGACAATCATCAAAGCCAGCTAGTATATATACAGAACCACAGACATCTACCTACTCCTTAGTCTCAATACCCTCCTCTCTCATCCCATCCTCACTCTCCAACCTCGGCGGCCAAAAGAATTTCCTCATCCTCTCGGCCACCCTGGCGTCCAACTTGATATTATCCTGCCACACTCCCTGCAGCGATTCCTCCTTCCAGTACTTCTTCGGCCAGTCTCCCTCCTCAACCTTCAGCTCCCCCTCAATCTCACCACACTCCTTGTCTGCCTCCAAACCTGCTGCTACATCGGCTTCAGTGCTCATCGTCGCACTGGGGTCGGGGCTATGGTAGAAAGGCCGCGAGTACACGCCGAGGGCAATAGCGGCGGCCTCGCGCCCACACTGATCTGCTAGTTGTCGCCGTGTGACATAGCGGTATAGCCGGATAGGCGTGTTGAGGAAGCCGAGAATATGCGGGTGCGGGATGACGCCGACGGGATCAAAGGTTGTAGGAATACCAGGTGGGAGCTGTGCGGAGGAGTAGGCGGCAGGGAGAATATAGGATGGGGGGACAGAGGGCTTTGTAGGTTTCTTGTCCTCTTCCTTCTTCTTCTCGTCCTCTTCTGCTTTCTGCTTCTCGGCATCGGCGATGACATCCTCAATCTTAAGAACCTGCTCATTCTGGTCCACAGGCGGCTTATCATCGGCCCGCTGCGCATCGTCCTTGGGTTCTTCCGGGGCCTCAAGCGGGCCCAACCACCCCTCATGCAGGCCCCGAATGTACTCCTTCCAGGCATGGCGTCCCACTACGACCTCGCCCTGAACCGCGCCAACTCGGGAGATCCCACCTTTCCGTCGAGTTTCCTCGATGATGTCTTCACCATCGACACCCAGTCTCTGCTTCCTCACGCCCTCAGCAACCTTGTGCCGGAGTTCACCCATCCGGCGGCCCTCCACAAAATCAACGTCCAGCGCTGCAGCCGTAAAGATCGGCTTCACAAAATCGCGGTAGTGTTCCTGTGAGGGTCTGATATCTGTTCCACTTCCTGGGGGCGCACTCAAGTAGACCGTAACCTTGCGGGGGAGCTCCAGCGGCCCGAGGGGCTCGAGGGCGAGGTGGGAGACACGAGAACACCACAGTGCTTGGATCCGTTTCTGCTCACGGCGGTCATGGTATACGATCGCGGCAAAGGTTCCCGTGATGCCGAAGAAGATGAGCCAGTTTCGCGAAGGCAGTTTGGCCTTGATGTTGGGGAGGCCTGTGGTGGGTCCATGTTAGCGGAGAGGTCTACAGTGGTGAGGAGAGAGTACAGTACCCATATACTTGAAGGCCGGATTGCCTTCAGCGGCTTTTGGAGGCGTGGGAGCAGCCATTGTGATGTGCAATTGCGCTTTCTGGGCGGCGGCGGTGTTGATAGTGCTGATATGCGGGTGTAAAGCAGGTTGCGGATTTTCTTGCGGCTCTGCGCAAACACCTAACCCTTAGCGTGTGGAGTATGGTTATAGAGTCTTGGCAACGCCGACGAGTGATATACGATGATTGAGTGTAGGGACCTTTGGACGATGGTATACTTTCGTGGGGCTTTGATGCATCCTCTTTTCAGATCTCTTGGGAATCTTGGAGACGAGAAGGTGGCGCGAGTGATACTCTGTGAAGCTGTTGGTGAAGCGCTTAAGGAGACGCCAGCGTCTACCTTTCAGTCCTAATACCTCGGCTAAGAGTATTACTGCGTTCAACTAATTTGTGATTGATCAATCAGTGTAGGCAGCTGAAAATATCCCAGCTTCTGTCAACATGTGCCAATAACCGCCGAATAAATACGCGATTATTACAACAATCTGCAATATGATTACAATAGCCAGTGGGGGGGGGGGGGGGGGCGAAGTTGGTCTCGCACCAGATCATAAACGGTTATTAGTTCGACCGGCCGGGGGTTAGGGAATTGATAGGCAGAAGTAAGTCGGGTGTATCCCGATTGGGCATTCAAGCGGGAACCCGCCGTTCCAGGAATTATATTAGATTAACATATGCATCGCGACCAGGGTAGATCTGTATCTGTGGCCGATGATCTGGAGAAACGGAGCGAAACCCAGGTCTGTGGCCGGCAATCTGGAAAGACGGGATGATACCAGGGTCCCGTCGGTCTTGACCTTCAGCCTTCTTGGGTCCTGATCGATCACTCACGCGGAAAAATAGGTACGTCGTCGATCCACCGAGGTAGCTCTAGAGGTATCTGAAATCTTAATTTAGGTCGGGGAATCGTGATTTGCGTCCGATGGGTAAATCCCACAGCTCCTACCGTTACGAGAAACAGACAAGGCGCTCTTAATTATTTCGAGATCTCGAGCGCTATAATACCACAGATATAATATTTTCCGAGAGTCAAAATACCCGGGTAGTAGCTACATGTATGTAGCTATTCAGCCAAAGCACCAGAAGGCTGGTTCATAGCTAATCAGACCCGGGCGAATGACCTCGACATGCAGGACGTTAATACCGAAGACCTGAAGTCGAAATAGAGTCGCATAGAGCGTGAGCCTAACCTAATCTGGTTAGAGCACTAGGTTCACTGGGTATCACTCGGGTCAGGCTGCCTAACCGGCTTAGCCGGTTGTTTATAGTGGAAATGATTGGAATCACACTTTTCGGACAAAGTGGAAAATGGTATGTGTCACGTCGTGGGTGTAAGTAAGGTGGTGTGTATCACATCATATGGCGAAAATGTATGTCACTGGGTCTTATGGAGACGATTAAAGCCATTTTTTCTGAAAGCTACATGTAGTCAACAAGACAGTCATTAATCGCGGCGATGATAGTTGATTATCAAGATAGCCAAGTGGTTTTTGCTATTATACAGCGAAAGCATTCTCAGGGTGGAGGGCGCGGCAGGCGCGGTGTCGTGCCGGCCAATGCCATTAATCAGCGCAACGATGTCACACAAACCATGTCACACAACCATGTCGCACAAATTCTGTCACACAATCCTACAAAGTCATACCTCTGGATTCCCCCTATCCTTATCACAACCTCCCCCCCCCCCCCGTAACCACCGCATCCGCCATATTCGCCTCCAAATCAACATCTTCCCTTCTATCCTCCCCCCTCCTCTTTCTCCTCCTCCCCCTCCCCCTCCCCCTCCTGTTGTTCCTCCTCCCCTCCCCCTCCTGTTGTTCCTCCTCCCCTGTTCCTCATCGCCCCCACTTCCACCACCTGCCGCCCTGTCAAAGAACCGCCAAAGCTCCCCATTGACCCTCGCCGCCTCAATCCCAAGTTCAAAATCACGCTGGTCACGAGCAGCAATTTGCGCATTGCGTTTGGCGCGGTTGAGGGCCTTTGTGGCTACCGCTTTGTTCTTGCGGTCCCGGGCTGTTTCGCGTTTTGCGGGCCGGATGCGGGGCGATTTTTTTGGGCGGGTGGGCGGCATACTGGAGGTGTTTGTTTGCTGTGTTTGTTGGTAGTGATGTGTGGTGAAGAAATGGGGTTGGTGGATGTGGATGGGAGGTAGAGTATTGGAGGATGGGTAGGCGTGATTATATGAGTATAGATGGCTAACGGTAAATGTGGTAGGATTAGTTGAAGTGGTCTGGTAGTTCTACCGCGCAGATGGCACCGTCATATTTGTTTCGATTGTCTTAGTGAGCTCACAAACATCAGTACTGACGTTAATCATCAGGATAGATAATAGCAAAACTTAGGCCAACCATGCTTTATTTGATTGAGTCGCGTGTTCAGCTAACTTAGAACGTATCTACGTTCTAAATGATCCGAACGCTGATTCTATGTCAAAAAGTTACAAAAGATTCACAATGACACGAAATGATCCGGCCAATGCCCGACTTACTTCAAAACGTTACTATACCACAAAAATAAACACCCCATTCCCAGGAAAATACCAATTCATCCAAACAACAACAAAAAGACGAAACTCATGTTACAAATCTTTCCGGATAATGCTAAACTATTCAGACAACGAAGAAATATTTATGAATACGATCTTCAGCTTAGAAGGAAGAACTGGAAGCGACAAGTTAATACAAATAGAAAAAAGAAAAAAGAATGGAATGATGCTGTGAACCTACAGGAGGATATATCTATAGGGGGATGTGGACCCACCCACCGAATTCAGATCATACACCTATCTCAACGGGGGAGAGGTAAAGTAGGAAGGGTAGAACTATAGATGCTCCAAAGGGCATCATGATATGCAATATCTTCTGCGTCTCTTCCCGCCTTTGACGAATGATAATGGTATTAGCACGAAAGAAAGTTGTTTGTGTGGGAAAGGGATTAACTCACAGCGTATTGATCTTCCGATAGAGCTTCGGCCCTGATAATAATTTCTTTCTTCTCCTATAGAGTCCCGTCAGTTCCGCAAAACTGGCCGGGCTGGAAGAGCAATAACTTACCATCTTATCTGCCTTGGCTCTATCGATTTTCTTCTGGCGTGCCTCCTTATTTTTCCTGATCGTCAACTCCTCCGCAAACTTGGACATATTCTCTTCAATGGAGGAGCAGGTTCTGGACCATTCTTCAAAATCCCGATTCTTCTTTGCCAATTCCTCGGTGGCCTTCATTTCTTGCATGTATCTTGTCTCCTTAGCTGCTTCGCTCTTCCATCGGCGAACTGTTTCTTTTGGACCCTCCACCATCCTCCGTTCCATTTCCGAGAGAACTCTGTTACGAGGTTTCAGGTTAGGGCTACGTTTGGATACTTTGAAGATTTCCCAGTGGGAGCCCTGAAATAGTGCATCAGGAAGAATATTACCGGAATCAGAGACTCCATCGGTGCCAGGTGTAGCAGGAACAATCGGCTTCACCTTGGCATCCAGGGATGAAGGAGGCACATTTTCCTTATGGGATTTACTGTGCCTCTTAGTCTTTGGAGAAGATCTATCCCTGTTAACGTCCGGTAAAACTAAGTCGATAGCAAAATCCCTCTCTTTGTGCTTGTACTTGGCTTTCTCTAGCTTTATATTCCCATTGTTCAAGGGGGGACTGATGATAAAACGAAATTTGGAAGCGTCTTTCTGGGACGCCTCTATGCGTACGTGTTAGCAGTAGGATGTAACGAAGGCCAACGGTAGCTTACGAGAGTCAATATTACTCGTAAAATGAATAGCAGCACGTTGAGCTGACACGATTTAACTATTAGCTATAACCTTATGGAAGATGTGGGATAGGTTTTACCCAGTTTGTCGGAAATACAGTAACTATTGGAGCGGCGATGAGGAACAGAGGCAGGCAAAGAGATTTCGGGTTCTGATGGCTTGTTAGTTTGTCTGATTCTGATAGCGCTCTCAAAGTGTGAATAATGGGGTATCTTACCCAGTTTTAACAGAGGTTTTTCAAATGTTTCACCATAAAAGAAATTTGGAATTTCTGTAATTCGTATATCAGCGTCCTGCAACATGAGTAGGAAGACGGGTATAGCTGATACACACCCAACAGAATACCCCTGGTGATCTTAGTTGCAGGCCCCTTTGTGGCAGCAGCGGCGGCGTTGAATCTTCTTCGCCTATGCAAAGTCTGCATAGCAGGAGAGAGTGTATGCGAATGATTCACTTTTTCGGCCAGAGGCACCAAGCATTCACGCCTTTTCCTCGTCACGGGCATCTTCTCCCCGCTCAGATTCTCAATCTCCATTCCTGGTGCATTCCCTGGATGTTCCAGAAGAAAGAAAAACATTCTCATGCACCGATTTGCGACTCTCTCGTCCCTTTCAGACAAGCTGTGCCCATAACTATGGCCCACATCGATGTGAGAATGCCTCCAAAGGTTCTCACACGCGCAATGCGGTGCATACAGTAGCTTCCGCTGGACAGATTGTAGGGAAGTTGCGCGTGTACGCATGGTAGATGGTGGGGGGGGGGGGGGGCGGAGAAAGATGATCGTGGCGATGATTGCAGTGATGATGGTGATGATAGTGGGGATGATGGTGATGATGATAGGATGATGGTGGTGGTGGTGGTGGTGGAAAAGAGAGAGTAAGAAGAACGTGCTGTTCGTTGAAGTTTACGTTTTCTGAGTCCTAATATTCAAAGGGGGCCGCATTGATCGAGTGATGCCTTATGATTGTTTATCAGAAGGTGGTCCATAAGCTCCAGTGATTTGCAGTGAATACACGGCATTGTGGCCATGGGGACTGCCGAGCCCTATTGTCGTTGGAAGGTTACGACAGCGAAGAATGTATAACGCTAGATCTTGTCAGTTCATTAGCAGAAGGCAGCTTCAGTACTATTTCAACCTCATGTGTATAGAAACATGATGGATGACTTGTTATTTATATATGACGAGCGTCGAGGACACATATAATGAATGTATGATCCTTAGTAGAAATGGCCGGCAAGGAGGCTTGGACTACGTACTACTAGTGCGAAAACGTGTTCGTAACTCAATATTAAATGTACATGTACATGTAGCTGACAGACAGATCAGCAGCTTGGTCTACATCGCTTTATTTGCGTAGCTATCCTCTGTGTACGGGTCATATGAAAGCATGCATACATATGCATGTATCTTCATCAATCTTTCTATGTTTGCAAGCAAAAACGAAAACGAAAATGATGAACCCCACCCACGATATAGATTTATAGTCAAACACAGTACTCTTTGGTGATGACTTGACTTTATGGACTCAGATTTCGTCTACATAATACGATCTAGTAGCTCCTGAAAGGAGTCTTTTGGGTTTTCGTAGTGATGGTATAAACGAAGCTTGAGTCGAACATACAGACTACATGTAGTATACATAATGTTAGATATACATGTAACAAAATTCTCCTAGCTTTGCTGGCAACTGTGGCCTCCTCAACCTTGGTATAGAATTAATATTTTGGGTTAGATATAAGGTATGGGAGCTACGGTTTATTGAACCCATAGGTTTTAAATACTAAACCACATTATTCTTATTATACATATATGTACATCGTATATACAACGCACATACGTGCATGTATGTTACATGTATATACATACATGTACATACATGTATGTATATATACGATCATTGAATGGGGCGTATATGACGCTGAAAACGTCATTTTTCTTTGCAAAAACGGTATAAATCTATCCATGAAATGCATAAAATGAAAATCGAGAAGGCTCGACATTTCTGATTATGATAGCATCTAGATAGATGAGCATATACTTTATGTACTTTTCATAAGTCTCACAAAATAATACGAGAGACGCGTAAAGGTTGGCGGCGCTTGTGGGCGCCTGCCAACACATGGTCCTACCTCGCCCAGGTCACAGAGCCCAGGCACACTCAGCCTCTCTGAAGATATTTGGAATAACTCCAGGCATCGAATTCGAAACTTTCTGCTGCTCAACGTACAGATGAAACAATAAATACCTACGCACGAAATTATTGCGAACCAAAACTACATAAGTGACGTGCGGACCACTTTTTGAGTGCGTGGGGCGAAATCAATATTTCAATTCGTCTTAGATCTGACGTGTCATATGTATGCAGTGATGTTCATCCGATAATGTTCACGTACTTCCACATTTAATATTTTGTTCTGTCATGAGTGTTAATCTACTCGCCAAAATGCATTTCTCTTCCCTACGCCGCCTGTAGCTGGGTGTGTTTGGGTGCCTTCCCTCCCTCCCTCCTCCTATCGCGCTCAACTAAATACATATTCTACATCATTAGGTCAATTGCGTTGGCAATCATCGAACATCGCCATTGAAATTGATGGCTCTAATCGCAACGAAGCCTGAGTCTACGAATCAATAAAACACCGAAAGTCAACATACACAGCGAGTTCTGATCACTGTGGCTTTGGCCGCGGGCAGTATATTCGCTGACGCACCAAAAGCGAGCGTTTTATTGCTCAATCAACAATAACGGAGGAACTACTACTATAGTCTATGATTGCGATCTCGACGGTGTGTGTTACGCAGGGAAGATAATTTTGTGGTGTTACAGCAGGCCCCACAATACCGACCGCCTAAATATTTGGGCGGTGGAATTTAAAAAGCGGGCTGTGATTAGTACGTACCGCTGTTACACCGAAAAACAAATACCCCACAGCTTAAAGGCCTCTCTCTATTATATTACAACTTGTTCCTTATTGTTTCTTAAAACTAAGAGTGTTGGCAGACAGACAGATTGGCAAACCAGGCACTCTCCCCCACGAGTAAAATATTTTCAAGTGCGAACCAGCTGCAGATGACGTTTATAACTCAGTGTATACTCATGCGTGCATTAAATGGTCGGAATTCTTAGTAGGAATTTGGTTGCAACGATATCCGACCATTTAATGAACGCCCGAGTATGTATGTATTTATATACTTTAGGATTACAGAATCCGGACCGGCTAGTAAGCCAATTAGAAGGTCTCCGAAGATCCCGTTCCGCACTCTTTGGGTGAAGCATATATGGCGGGTCTTATCGAAGAGAGCGTTTCGAGAGAATTCACCCGTCAACTTTGGATAAGAAGACTTTTATTAAGACCAGTAAAATGTGTCCAAGGTTATAATCACAATAGAGATTGTAGCAAAGCTAACAGAAAATTTGTTAACGAACAGTGGACTGATAAAGAAAGTAGGTGTGGTGTCAATTGACCCGAACAATAAATAAAATATGTGTGTAAGAAAGACCGGGTCACGAAGGATGCCCTCATTTTATAAAAGAAATATTTCTAGTGGTTCGTGGAACTCCGGCGCCCTTGAAATTTTGGCGCCCTACTCAGCCGCCTCCTGTTTCTGCTCCTCAGACTCAGTTGAAATCTCAACCTCCTCAGACTCGTTCAGAACCTCTGCCTCCTTGGACTCCATAACTTTCTCTTGTCCAGAATTGTGAAGAACATCCCTCCATATTCCTTCATAGACACCTCGTCCCCATGAATAAGCCGTCTCTGGCCACAATGTTTGCGTATCATGTGAATTCTTCCCTGCTGGCTCGTTGAAGTTCCTGACTGGTCGTTTCCCTCGCCCTTCCTTCCACCATTCATTCACTACTAATGTAGCGATATTTGCGCCCATTAACGAACTTAATTCCATGGTACTACCAAGTGACTCGATAGCTGAGGTGTAATAGAAGTTGGGTGAAAGTTTGAGCGGTGGAAGAGGGGTGCTTTGGGTTTTGGGGTATACGTAGGGTATTGCCGCAGGCCACTACAATCTATGTTAATTATTAATGATAAAATTGTAGAAAGAATGATATACCTCATGACGATCAATCCAAGAGATAATCCCATCCTCATCTTCGCCAGCGCCAAGCATTGCCTTGATAGTAGAGTCTTCAATCTTTGCTGGTGATACCAGTTTATAGAGCCACTCTGTAATGACAACGCCCATCATATCGACCCGATCACTCCGCTTCACACTCTTAATCTCGTAAAATCCCACTGAGCCCACGCCTTCCACACCAGTCTTACTATTCATGTCTTGGAACTCAAAATCACGTAGCGTAGTAAGTAAAGTCTCCGGAACTTCACCATTGTAGTTAAAGTATCCCCCTGACAACATCCTCGGTGACTTGAACAACGTGATGTGTAGTCCTGCATACTCCCTATTAGCTGGTACATTCTCAAGAGGCTCTCCCTTGATGTCCAGCTCCGAAAACTGCCACGGGGCCGTAAGAATGACCGAATCAAACTCGGTGTAATCACCATCCTCTGGGTCGTTATCACCATGTGCTGGTTGACTGGCAACGACCCACCCACCCCAATCCATCCTTCGCAGCCCGAAAACTGCAGCGTTGAGACGAAGGTCAACATTACTTCGATCAATCATGGTTTCAAATAAACTCCAATGACCACCTTGTACAGTCATATCGCCACCGTCGTCAAACGCTGTCACGGCTGCAAGGCCACTCATGGTTCCGAGGTTTTGGGCAAAGTCACGACGCGCCCAGGCGTTGACAAGCTCTCTCTGAAAAGCGTCGCTGACGCCATGCGCAGTGAGTAGTTGAGAGCCAGTAGAGGTAATTTCTTCTTCAAGTTCAAGATCCTTGACAAGCTCTGGGAGGGACTCGAACGGGAAGAAGCTGGTGTAGACGCGGCTAAACTTGGAGAGTGTATCTTGTGCAGTGTCTCTAGTATACCGTGGAGAATACCCGTAGAAGTAGAATAGCTTGAAACTCCACCACCAGCCAGTTAAGAAGTTTGTAGGATGGGCTTGACGAAAGACTATCGAGTTACCATCGAAGCTACATCTTTATTAGCGCCAGGGACAAACTAGTACGGGCGAGCTGAAACGTACACTCCCCACCGTTCCCCACTACGACCAGATAAATCGGTGTCCACACGTCCATCGAGCCAAACAGGTTTCAACCCTACTTCTTTAGTGATTTGGACGAGATTCTGATTAGATTCATGGAAGCCAGTGGCAGAAATCTGGACGGTGTCGCCGTCTTCACCGCTGAGACTAATATGGCGTGTGGAACGACCGCCGATATGGGAATCTTTCTCGAAGATTGTTATATCGACTAAGATCCCATGATGGCGGGCATATTTGCGGATATTATAGGCTGCAGATGCACCTGCCGGCCCGGCGCCTGTTCACCCTCCCAAAGTAATTAGTATCGTGCCGAAAAAAGATAGACAAGCTAATTACGTACCAATGATAGCAACTTTTCTCACATACGGGGGATCTGCACGTGGGCGCAACCCCACCACCAAGCAGAGAGAAAGCACCCCACAGAATAGAAGAAAGTAGAAGAATGCTGCCAAGCTACAGATTTGTATGATGGGACCTGGGTATGTTGTCCAATCCCTACTTTCGGTCTTCCTGACTATAATCCTTCTTTTTGGGTGACGGTGTCCTGCCCATTCATTCAGGTTTGGTGTTAGGTCTGGATATAATCCATCGTCAGAGAAAATGATTGATGATGGTGGTCTGTTGGCTTTATGCTCGTTGTTGATGAGAAAGGATCTCTCGCTATAAGCCGGTGGGTTTTCCATCTCTCTTGTTGTGTGATAGTAGACGGATAGGAAGCTGGAGGGTTGGTAGCGAGATGTTACAATGTAGATATGGAGAGTCCGGCGGTTACGAATCGGGTGGTGCAACCTGTTTAGGCATCCAACATTAAGGCCTCCTACACATAATGAGGAAATAGATCTGCAGAGACTTTGTACACACTTACCAGCGTAAGAACCAGTTGCCCAAGGCAAGGATAATTTGTATGGAGTGGCGTCGTTCTCTCATACAAATAATTCCTGTTTCCGTTACTTGGTTCTTTTGAGGGTAAGCTGTACCTACACTACATCAACCTCCCAGCCCGGTAAGATTATCTACATTTTCATAAGTGTGTAGCCTAGTGAAAGTTACGCTAGGGAGGTAAGCTGGGTTTGGATTTGGCAGTAAATTGTGTGTAACCAAAGTACATGTAGATAATGTTAAGGTGGGTGCGTGTAAGGGACATGATAAGACACCTTTTGTTATTCCGTCCTCTCTCTCTATTTATAGCTATAAAAAACAAAGGAAATAAAAGTTTTCTCCTTATGGCTTCAACTCCATAATGAAACCATAGTTCACTAGAGATGGTTCCAGACATACCAGTTATACATCTGGGTTCTTGGGTGATGGTTCGTGGCATTACACCACAACCCACCCATCCGATTCGGCTCCAAACCCTATCTTCTTGGCTGGATGCATCCAGCGCAATTGAAGTTGGGGGACATTGGCGGGCCAAGTGGTTTCGAATTCGGATATGGTGCTTACATAATTTCACAAATAATCACTCGTGGCTATGCCTTTTGCTTGGCGGACCAATTTGGCTTGGTGTTGTTTCATACGAGCCAGCACGCACAAAACAAAGGGCCGGAACTGTCGGGGTATGGTAAGGCTACGTAGCTACATGAAGATAATATTGCGTTTCTGGGGTCTCTAATATCTGTAGTTGTACCCGCGCATACCTCTGAAGGGTAAACAAACATGGGATTTAGAGTACTTAACCAGCTCGATATATATGATTAGGTATTGATCAATTGTGGACCATTTTGGCTTACAGTTAATGATAAACGTTGGCCATGGTCTATGGATCTAATCATTCTACAGTCTTGGCTCGCTCGGATTTAAATGCTGTCGGCAGAGAGATTGTGATATGTACCATCCCTCGGTTCATTTTCAAGATAGTAAAAATTAAGCTGTTCGGGCAATTCCATCACCCCGCAAACCTCTTTAGGCTCAAAATCACAATTTGTGGCCGCTTTTTCAACAGATCTCCTAGAGGATACGCACTCCCTGTAGCAGTCAGTATTTTGAATATAAACTCGGTTAACTAGTGTGAAAATAGGGCACGGACGAAGGAATATGATGAACCTCTAGGTGGATAGAAATAGTGCTGGCTAGAGAAGTAACTAGCCCATCTAATTGCCTATAAAAGCACCTTATTATGATCTGAATCAATCGATCTCGTATCTGATTTTGCTCTAGTTTTACTTGTGCTCACAAAAGCTAGGGGCTTCTGCGCGGGTTTAATCATAAGAGATAAATGCGAGAAGAGAGGCATCATTATTAATTAATGTCTTCAGGGCGCGCACGATGCTATTAGATTAATACCAACACCGGAATACGTAGTACACATGAACGGTGTATGTCTTTTAGATACATGTATCGATTCGCTCCGGCTCTCGGCGGTATAAGCATATAGCCCGGTACATGTACGTACACACACTTTTATTCTACATGTACATATACCTATTCATCCACAGACCAGAGTGTAGTTTTTTTATATTAACATATTTCTTTTACCCATAATTCAACGCTTTTGAGCTTCCTCTACGCCCAAGCTGAGGTTGGATAATGTCTTATATGAGTGGGCCGATTTACGCCGTCGATGGGTGGGGTCCGTCCATAGCCAGTTTGCTCAAGGCCTACGCGTGCGCATTACGTGGTACATGTAAGCACATGTACCGTAAGATATACCAAACAAGTAGGCTTATATAATGGAAATAAAGAACCAAACAGATGCGATGTAACACCAACCTGATCAACAACGTAATCTAGTCGGGGCTCATGTAGTACTCAGCACCGTTCATGCTCGTGATCGGCCATCTAATTAACTTTCACACGTTTACGCAGTTAAGCTACATATGCATCTGATCGTAGTTTTGCATACATGGCCCACCCCACATACGTCTCCCCTTCACCGAGTTTTCATGCAGGACACAAGGCAGCGGTACTGAGGTACTTTACAGACATCTTTAGGTCAGAGAATTGGGTTTTAAACCGAACATATGACGATATGATATGAAATTTTGGGACATGTGTTATGTGCCCTAGGTTTCGGTTCTACTGTGAATTCTCCGGCAGCGCTTTTGAAAACATAATTTGTACGATTACTTGCGTCGTACTCAGGGGTAGTGCAATTCAATGCAGAGAATTGAAGAAAATACCCCCTGGATCGAGTCGATCCCAGGACCGAAACTGCAGATCTATCATTCCGGAGTTCACGTACTATATACACGTATGATGTCCCTTAAACACGTACCTAGAGCTGGCCCGGTTACTAACAAACATGCACAACTACATGTCTAGTTTCTCGAATTGTTAGAGAGGATGTAGTTGAAGGGCTTCATAAGGTAGTAGTATATATATTCTCTAGGTATTATATATATATATATATATATATATATCTAACTAATATATAATTTAAAAGTCCTCAGCTTCAATATACCTAAATCCTACAATATTACACACCTCTGAATTTCTATACCATTAGCAGCAATCATGCCGGAAATACCTAAAGGGCCTTCATTTTTTACCGATGTGGCTGATTGGGGTTTGGAGCAGATAATGTGTCTTCTAAGGGAGGTGACATTAAATAATAAAGATGGGGACTTGGTTCTTAAAAAGCTATGGAATAATTACCTTAAGTACTTGTAAGGATTGATATGTCTGCAAACTCTCTTACGGGATATTCAATCTGATCTTTTGGAATAGTGCTGAAGGCAAATCATACCCATTTGAGGCACCCCTTAACGACCAAAACGAGTACAAACCCGAGATCGAGACCACAGAAATAGTCTTACACGGCACGGTCCTGGAGATACATTCTAGCTGGTGCGCACTAGCGGCAGTTGTCAATTTTATAATTCCACCTTACGACCCCGAAGGAGGAACTATTACTGGGTATGGATATTCAGCCGCTACCTTCCTAGCAAAATGGGCAGACACGATTTCGAGGAACTTCCGCGGTGTAAAAGTTATTACGAATGACCAACACGGTAAAACACGCACGGAACTCAAACGCGTCCAGTTCACTCCTCCTTTTTTCACGTTTACCTGGAAGAGTCCTATCGATTCCGGCGACTGGAACGGTTACGTCGCAGTAGTCAGCACTGGTAAATGCGTCAACCTCCCGAGTAGTCCCCTGACCAGCGCTTTGAATGAGAAATTGGTAGCTGCCAGATGGAACCAAGTGGTTACAAGCTCAAACTTTTCAGGCATTTCCGCTGAGAATTGTCCGTTCCCAAGAGACTCCTTTTTAATTAAGCCGCCGTGCGAGCCTGAGAGGGTCGGGATTGAGATCGGAAGGGCCCCGAAGGACTCGGTGAAGCAAAAGACACTGGAGTTATTCAAACTGAAGCTTGTTCGACCCGCTAGCAAGGTCTACCATATGGGAGGATGTGCCGAGCTATGGGGATTCTTGGTGATGCAAAACCACTTTCGTGATGGAGAAGGAGGTCATTTCAATTCAATTACCATCGATGTCAAATGGGCCCATTGCACCAAACTTATTGGGTACAACCAAATGACTGTCGACTGCACAAAATGCCCCGATGGATCCGGTTATTGGAAGTTTAATACCGGCGCGCACTGTAAAAATGGTCGGAAACATAAAATATTAACACCAAAACCTGGCTGTCTCGGCTGTCTCTTTTTAGCCTCTGCCATCGAAGCCAAGAAAGGAGCTGTTTGGAAACAAGATAGCGAAGGCATAACGCTTAGGCCCTACGAAACACCAAGAGATTCGGGCTCTACCCATACCCTACAAGACATTAAAGTTCAAGAACAGTCCACTCCCTCGGATCAACCGGTCTAGAAGTCGTTGAATACAGATGCATGCAGTTGAAAGTGAATTCGAGACTAGTTCGGGTCCGACTCAAAGCTAAGAGGAGCAAACAACCCAGAAAAAGGGAAATGAGATCAATCAATTCGACCACCTATTCTCCAGATATAACAATAATCGGTAGCCCCCCAGCGCCTCCGGCTGTGCGAAGTATGCCCATATATATGGAAGAAGCGTCAAAGGTTGAATGTCACGATATTTTAATTTTCTGTGTTTATTTCAAAGTTTAAGTTATATTATTTCCGATATGTTTTCTTTAAAGGCTTGTGAGTAGTTTAATACCCAAGGATGATGTTAATTGCAGTCAATATGTGTTCGGACAGTTTTTTTATTCTCTTTAACGAGGAGGTTTCAGTTTATGTATGCACATGTATACGTAGTCATAGGTTGATTACATACAGTTATAAATGTACATAGCTAAAGTACTATGTATTTTTGGGTTATTAACAATGTTGTTTCCCCATGCATCATGATCGATCATATATATGTACATGTAATGACGTTTGATTTGCTTCGGTTGCATGAGGTTTTGGGGAACATATGTATACATTACTGTTGACACCCCAGACAACTAGACGGGCAATGAACACGCAGCCCATGGTATGCAGTAGAGAAATTGAGTGAGACCACTACGAACATACATATGTACTTGTAGTACATGTGGTTAACTTGAGAAGGATCTCAAGGATGATACATATACATGTATATACTAAATTTATTTCCCGGGCCTATTACGGCCTATAAATATATTTTCGTCGATAAAACGACTACATAATTATATAAGCCTACACTACTTTTATGTAATGGTATATAAAGCTCAGCTACTAAAATCGTCCAGGGAAAAACAACAATTAAGTGCGCGCCTTAATTGTAAATTAGCACCGGTCATGTAATCACTCGCTATAATTCTTTGGGCGGCTTAGACCGGCCGCGCGAGTCCAAGATAATATATATATGTACTTGTATGTACTTGTATGTGTGTATGTACTTATATGTACATGTATGTATATACATTATACATGTAAGTACATGTACCTGCACACACTCCAAAGGTTATGTAATACGTCTATGCAGTAACGCAACCCCCCCCAACCGATTTACGCGCCGATACGCATTAAGTGTTACACATATGGGCGCATGGTGCGGCAAGCTCAATAGCCGCTATCAAGTACGTGGCGGCAGGTCACAGCACGTACAGTCCAGTCTCCGCAGTCAGGGGTAGAAAGTTAATTGTGACCTGTATTTCCGATGCACGGCTTCCGCACATCTAGTTGGCTATATATTTATCATACCTGTTCTCATTGAACTTCAGTATATATATTCTGCAATGGGTACGCTCTTAAAGCAAGATATTCACAACATCTATATATACATGGAGCCCAACTCATGGCTAATAGCTGCCCCTACTCCTTGCAATTGCAGGTCTACCCCTACAAAGATGTGCTTTCAAATCTCAAGCTCGACATTAGCTCACCAGATCAAATTATCTTACTTTTGATTTTTGCGGTCCGGCTTATTCTCCGACTCTTCTTTTCGCTAGGCCGATCTCTTTCCTACGCGTACAAACTCTGTCCGACACATTTATGTCATAAACACATTTATCCAAGCTTTACACGCGGTCTTCTATCCTTCCATACTTGTCCTGGTCATGAGCGAATTCGAAGTATTACTACGCATGAAGCTGGATCAATTCCGGCAGATGTGCCAACAGGCCATCAAATACCCGTACCCCCAACACAATATTATATTGATGCCGCTTCGACCGGGTGTGGGGCCGATCAGGGTCTGACCAGGTTCAAGGAAGATCATCAAGGTTCTGCAGCTGCGCCTGAAACCAACAGCACGAACAGAATATCCAGTAATGACGAGCGTTGGAACTACATGTTGGTTACTAAATTACCTGAAGCCGATTACGAGGTACAGGAGGTCGACATCGATGAAGAGAACAACTCCGAAGATAACTTCTATTCCTACCAAATGTGGGAAGGGTATAGGGTGAAGCACGAACCTCGGTCGCATTTTATCTGGCAACATAGTACGGACACACTATTCGCACTTGCAGTTGACGGGTCGGTTTATGGCTTTTCCATAGATTTCGAGTGTGGTTATCTTATTTCGGATACGATTGAGGGTGCAATGTCGTATATCACGAATCCTGGTACAAGAGCGAAGGGGCCAGCAAGGCCGCCTTGGGGCCCATATGATATCAATGCCGAAGATATGTTTGGGGAAAAGTTCGGCGATGAAGACTACGATTCTGGAATAGATGATTGCGATTCTGAATCCGAATGCGACTAGCTAGTAATATAGCGACGCCGCTATATATATAGCTGATGCTTTGCTCATGAGGGTTGATTGTTTTTCAGTCTATTGATGATATGTGGTCTTAACCCACTTTTCCTTGATAATACTATCTTTACAATTACACACAGTCTTATTCCTTTCAATTGTTAATTCTTTCCAATACCTTTCATTTAAATCTCTTAATTAGATACTTGGGTTAGCTGGCACACTACGCGTAGTGTATAAATTTCATTTTTACTCCTTTTATGTTTATTATCGTTATTTTAAAAGTTTAGACTATATTTAAGGTGCAAAGTTTTATTATTCATGATCAGTGCGCACCTTAATGGTCGGTGAATATTATATGTGCGTAGTAAACTTCTGGAACATGCATCACCAGCTGATCATAATTCTTGAGCAGATAATAACTGTATAATATGAATTCAATTTGTCCTCTTGTCCACAGTCATAATGATCATGTATGTTCATGATGACAGTTCTATGTATGTACATGGAGTTACTAAATTTCACACAACGTTGTACGTTTGTACGCGCCCAACAATTAATGTGACTCCGTGTTCTTGTCCACGAGGCTACAGATACTAAACCCATATGGCCGTATGACTGATCCCAGATATCTTGGCTATTCTTGGCGCTTATTTAAATATAAGGGTCCTTCTCCGATACCTAAATACAGGTACATGTATATGTGTCCACTTTGATTGCAATTCCTGGTTTCCCCAAATTCTATGGCGAACACCTATGTTGACCCGCGGACCCAACAACGGCTGGAGTCTCCAGTAGAGTATTTTTTGGTGCCCCTGATATATATATATGTTATATGTATATGGTTTAAGCCGGTTGTTAGCGATCTGATCGAGTGGATACACTAACATAATTAGACCGTAGATTAGTATCTGTCGCAGACGCAACATATACTCTATGCTCAAACTCACCGCGCCCGGGCAAGTTTCGCTTCGTGGAGCAGCAGGCTAGGCTGGCCAGCCAGAGACATTGAATCGGTCTGGAATCCTCGTTGCTCAACCACTCTCCACCCGATATATCCAATATTGTTAGCTTTATTGGAGTACAGTTAACTACCACAGTCTTGGTCTGAGGAATTTCAAACCCCATCGAGCGAAGTATGTCAACGACAAGACTTCGTCCTTGCAGTCTAGCCAAGTTATATCACTGTCGATACGCTATAATATATGTAGACGATCGGAATCAAAACAACTGCATGCATGGCGAAGGTAGGTTATTTGGCCAAAAACAGTGCCCGATGGGTCTCTAGTGAACCCCAAGGATCCGAAGCGCGGGCCACCCCTAAAACTTACATAGTAGTTTGGGATTCCGGTTGGGTGTTTTGTAACCACTGTTTCGTTCAATTATCAGGCATGGGGCCAACTTCGGCTTGTTTGACAACCTCCGTATCTCCAGATGGCACAAGAACGCCAAAGGGTTCAAAGAGAATCACAGCCATGACATCCTTTTGTATGAATATGGCCGGAGGAATGAACTCTTATCAAGTATTAGCCTGACTGATATGATTTATGGGAAGATACGCACGAAACCACCCCGTCCCCAGCGAGTGCTCAATCACAGGAATCTCATAAGTGGAGGTTCAGCGGTCAGTTTGACGTTGTGGAGGGACAGCTGGATACTGAAACGGAGTTGAGACTTAAATGATAGGGGTGGCTGTGTATGATGTGTATCACTGAGCTGATCCGCCATCCCTCCCGAAAACTAATAATATTACTGGTAAGGATCTGGCGGGCCCTTCCTTCCCCGCTTCCTCCCTTCCCTTGTTTCCCTTCTTCTTCTTGACATTAACTATTCGAGTGAGGGGCTTTCGAGGGAAACCATATTAAAGCTACTTATTCTAGGGTATGCAAGGGGTTTGAAAGCCAATTTATAGAGTATATATAGACCAGCGCTGCCCATCAGCGAGCGTTCACCAAAATTTGGTGGGTAGCAACCGATGCATTTTGGGGGTAGCGGGCAAAATAGCGGGCAACGCTCGCTGATGGGCCGCGCTCGCTGATGGGCTGCGCTGGTCAATATACCTATCCTTATGCTGTTAAATCTGCCAACTTTGCCAAGTATCATGTTGGTTCTGTGGCTTCCATGCGAGGCTCGCCTCATCATGTTATGTTGCAGCAGTGAGGTAAGGGGTAGTCAGGCAAGTGAATTAAGGGTCATTCACGGGGTATTGGCGGATGGCGGACAGGGCAAAAAAGAGACAGCCAAGCCAACTTTTACCTGCAATTCGCCAATACCAATGCCCCGTGAACGGCAGTGCCTGAGTCGACCATGGGCACGCGACCGGCCATTTAAATTCCAATGCACCCCATTTGATGATTGACACAAGGGTATGTATGCACCCGGTACTCGTTTACCACGAAAAGAACCAGAAAATGCAGCCACTCAGGGCAAGTATGGAGTGGTGATCTCTCATACAATCATCCCTGTCTCCGTCACTTGCATTTTTTTTTCGTGCACTGGTAAACGAGTACAAGTAAACTGCATGTTAATACCGCAAAACCTCAGGGATAACGAATCGAACTGGACTGGAATATTGGGCTTCGGATTGGTCAAATGCTTCTTGAGCCTTTATCTGACATACCCAATTGCAAAGCATAAATTTTAGTCGTTTTGACCAAACAATAAGTGGTATTCCAGCCCAGTCCGATTCGTTATTCCTGAGATTCTGCGGTACATGGTCCATTCTGGCCGATATATCTGGGCAGGTTTAAAAACAGGATTTGTATGGCCGAATAAGCCCAATGAAAGTATAAGAATCCTTCCATATTTTTGTTTTGCAGCAATCATGGTTTATGTGGATTTATCCAAACTGAAGGTCCTGCCACACTTTAGAACTTTGAATAACTAGAGTCAACAGTATATTTCACGCTTTCTGACTCTGATCAGATAGAACATAAAATATATATACACCATTCAAGTTTCACAAAACCTGTGTGATAAGTGGTGCTTGCAGTTGAGGAACTGCTTAGGTTTTTGGGGGGAATTCGATGCTCGATCATAGATCAGTAACTGTAGGTACCTAAATTTGTGCGCATGAAATAACCATAGTTAGGTATAGAGGTACTTGAGTATATATATCCAATATTATATTCCCCCCACCCCCCTTTATCCTTCAAACCGTCAGGTCGAATTGAAATGGCAGCTGTTATTAACCACACTCAGGAACGATGGTAGATTGAACGCTGGTTTCAGTAATACCCTCACGCCGCCTGCTTATCCCTTCGTCTGTTTTCAGGACTTGTGGCAACCCGTTACCCGTGGCTCACTACACAAAACCCACGCGACTGTCGGCGGTGCAAAATTGTCTCCTCTCGTCATGCAGAAATCCTCAATCGAGTAGTGCTTTAAACAATCCTAGTTAGATTTTGGTTGATCACGGCGCCGCTTCAAAGCTGAGAGGCCGTGAAGACCGGGAACAGACGAAGGGATTCACTAGTTGCATAGATCAAACTATCATATTTTTACTGAATGTGGTTAACAGCTTCTATTACAATTCGGCCTGGTGGCTTCAAGATGAGAGACTGATAGCGTAGGTACGACTACAGCTAGAGTAGTCTGGTGTTTCTTAAGGGTCAAGATACCCTAATATGTGTCGATAGCTCGCTCGAGTTCGGACTACGCGATCCGTGTAACCCAATCTTCTAAACTGCGTCTTCTACCCATTAAGCTTAGGACCTCAAATTAGAGCCATAGTGAAAGTAAAATAAACTATAGATTAGTCTAGACTACTAGATAGAATACGTTAGTAAGGCTATAGCCCTTAACTACATAAAATGACCACCATTGTGGTGACAGCTCGAGATAAGCCTACTCATAGTCGAGACATAGCAACAAACGTTTCTTCGTCTGGGAGAAGTGCTGATCTGCCACCCCCCCCCCCCTTTTTCCACCCGTCCCGCGAGAAAATGAATTTTGTGTGACTTTGCCAACAGATCCTCTTACCTCTCATAATCTCTCATCAGATAATAAATCTTCCATACAGATCTAACTACTAGTATTGTGTTACAGGGCGGGCCTCTCCAGCTGACTGAGGGATGACGAGCACGGCCAACAATGGCAGCACTGTGCTCCAAACGGACACATGGCTACATACCCTTTAGGTCTTGCAGTGGAAGAAAAAAATCTTCATGGTAGGCTGATCGGCCGGTCTCAGCTTAATTGAGACATGACCCATGGCCATGGCACATGATCGCTAACTATCTCTCTATATACGTACTGCATACGAATACTGTATGTATTCGTGGTCGAGACATGAGTTCGGCCGTGACGACAAGATCAGCTGCTAGCTTCAAGGTACTACTAAGCCCTTGTATCATTGGATTAACATTTGGCAGTACCTATCTATAGTCATGTGTAAAGAAACATCTAATTGAGAAATTTAAACTCCATTCAATTAAGCTTATATCATTATGCTAATGTATTGTTTTGTATATTCTTAATTAACTGGTACATATCAGAGCCGGCACAACTAAATGTATATAAAGCATCATAGAGACCGAACACTACATGAACCTATATGTAATAATACCAACTACAAGTTCTAGAAGGCTAGCACGACTACATATACGCACTTGAGTCTAATTTTTTGAAGCGCTAGTGTCTGCAGCTGGCTACTATAGTTTCCTGTTTGGGGTGATCTGAGCCGTAAAACTCACCAGGCCTCTACCGTGCCAAAAGAACTGTCAAGGTCAGCATAGAGAGTGATTGTAATTAAGTTGAGAGTTGATACTTTCATTAATAGACGTAACTTGATGAAAGTATGAACAAGAGTTGATGACGAGAACAGAGGAGACAGGAGAGAGAAGACAGGAGGTCTAACCATGGTACATGTTCGATCCACCACGAGCCCCCCGGCCCCACGATTACCCATGAGCCCCCCTCCTATCTCGCCCCACCACTTTTGTCTTCGCTGCCAAATACTAACACCCATTCGTTGAAATCGGAGTGGATGCTAGTGAGCTGGCTCGAGC